CTGGGTTTAGCATTCTAGGCATCAGAGGAAAATATAGAAGTGAGTAGGACATACAACCTATAACGGCTCGCATCAAGATATGAAGAACCCATGAGACGAGCCACCCGTGTTTCTTCGTCTCGGGGTGTGGTTGAGCGCTCATAGCTGTAAATTGAATTTGAAAGAATGAATTCGGCGTAGGGACTGGTCACGAAGGGGCAGGAAGAGGAAGAAAGGCGCACTCTGTCCAAGTGTATTGAGCTTTTATGAGTCCCCGTGCTTGAAGACAGCGATGATCAGGAAACCGGTTCCGAGGAGTTACTTTCGCCTTCGTGCCCGAGGAGTCTGATCTGCGGCACTATGGTGACGCCGTGTTGAGCGCTCGCTGAGTATCCGTGGCAGTGCATCAGGATGGCGTCGCTACGCCGTTCGATATGTAAAACAAATTCAGACCAACTGGCTGACTTTAGTAACGATGTAGAGGCTCCAAATCGTCGCCATTGACGAGTGCGAAAACTGATCCACTTGGAGCGAAATCGGGCCGCGACACTCTTGAGTCTTCCTCTCCTCGCCTTCCGTGTCATCCATAGGTCAGTATTTATTGTCACGATCTAGAAAGCGAACGCGAAGAATCTACAATCCAGACCAACTCAGATGCGCAGGTGACAGACGTTGAATGAACCTTTTCGCGCCGCATGCGCAGTGGACTCGAATGCAGGTCACGATTTCCGCTCGGAGGGGAAACGGAGACGGTAACAGCGGTTGAGGACAACTACGATTTCCGGGCGGTCGTGGAGAAACAGAGTGCCGGGTTCCATGTTGAAAGAATGTGGAGAGACCCCAGGCAACGATTAACTGGAAGAACGCCACATGAGCGAGCTGTACATTATGAGAAATGTCCACGAACCCAACCAGACGACAAGTTATGCAACTTTTCCCGCTTCATCCAATGTTCCAGGTCGAGATGATGACACTTCTGAGGCACTAATTTCCTGTGTACAAATTTGAATATAGTTCTCGTAAATCGAAGCCAACGAAGACGCATACCGACGCAGGCTGTATCGATCACTGACAACGACGGTAGAAACGATGAGCGATGTGTAACGCGATGGATGCGGGCCTTCCTAGCTCTCGTCTTCTCTTTTTCGTGGTCTATCCAGGGGGTATGAAACTGAGAAGGGCGATGAGGGTAGAAAAACGGGATTGGAGATGGCCAACGGCATGTTGAGCTTTGAGGGATCCATAGGTGGCGCTGGATAACGGACGACGCGGGCGTAGGTCTTCCCCTGAACAGCGTGGATTGAGTCGTAGATAGAAAGAAGAGGGGAATAAACGCACTGGAGGTCAAAACTTGGGAAATGAGAACCGCCCCGCTCTCTCCTAGGCAATACCAGAACAACCGACCGCACGGGTCTGTCCCCTCCGGCTTTTGAGACTTAAACGATGGCGTTGGTCCAAAATCGCTGTCCGAGGTCCGCTTTCACGTCAATGGGCATTGAATATTGAATGGCCGGGGTACGCGTCGACAGTCGAACCGTAGAGAGCTCCAAGCCTCCTAAGAGCTCGATGTCTCCGCTCAGTTGGCCCACTTCGACATGGGAGAGGAAGACGCCAATTCCGACTATTGGGGTGATTTGGAAACGAGGAATGACTGCGTCGGCATGAACGAGACACTGACGCTGCATAGGCGGTGGCCGTATTTTCTGACCTAACGACGACAGAGAGGCGAAGAAGCCTCGTGGAAAGAGGTCGATTCCGGTCCCCATCCGAGGTACAGACAGGCTGAAGGGTAGAGTCTTCGTGGATGATACTCTATGCACAGAGGCTATGCTCCATAAGTGCTCGTCATGAAGGTTGGCAACGATGACACTAGGCTCTACTCGGTTCAGTATTATTCACATCCAACCGGGAGAAGAGCCATTCGAAAACGCACCTGAGCCTTACAACTACGAGAAGATCGAGCTTCGATCCCCAACGCCCCGTTTCCACACCCTATGCCACTGCACACAGCAGGCCACGCTTCCTTCGCCGTGCTCTCATGAGTCGTGGTGTTCATTCCAGAGGCGTAAACGTCGATAGGATCCAAGAGTAGTCCTATGCAGGATTGGAGCGATTATAGCTGACATACAGTTACCCTGTGCAGGAACAGGAACTCGAACCCTCATGGCACATGAGGCCTCGATGTTGCAGAGAGGAGATCGTCGCTGCTTGAGTTTTAACACGACTTGGACATGACGGAAGCGTTGGCAGAGCAGACGGAAGGAGATATTCCACGTTCTCGAGATGAGCCAGAGAAAGTGGTTGAACGGTCGGCTGGAAGTTGGTCATGAAGGTCAAACCGTGAGAACTCCAGACCGCATTCCCGCTTCATGAACGCAGCCTTTCCTGTCGGAGAAGGCGGACAGCACACCAAGGCTCGCGATGAGTTAGAGGAACGCTCTCATAATTACCCTGGCGACTCCGTTATTTATGTGAGTGGATCTAAGTACACCAGTCCAAAAATCCACTGCTGGCGAAAGAGACGTTGAAATGTTCTCAATTTCTGGCTGAATATTGAAGGTAAGTAATTGGACGTGAAGACGCTCATAGGATTATTTGCTTGGTCTGCGGAGGTAATGGAGTCGCGGGAATAGAAGCGTGTCAGACTTGTAAACGTATGCTAGTATTTGTCGCAATCTTTTGCGACTCTACTCGTTTCACCCCTTCAGGTTCCGCCCTCTCTGTGCTCTTTCCTCACAACCTCACTCCATTCTTATGTCATCGAATGCTTCTATGATTGTCATGTACTCCAGTGCTACAATTTCTCTCACCAAGCACCCTTGCTTTCACTCGTTCGGGGCAAATCTCGTAATTTTTAGATCTCAGGACCGGGGGTAAAGCGTCTACAGGTGGAATGATAGCTGCTTCGATATGCTTGCACTGCGTTATCTTAGCTCTAGGTGCACAGTTGTCGTCCCAGGCCAAGAGGCGAGGCAAGGCCCAATTCGACTAGGTCTGCAGCACGAGGACTATGAGGCTATGTATTGTCCCAACTATAGAATTATTTCACGCCATGCAATTTTCAAGTCCGTCAGTCCGCTGACTGACCAACGTGCCCTTCACTTGTTTAGTTAAATATGTATGGTAGCTGTCTTCGTTCTTCCCGTTCCGCCATGCCAGACTTCACCGATAGGCAGCCTCAAAGATTGGTCAACCCATGTCCGAATCAACAATTCTTTTATAATGCTGCGGGCACGAGGCTGATCGATTCAGTTTTCGACGTCACGGATGAAACACCGCCAGGAGGTGGTCGACGTGAGTTCAAATCTCAGAGACAAAGGAAAGAACCTGCCACTTACGCCAATTAGCTGGAGGGAGAATAAATGTTGGCTCTGGCTCGAGGAACATGACATTTGAGAACAGCGCTGTTCAAACATATACGGGCCCTGGAAAGGGATTCGACCTGAATGTTTTTCGTGCGTCTCAAAATACCTCTTCGAACCCGACGTTGTGAATAACATCTAACAGTGAATCAAGCCCCAATTTTATCTCGTTCGCGACCTGCTGAATGTTAGATAGCATCCACTAATTGAGCCTTCCGACTTGTATTGATAGCTAGAGATTGCTCACGGAGGAATTCAACCGGCATGCTATCAGCAGGCAACACACGGAAGGTTTCACATCATCCCTCTACATATTTGCCGCACGGCCTGGCGGCCTGACTTTGGCGAGGCGAACTTCCCACGTTTCACTAAAAATGACGTCTGGTTTTCCAGACTTACGCCACAACGGGTATGCTCCTATATGGAGACTGCGTAGACGCGGGCTCTATATGCGCTATCAAGCGCCGAGAAATGTCTCGGTGCTTCTTTCGGCCTTTCCAATCGGACAGAAGAAATGTATTAGATAATTTCCTTGGCCCTCGGAATAGCTTTAGGCGCTGACGCCCTGTATTCACCGCGTGCCATACGCCACCAGGCTGAGCACGAGGTGTCGGACGACCTCAAAGGTAACCTAGGGTTTTTGACTGGCATAGAGTAGCTGTAAGTGAAGGTGTCAGAACATCCTTCTTCCGTCCTCTCTATTCAACTGTGATAAGGGATGGGCGCTTAACTTGTGCTATCGTGTCTGCTCACTTGACATAAGGTTTTGGGGTATATGCTTTGAAGGCGCCACTGCGAAGATTGAATGTATGAACTCGGGGGAACTTGAGGCTTTAACATTGCACCGATAGAAGACTGTGATTCTGAAAATAGAGTCTGGACTCCTTGCTGGGGCACTTGAGCATGGATATTCCCTTGTATTGCCGGAGAATGGCTTCGTCCTTCTGGAGTACTGCAGTAATTGATACAGGGCCTAACTTGCACTAGTCCCCTTTCGTGTGCTGTGCATATCACTCCTACATAGAAATAAATGGCATATATATTCAAGTTGGGATAGCGATTGAATACCGAACCCTCAAGCCAAGATTGTCGAAACGCGCTCAAGTTCATATCCGTCCACCAGCGCTCAGAACCCTAAAGATACCCCAAAGTGTTGTTTCACAGCACCGTATGAACTCTAATCCCAAAATATCAGCTACAACATCCCATGCAGGGGCGCTAGGCTGTTGAGGAAGCAATGGATATCTGTCATGAGGCCGGGGACGCGCTTGCGAGAGTGCCCAGAACTTCCATCCCTGTCATCAAACATACATTTAATTGGAACAGTTTTATCGATTAAGGAAGGCTACAGTGAATATACCGGTCATAGCGCCGAGAAGAAGGAATCCCCTTCTAGGGCCATTCTAGTTTTACCTCTAGTTCAGGAAATATTGTGAGGCGAGACGCCTGCTACAGTAACATAAGATACCTTCCAGAGAGATTCCTATATGTCATCCTAGTGGTTACAAGAGTGATCGGACCGCGCACCTTGTCCCTTCTCACAACTGCTATGCCATGAAGTTCATCGAATGCTTCTATGAGGTCTCATGCACAGCGATATAACACCTCAGGATGTCATCTTCAGATCAAAACCACTTCTCCCCTAATTTCACAAGCAACATGAATCAAACTTCCTCCACAACGGGAACGAGCTTTCAAGCCAACAACGCTCCTTATACATCGATCAACGGGAACCAAACATTCTTCACGGACACACAGGACGCAGAATTGACCGACGTGGTGGTCAGAGGTGCCGACACCTTCCCGCCGGGCGCCTTGCCTTGTACGTAATTTGCCTTTCTCTGTAAGCACGTGTAAACGTCGATGTATCTCAAAGATGGCTCGAGCGTCAACTTTGGCAATGGCTCAGTTGGTATTAGGGTCCACAATGCCGCCATTACCGCGTACACAGGGAATGGGCAAAACGTGAACCTCACAGAATTTTGTAAGCCTACCCACATTTCCATGACGCTCAACCTGAGTACGGATGCAGTGACTCAGCCTCCTATTCTACCCTCCGCGCCCCAGGGTCACCCCGGAGGTCCTCTATTACTTCGCATTATCCTCGTAAAGAAATAACCCCCCTCCATCATCCAGGATATCCCGCCACTGCACCGAGTACTGGGCCCCCACCAACAATGATGTTCCAACAACAATATACAGCATCCAGTGGGTCCAACGTATCCAGTGGGTCCAACGTGGCCCATTTGACGATCGCTAGCCAAGCTCCCTTGCCCAGTAGTACCAATATGCATCCTTCAGCGAGCACCGCTCCATACACGACTTCGTCGTTCTACGCCATGACCCCGATGCCATCCCCAACCCCACTTCCACCGCAAGGGACACCTTCAAGGGGCTCAGGCCGCGGTCACTATCCACACACCCCATCCAGCACCCATGGGACGCATAGCTCGACGCATAATCCCTCCAGGCGCCACCGTGCTTGAATGTGATCTAGAGTAGATTGCTTACTTTGCTCGCTCAGGAATCCCGTCATGTTCATGATCTCCGACTTCTGATTCGAATAAATCACTGAAGTAGTTTTAGAGGAAGGTTAATTTGTGTTGACAGTAAGAGAGGAATTCCAAAATTATTACACATGAGGGAGGAAGATCGCGAAACAGAGAGGAACCCTCGTCAAGGAACAAATGACAACCTTTAATTCTTGTAATGAGCTTAGCACTAGCATTACAGAACCCACCTGTCCGCGATCATCAGAAAGAGAATGGGGCTACCAAAGACACCGCTTAGAAAATGACGACGATGGTCGAAAGACGAAGGCGATTCGCGCGATCGATATTGGCAGTTTGTCTCTCTCGTTACACTAGCATGTTGGCAGGTTTTGCATAAGATATGAGAGCGAAGAAGTGTGTTCGAAGACAGCGTAGCTGTAGGGCCAATCGTAAAAAAAAGGGCAATATAAATAGGATGCACCGAGAAGCAGACGAGCGCACCAGAGTTCGATGATGTAAATTTCAGATACGCCCCGCTATCCCAAAACGATAGCCAACCATTGACGATGGACTAAACCGTTTTTTCGCTGCAGATTTGCGTAATATGTTGGCCCGAAACCGGGGTCAGAGGTGCCATGCGTCAAGAAGTAGAAAGAACGAGTGGACAGGTCAACACCGACCGAGGGCTAGAGAACACCGGGGTGCTGAGCGCCTTGCTGGATAATTAGCGCTCGTGATGAAGACATCACACCTCTCCCTCGGTGTCGACGGGGTAATCCAGTCCGATGAAGACGACAAACATGACTCGCGAATCGAACTTTGAGGGTCGAGGACGGGCATTGTCAGCCCTCATATTAGTTATGGTGCTTGAGAAGTTATGGCGCTAGGGCCTCAGAACAAAAAGAAGCCGGAGAGGGATAAAAAGGAGGGTGATGGAAATGACGGGGACAACTGAGGGTCAAAGCTCGAATGGTCGTTACGAGCAAGGAAGCCTCACTCATCGCAGATATCGATGTCAAACAATCGGTAATTCTCAACACGCAGAGAAGACAAAGTTTAGGGTGTGCGGGCAAGAAAGACGACATGATGTAAACAATCTCTACAATGTTTAGTATTAGTCATTGCCATTCAAAAGAGGGGACAAGTACAAAGGTACCTGAAGCTCCGAGCCACAAAAATCTTGAGCTGAGAGCATCAATGCCCTTTCCTTCTTATATGAGTCTGACATGACGACAGACGAGCCGCCTGATCGAATTCGTCTTGCCGTGTCCAAGCAACTAGGTTGTAGTGTCTAGGTTGAGCAATCTAAGGGAAGGCTTCTAACCAGGGCATGCAGCTGGACAGACTGGGGCATCGACCTTGAGTTTGAATCCTCGTTGCCCATGATGCCTCGACGTTGAAGGAAGGTGATCATCGTTTTGGTCACTTGAGTAACATATGAACATGTTGGCAGTATAAATGGATATTTTGGAACGATGCGTTTCTCAGGCGGCGCAGTGTAAGAGGTTCGTTGCAAGGGGGCGCAGCACACAGGAACCCTCGGGTGAGGTGTTGGAAGCCAGGGGAAGAAACTTCTGGCAGAGGCGAGGCAGGCGGTGGCATGTTTGCATGAGATCGGTGCAGATGTCACTGAAGGGGTGAAAACCACCTGGCTTCACTTCTACAGGGTTCAACGTCAACGTTCAATGTGAGTCACTGTAAGCAAACGGAACCACGTAGGAGCGCACCTGAAGCTGACGACCACGAGAAGAGCAAGTTACCCGCCCCAACATGCCGTTTCCCCTGCCTAAGAGACAGCGACAGCCTGCCACTTTCGCCCTCTCCTTGTCGCATGTTTCTCAAACGATATTCCATCTAGGTGGGTGTGAGGTTACATCTCCATGGCAGGATAAGGCATGAAGCTCGAGAGGTAATATATGACGCACGGTTTCCCTGGCAAAGGACTTCGAGCTGGAGTCTATGAGCGTAAAATTGCCTTGACTTTGCAGGGAGGCGATCGTCATGCAGCCCTGTACGGCACCACTACTCAGACACGATGGAAGGATTGGTTGTGTCGGACATGCATGGTGGATGCATTGCCTAAGAGGCATAAGAAGAGAATGTTCTGCCGGCTTGGTGTGCGTTCAAGTGATGCGAGGCGGTAAGAAGGAAGTCAACCGTGAGAAAGATGAGAGCGGCCCGGATCAGCTGCTTATGGGAACATTGTCTTTTCCTCCCTCCTCCCACTGCGGGTCGAGCGCTCAACGTTCAAACGGCAGCACCCTCGATTTTATGTCCGGAAACAACCGGAAGCATAATTTTCTTGACTGCTTCGTTTACGTCGTACGTTGCTGATGTTCAAAACCGTAAGAAGAGCTATTGAGCCTTAGTTAGGCAGTGAACCAGCAATAACCCGTCTTCCTGGCGATGCAGGCAATGATGGAAGACACGTAAACATGAAGGAGTCGAGCTGGCATTCCGCAGTCTTCCTGTATTGTCTCTGATCCTCAAGCACCTCTCCAAGACCAAATTTTTGACATGGAGAAGACTGCGAGGCATTCTACAAAAGGGGGTCCAAGATACGTCCCATGAGCACCAGTTTATTAGGTTCAAACATCAGACGGGCTTTAACATACCCTTTGCGATACATCCTCGGGGTTTGAGGACCAGTCTCAGGACCGTAGCCACTCTAGGTTGCGATTGCCGCGAACCTAGAAATGCATTACGATGACATTTTACAGCTTTAGATCAAAGCAGTCAGCAGAAGGAAACATCTCCGCGCTCTAATGCGTCACGAAACCTGAAACCTTTATACCTTCAATGAGGCGTGGGCATGCAGTAAATTCTTAAGGGACAAAGGACTCATCGGGAACTCTCTGGGATTACACTGCCTGAACTTCGCACAAACCCGTTCGCGGACTTTCACTCGGAGCATAGTAGAGTACTTAAACGAACGCGTCCAGGTTCTCTTCCTCAAGCCACCTATACTTCCTCTCCATTATGTCAAATCGAGCATGGTCAAATCCACCTGCCATCCCCCGAACATATCCTAGCCAACAATTCTTCTACAATGCTCGAGGTGCACAACTCATTGACACCATTATCGAGGCAAGGGACGACGCTCCACCGTCCAGTGGTCGTCGTAAGTATCTCAAATTGATGACGAGAATAAGTGTCCTGACTTCTACAGCCGGAGGGAGAATCAACGTCGGCAGCGGGTCGACGAACTTGAAATTCGAAAACAGCGTTTTCCAAACCTATACCGGCTCGGGTGAAGGCATCGACTTGAACGCTTTCTGTAGGTCTACGATTCTTCAGGAATATTTCAAGCCGAAATAACACATAATTTGATAGTAATGGAAACCCCGATTCTCCCCCGAGCACGCAGTACGCATCTTGAGCTCTCGAACAAGACCCCCGCTCTTGTTTCTAACTCGTTTTTGCAGAGAATTTTCAAGGCGGTAGTACACCCCGGAGGTTATGGCCTATTACGTAATGAAGCATGAGTGCAGGGTTAGGGTGCGGTCTATGCATCAGCGGTGGCAGGCTGGGTGGAGTTTCACGCTCTCACCGTGACTGTCATCCACCGCAAGTCGCTAGAGCTCATCAGAGCGGCTTGCCTTTCTTTTCTTTATAAACCTGTCTACTACCCACTATACCAAAACTTCCATCTACACTCATCCTCGTTTCAACAACACAACTGTCAACCAGCATGCCACGAATCACCCAAGACCCAAACCTGGCAGAGTCACCAGACTTCGACAGCGTCGAGTTCCAGGCCGTCTACGCACCCTTGGCCACAGAGGCAAACCCTGTCGAGAACATCATAGGCACGCTCAAGGCCGCCTGGACACACGACAACGACACAAAAAAGGCAGCCTGGGAGGCCCAAGTCGAGCAAGACAAGGCAGCAGAAGAAGCGACCGAACAAGAGTGCCAGGCAGCAGTAGAGGCGGAGGAGGCTATGAAGGAGAAGGAACTTCAAGAGACAGAAGAGGCGAACCAATGCGAAAAGGAGAAGAGGAAGCCCAAGGTCCGGAACTTCACAGTCAACAAAGTCGTTGACAGCGTCTCCGACACCCGCCCATCTCCGTACGCCATCCACAAGCTCCGCCAAGGCGAGTACATCGAGCTCTACTACTTCACACCAGAAGCGTGCTCTGAAGCAGAAAGAGCGGAACAAACTGCAGCTAAGGACAACATCACCTTCATGTCGGTTGGGGACCAGCTCTTCATGAAGCCGGCAGCCGCATACAAGGCGGCGAAGAAGGTCATCCGGGATGAAGACCTAACCTTTAAACAGTTAACGCTCGCCAAGAACAACATGCTTTGCCACATGGGCCAGGAGGAATGGCCGGAGCAGCACATCGTAGCCCTTGGCGTATTCTTCTTCAAGCTGGAGAGCCATCGCCTGCGAAAGCAAGACGGAGGTGACACCGTTGTGCTGCGCTACCAGTCGCAGGTCCGTCACGAGTGGACGGAGGCCCTCAAAGGTACCAGCGACGAGGACGTCTTTGACATCAGCGTCATCAACGACCTACGGCTTAACCAGATGTACACCGAGCACCTCAACACTCAACATAGCCAAGGCATTTTACGGTAAGTAACCCAATACCAGGTCCTTTCAAATCGCACACTTACAAGCCCCATTTACATGCCCTCCCAATAAAAATCGACGGTACCGACTGCATCGTCATACGTCGCAATCTCGCTTCGCCTACGCATCGCACCACCTGCATCGCATCGTATGTTTCATTTCACCCGCATCCCGCATCCCGCATCATTCTGCATCATACCGTGTCATTGCATCACATCACACTGCATGAGCATCACCGTCCTCTCCTACCCGCTACGACATCAATACCTACAACCCCATACTTCAATTCTGAACACTTACGCATCTATGACACTCCTCACACCACCCATGTGCCCTCATGTCGCGTCACACATACCTGTCCAAATATTACACATAATGACCTATGCTCGTGTATCTTACCCATAAATACGTTACTCAAAAAAAAATTACCTACAATTATGGCATCCTAACTACTAATGTCCTCTGCATCATCATCTCGCTCCGCATCTTGCACATCCATTAGGCTCGAGGAACAGCTTGCCAGAGCATCAATGAACACCCCCAGAGCGAAGCGTTACCGTTCACCCTCGCCATCACCAGAAAGGGCCCGCTGGAGCGACAAAAGGGTCCGCGCAAAACCGGCACAGACCCTGGTCCAGTCGCCGCCACGAGAAACCAAGAAACGTCGCATCACAGAAGCAGCAGTGCCGTTTTTTCAGCCGGGTGCAGCCACAACCTCGACCTTGTCGGCCTGCACCATCTGCCTTGGTCGAAATCCCCACAACGTCTACAGTTGCGCTTCAGAAACACTGTGGGACGGAGTCACCCCAGCCCATTGCACCAAAAGCGACAGGGGGTGTCTCCTCAACCCAGCGAACACAATCCTTTGCTCCGACTGGCAACGCAAGGCCGGATGCAGCAGCACATCTCACGACTCCAAACACGAGTGCTCCGGTTGCGGAAAGCCGACTCACGGAGCTCAGACGTGCCCTCGAGGGCAAAAAGCTTAATTCGGGGTCACCCTACAAGCCGGAAGCATGGAGGCAGCATCTGGAGCGGGCTGGGCTTACCGGAAAGTACCCAAATATCCCAAGCGACCTTCAGCGGGGATTTGACGCAGGGATTCCTGTCATCCGCACCACATTCACCCCACCAAACAAACAATCCGTTGCAGACTTCAGTGACAAATTCGATGAAAACTCGAAGGCTGAGTTCAAGCGTGGCCGATACATCGGACCAGTCACAAAAGCAGAGACAGAAGCCCTCCTGGGTCCATTCCAGACGTCTCCTCTCTCTCTCATTCCTAAACCCGCGCAGCTGGGAAAGTATCGTATCATACAAAACCTCTCGCATCCGCATAAGCCCACCAGCAATATCACATCTATTAACAGTGCCATCGACTCAGACCGCTTCCCATGCACATGGGGAACCTTCTCTGTCGTCTGCCTGCTCATTGCGCGCCTACCACCCGGTTCGCAAGCAGCAGTGCGAGACGTCAAGGAGGCCTATAGAACCATACCACTCAAGCCATCGCAATGGCCAGGCATTGTCGTCCGCCTTCGAGGAGAAGATAATTTCGCCATCGACACCCGAAACTGCTTTGGACTCGCATCAGGAGCAGGCTGCTATGGGGCAATTGGAGATGCTGGGGCCCAACTCATGCAGGCCAATGGAATCGGCCCACTCTCAAAATGGGTCAACGATCACCTGTTCTTTCGAATATGTCGAGAGCACTTCTCAGCGTACAATGACCAGCGTAGCCAATGGGCAGCCGACATCCGGGAGAACAGAGGGGAACTGCATGATAGAGGAAGACTCTGGTTCCGTGGGCAGCTCATGCCCAACGGAAAGCCAGAAGAGTTCGACGAGGACGTCTCCTTTCCAATCAGAGATCTCTCGCAGGCATCTCCAAGGTAAGCAACATCAAACACATCAGCCAAACAACCCTCACTCAGCTTGTGCAGATCAGAGATTCACTTACTGCATGTCAGACATTGACGCAATATGCAATGAGCTCGGGATTCCTTGGGAAACCGAAAAAGACGTACCATTCCAGTCAGTCGTCCCATTCATCGGTTTCCTCTGGGACCTGGATCAGCGAGAGGTCGCTCTTGCAAGCGCAAAGCAGGAGAAGTACCTCAAGGCTATTCGGGAATGGGAGACGAGGAAGGAGCACAACCTTGAGGAGACGCAAAAGCTTTATGGAAAGCTACTCCATGCATGCCTCGTGGTTCCAGCAGGACGTGCATATCTCACCAGCTTGGAGGCCCTCATGGCAACCTTCCACGATCGTCCTTTCATGCCACGTACCCCACCAAGACATACTACAAGCGATCTACAATGGTGGAAAGAGAAACTCCAACAACCCCAGATCATCCAGCCCATCCCAGGCCCAGTCCCAATCATCGACCTTGCAGCATATTCAGACGCTAGCTCAAAGATTGGCATTGGGATTACCATCGGAAACAGGTGGCGCGCCTGGCGTCTGCTTCCAAATTGGAAAGGCGAGGGCAGAGACATTGGATGGGCAGAGGCCGTTGGCTTCCTCTTCCTCGTCATTGCGCTCGGCAACACTTACCGCCACCCTGGCATCCATTGCCTGGTCTACGGCGACAACCAAGGAGTCGTTGAGGGATGGTGGAAAGGACGCAGCAGAAACTGGCCAAGCAACCTTATCTTCCGCAATATTCACTCAATCGCGGAAGAGAACAAGTTCATCATCCACACCCAGTATGTACCTAGCAAAGAGAATCCGGCTGATGGACCCTCTCACGGCGAATACGGCCCACCCACCCACCTTCTTGCTGCCTTTGAAATCCCAGTCAACCTCAGGCCATACGTCACAGACTACCACACACCTCTTTGCTCAACTGAGCTCCGTCTTATACGGGAAGGAAGAGCACCAATGGCAGCCCCAAGACTCGATGCAGCGTCAAGGCGCCAGCAGTGTAGAACCGCAGACGAAGGCCAGGCACAACGTGAGGAAGAATTCACTGCCCAAGCAGAAGCAGAGCGATAAGCGCAACCGCTTTGTGCCAGCAAATCGCAGCATCCAAGAGGTGGACACAGTGCACCCCACCTGCCCACCAGCACCATACCAAGAAGCACTTACTCCACATTTCTCACCGCAACGTCCCCATGTGCTCGCACAAGAACAGTTGACGTGTTGGAAGCCAACCACCCCACAAAATGTCCTTGACGGTAATGGCCATCCCACCAACCTAACCGAAGCCGACCTCCACAGAATCCTGGAGGTAATGGAGGGTGCATGGGCGGAAGGCACACGAGAGGGCTATGGGTCAGGCCTGCTAGTATACCACGTATTCTGCGATCAGAAAGGGATCAGCAAAGAGCAACGGGCGCCTGCGTCTCCCATCCTCATTGCCTCGTTCATTGCTACTATCACAGGTGCATACGCGGGAGGCACCATTTCCAACTATGTCTTTGGAGTGAGAGCCTGGCACCTTCTTCATGGGGTCTCATGGCAAATGAATCCTAGTGAGCTCGAGACACTCTTGAAGGCAGCTGCAAAGGCAGCCCCAGCCTCAACAAAACGGAAGAAGAGGCTACCGTACACAAAAGAGTTCATGCTGGCTATTCGCGACAAGCTGGACCTTGAAACGCCGCTGGATGCCGCCGTCTATGCATGCCTCACAACGACCTTCTGGTCAGCCGCAAGACTCGGAGAGTTCACAGTTAAAAACCTCACAGACTTCAAAGCTACGCACCACGTCAAACCATCAGATGTAATAACCACCACGGATGCCAACGGTTTGACGATGTTGGAGTTAGCCAACCCAGCATTTACTCGAACTTACCAGAATATTTGATTAGTAATATTCTGACTCACTTAGCATAGCCTCGGACAAATAGGAAATTAGTAGATAGTACTAGAATATTGTAGATACATAATTGTACAGTATAAAAGAGCTCTGTAGGAGCCCCGCAATATGAATCCTTTCTTACCTTCTGACCACCACTGCGCCAACAGGTTATGGGCCCCGAGCCTCAGTAAAGCGTGTCTCACCACCGTTTACTGCTTCCATCTTATCTCGCTCTCGTCCTTCCCACGCTCATTATCATTATCTTATCTAGCTACCTTATCATCGCACCATAGCCATGGATCGCACACTACTTACCATCCCCAAACTTACTAGTCATAATTACCATGACTGGAAATTTGCCGTCAGCATGGCATTGCGCATCAGGGATTGTTGGGATGTTATAGCCAATGGATCCGAGAAGAAACCGGCCGGCGACGCACTCACGGAATGGACAAAGAAAGCAAATGATGCGCTTACCATCATCGCTCTCACGGTGGATCCAAGCCAGTACACCTACATCCGAGATTGCACCGATGGAGTAACCGCATGGCAGAGGCTCAAGGATATCTACGAGAAGAATTCTCGTGCAACCCGAATCTCCCTCAAGCGCCAATTCTACGGCTTCGAGCACGATATAAATATGCCAATGCAGGATTATGTAAATGGCATTACAGATTTAGCCGCCAAGCTCAACGCGATCGGAGTTACCCTAAATGATGAAGATATCACCGACGTCCTTATCTTCAATCTCGACAAGGAATATTCGAGCATCGCCGCATCCTTATCAGCTGGCAAAACAGATCTCAAAGTCGGAGAAGTTGTTAGCACCCTTCTCGAGGAAGAACAACGGAAAGGGGGAGCACCCGATGTAGTTACCGCCCTTTACAGCAACGGCATCAATAACAATGGCCGAGGACCGCCGGGCCGACGCGGACCGAATCGTGATCGACGCGAAGGAATCATCGAAATGCGCACATGTTACCTATGCGGATACAAGGGACACATTCTCAAGGATTGCCGCGCCACGAAAACCAAAGATGGAAAGGCTATTACCACCAAAATGACTATTGCCGCCCTCGAAAGAATCAAGCAAGAACAAGAAATCGCCAAGTCGAACTATGTATCCGAAATCGGCGAGACCCTGAATGAATTCGCGTATTGATCGACCAATCAAAATTAGCGCCCGTACACATTTGCGAAGCACCACGGAAATGCTAGACTCATGGTTGAGGATCTCCCAGGTCTATGCATGATTGAAGAAGACTTTACTTACTGGAGGTTGAGGCTCTCCCTCCCTGATGGAATTTGGACAGCAGGTTGAGGATCTCCCTGCAGAATTGATTTTTGGGAGAAGGTTTGAGGAATTCCCTTCTTGCCAACACAGAACTTCGAAATTGGAGGTTTGAGGAACTCCCTCCAGAAGGAACAGATTTATTTGGAAGCTCAGCTGAAGGTTGAGGATCTCCCTTGCAGCTGTGAGCAATATTTTCGGACATTTCATTATCAGTTTCTATTTTTGGACTACGACCATTTTTCACCTCACTCGGAATGCTGGATTGAGGGGGAGTGTTGGAGTTAGCCAACCCAGCATTTACTCGAACTTACCAGAATATTTGATTAGTAATATTCTGACTCACTTAGCATAGCCTCGGACAAATAGGAAATTAGTAGATAGTACTAGAATATTGTAGATACATAATTGTACAGTATAAAAGAGCTCTGTAGGAGCCCCGCAATATGAATCCTTTCTTACCTTCTGACCACCACTGCGCCAACAGACGACGACAGCCTTTCACATCCCAGTTACAAAAACAGAGCCAATCGAAGGCGAGGACGTGTCCTGGTCCAAACAGAATGGGGACACTGACCCAGCAGCTGCCCTCGACAAACATCTCTCAGTCAACAACCCACCAAAGGAGGGCCCGTTGTTCACTTACCGCACCGCCAAGGGCTACAACGCACTTACAAAACCCAAATTCCTGCAGACGCTAGCCAAGGCCGCTCGAGCTGCAGGTCTGGACCCGCTGCAAGGTCATGGCATTCGCATCGGCTCAACCCTCGAGTACCTCCTACGAGGTATACCTTTTGAGGTAATGAAAGTCAAGGGCCGCTGGGCCAGTGACGCTTTCCTCACCTATCTGAGGAAGCACACACAAATCCTTGCCCCATACATGCAAGCCAATCCTCTCCGCCACGACGAATTCATCAGGCTGACCATGCCACCCATCCGCCGCGGCTAATCAAGTGAGTCCACGTCATCATGCTCCTAATAGGGTGGTATCCGAGACTCGCTCGACGCGTCGCAGGACTCCTAGTGCTTGGGAATCGCAGCTCATCTCGTTTCCTTTCATAGATCAGGAACTCCTGCCAGGTCGAAAAGCCCTTCGGCTTTTGCCCACATATTACTTCTCATCGGACATCGTAATACTTCAGTCATTCCCTAGCGTACACCAACATTATCCTAATGTAGCTTCCCCGCTCTCTCAGACGTGCTCTAGCGCCAATACATAGACCGCTAATCCCGGCTAACTCATCGCGGGTCGCACGGCGATCGTGAAAGATAGAACCTGTTCACACCGACAGAGTGGACATTTTCTGGATGCAAGAGCGAGAGCCTCGACAAACAAGGTCTTCTAAATGGAGCTGCCATCGCCGATTGGTGTGTAGATACGTTTATTAGTGACTCTGAATAGTATGTCCGACGGCGGCCTACAGACATTACATGACACATAAGCACGACCCACCTTCCCTTGAGTGGAGGGTGTGGAGGAAGATACTCGTACACCAGGTGTTATCCACGAGGGCCGCAGCCTCACGGGGTGGATTAGCACCGAAAGCAATCATCCACAAGCTTCCAGAGCTTGAGGACGGATTTGGCTACAAAGGACGCGAGGTCACTGCCTTAGAGTCTGTTTCGAGCTCGGCTCGAAAGGCACATACACTGCGAGAATTGGTCTACAATTTCGAGCAGAGCACGATCGAGGCTTATTTAACCATACGCTCCGGTTTATGAGCCCCGCAGTCACCTCGCCTAAGAGATCGCACGTGAAACATCGCGTACAAATTCATTTTAATATCGGTCCCATAAATTTGACGAGTAAACATACGAATCCTCCCCATCAACCCGATGCGGCCATTTTTCGATCATTCGAGCCCATTTCGTATGCCCCTTGAACGTGGAGAAGACATGCTAGGCTCGAGCTTAGCCTCCAAGAGGAGAAACGTCGTCCTTCGCACGTTTGTGAGCGAGGAAGTACGTCCTCGGAGCTTATTCTTCGCACTCTTAGCTGCACAAAAACGAGTCATTTGCAGTTTATAAACGGGAGAAAAGGTATCGGCGTACCCAAACCAAACCCAAATGGCCTGTGGACAGGCCTCACGAAACAAGCATCTTCGCACCCAACACCGTCAAACGAAGCCAGTAAGTACCGTCCTTCCCACCACAGCTAATGTCCGCAGTAAGGCTGGATACCTCACTGACGCCAAGGCTGGGGACGAGACCGTTGAGCTGGACCTGTGTGGCCCATAGGACGCACCCCAGAAGCTCATTCTTGTCCAACAAGTGACGAGGAACATCCGGGGTTGAAAGTTGGCTTCTGGGCAAGCTTCTGGGCAAGTCAGAGGGCCTTCCAGGTTGGCCTGTGGGAAGAGCCGTATCCAAGGAGGTATGCATGTTTGACCAAGAGAACTTCGGTCAGCGACACATATAAATAACGAGTACGAGTATGGAACCATGTTCCAAGGTTTTCGAAGGATATCGATATGGGTATAAGACGTCTGGATCTGTCAAATGGGTTCACGTAGATCTGCATCGCAGAGAATGAGGTAAACGACGTCCAAAATTGTATGAAAAGGCGATTCACCGTCATCACCAGTCTCAAAACTCGTCGTATGGCCTTGGAATTGATCTTTCGAAGCGAAGAATGGCACCGGAAGGCCTCAAGGCCACGGTCAGGTCGTGACTAATCCGTCGTATTGTGATAATTCCTGAATAGCTAACTTGCGGGGAGCGAATGCATCTTTATAGTAGCCAAAAATCAAAGATATATCAGTAAGATAACCCAGTAAACGTGGAATTAGACGGGAAAGTAAGGAGCCACCAAGCAGCCTGAGGGAACATCGAGTTAGATTCTCCTGCTCCATGAAAGGTCGTTAGGAACTTCACTCACTGAAGCAGTTGCGTGTATAAAATATAGCAGGCTACCTCCCTCTGCTGAGAGATCCTGGGTGTGCTAAGGAAAGTTGTTTAGTAACGCAGATCTTCGTGAGCAGGCAGAACGCGACCGTAAACTGCATGCAGAGGTCGCATAGATTGAGACCGTGTAAGATGTTAGGAAGGGCGGGTCGTGGCGCATTCACAGACACATTCGTCCTGAATATTCATCTTTGTGAGTGGGAATGACTTTGCACGAAGCTTTGTGGTTGGAGGATCCAAGAGGCTTAGATCATGTGAAAATAACCGACCAAAGAGATAGCGTCTGTCGCATCTTATCTTATCGTTTCTGGGTCCCGCACCGCCCTTCCGAGCTGGGTAATACTGCGCTTGCCTTCGTCAAGTCTTCATCGTTTTGGATCCTCGGCCCTTTTCGAGTTCGTTCTGGACAACTATCTGTCCGTTTTATCCGACTCCGAGTCTGTGTCAGCCTCAACCCCTATGCTTGTCGACGCATTTCGGTCGCATGACAGCGTTACACCGGTAATTCGTGGCGTGCGTCATGTCGACGACTCGAGGGCAATTTCTTTGCAAGAGCAATACTTATTCGCTACATAGCCACACTGGAGCTCTAGTCGAAGATTCTCCCAGCTGCTCCAGAATTCTGATTGGCAATATCACTGTTGGACAAGACAGGTCGCGGCGACGTCACAACTTGGGGGAAAGCCAGACCAACAGAGTAGACACAACATTATATATGGTGCGTTCATACGTCTTTCGTGTGCATAAACACTCATTCTGGGCAATTTGACGCCCATATAGCGTCTTGAGCGTCGTTGGCTGGGCTGAACCTCCTGTCGAACTCATGGCCATCCACCCGCTCAATTGAATCCAGCTACATCCCAGCACCGCCATTCTTCACCAGCCCGAGGGATTGCTCTGCGTGTCCGCATAAGCGTTCTGAACGGCTTAAAATAAGGTGCACAAACGCGCCACTCAACGTTGAGGACGTGACGGGTGTGTCCCAGTTGCAACGACCTTCGATAAAGTAAGCGTCGGGGACCAGCTCGTCAATTACACTCGAAGGATACTCTACCGGCTCTCTTCCGCTGCGAATGATTCGGATCGATCCTCCTATTGCGACCATCTATGTGCTTGCCCTCGGTCAAGCACGGGATCCACTGGTCCATCTGAGCCAATTCTCCTGCCGCGTGCACGTCAGGGTGCCCCTGCCTGCCAGCTTTGTGTTATGGGCCTGAGGGCTAAGGACACACCCGTCATCGTCAGGATCGATGCCAGCATCGCCAGCGCTCGCGGCGAAGTGCAGAGATTGTCACCCAAGAAATTTTTCCAAGACTTCCGACCAGTTTCATGCGCACAATGCATATCCTACTTATGTACGTCGCCTCCGCTAGAGCCACCATCCCAAAGACGATAACCCAGAATGATAGGTAGTGTCCAGACCCTTATTCTCTGTAAACGGGGGGAATATATGCGGCGTCAAGCAGGCCTGACAGCAAGCGCATCAGCCTCCGGCGCCAAACCATCGTCAGTTCTTCCGTTAGGATGATTGGATATCGTACGTTCACTCTTCTATGCGTGCTTCCAATTGTCATTTCGTTTTTAGGTTTCGGCTTCTTCCCTCCGAACAACCTTTAAAAATAACCAACGGCCGGATTGGAGAGGCAGGCTCGGAAGTTCTTGGATCATGGGCCTTGGTACGTCGAAGCAGCGCCCAGTGTTCAGAGTCATTGATGCTTATCCTCTGCCTCCTCAGGTGATTTTGGCCTTTGGAACACCCTTAATGCCCACATGAAACAGATAGAACTTGAGTCCGAGCGATTAAGGTCAGCTGTATACCTTGAATTTGGGCTAGCAATTAGTCTGAGATTTGATGTGCAGGAGACCTTTCCATTTACTGGACCCATGGAGCGCGGACTCCAAATTTTGTCACCAGGCAAGCTCAGAGTTCTATTGGACTAACAACATAGACATGCTACCTAGAGGTAGGTATCTCGCCCGTGCAGATCTCTGTTCGAATTATAACCCCCAATTATTCAGGTGCTAGATTTAGTCCCTAACGAACATTCGAGGAAGACACGAGCTTCCCTCGCTCTCCTTGCACTATCCATCCAACACGAAGACGCCATCCTGATTCGACCTCAATTAGCACATGTATGTCACCTAAGAACCAGGAAATGTCCTGCCTGCAGCCCCTGTATCGCTGAGGACCGGGGCTTCAGGGGTGGCAGACAATGAATTCCACGTCAACTTCGGCCGAATACGACAGATCTACTGCCGAAGTAGACCATCTGCCAGCGATATCGATAGCTCAAGCGTGGGTTTACGGCAATGTTGACTTGAAGCAAGTAGCGTTGTGTAAACGCTTTTTTCGCGTGTCTTTCTCAATAGTTCCGTTGATTAGGTGTGTCTAATGCCACCTTGGCCTGTACCTAGGATGAGAGTCCGAAATGTCTATCCGCACGTTGGAAGTCCAAAGCCTGCAGCAGGCAGTTTCGCCAGTATACGGAAATTCGGCGTCCATGGAGACTTCCAACGACCTGCACCTCGGGCACATACGATGCCAGGCTTTCTCGGCCTTCCCTTTTCAGCTATCGTTGAAACGTAGTCACTGGTATGTGACGTCCATCGAAACTTAAGAACGCCACCGTTCTATCGTGCGTATCGTCTTCGCCCTCGAGGTTGGTGCCCTTGCCCAAGGGCACGCCTCCTTTTCCTTCATGCCAACCTTAAAGAACGCGAGTCCGCCCAAACATCTATCGCCTCCTACTTCTGCTTCATTCTCGCACTCGAAGATGCAGAACGCAACCAAGACGAACCCCTACGACTCCTATGTCTCGACTAACGGCAACCAGGTTCTTTTCATGAACGCAAAGAGAGCACAGGTCAACGATTCCGTGATGAAGACTGTCGACACTGCACCGCCAGGCGCTGCTCCGAGTACGTTTCTATCTTTAGCCTGCGGTGAGGCGCTGACAATCGTGCCCACGCAGAGGGTTCCAGTTTCCAGTTCGGACATGGTGCGGAGGGCATGATCGTCGATAATACGGTAGTCGCCGCATATACAGGCAATGGAACAGGGGTCGATATCACAAAGTTTCGTACGTATCCCCATCGTCCGGAGAACTTTGATGATTCCTAATTGTTTTCCAACTCTTAGTACTTGATACACCCCTTTTACCGCGCGCGGTTGCTGCCACCGCCCGAGGTGCTGGCCAAAGTACGCTCGCAAATTGAATAAGATAACGACAGAGTTATGCTCTAACAGACTATTAGGTTCAGATCCAACGTCTCAATCGCTGTCTCATGGAGCAGCCTACCAGCGAGAATCGTCCTCAGTAGGTAGTTATAGGGTTGCCGCTGTCGTTGCAGCGCCAACCGCCAACGAACGTCCTGCCTCCCCCAAGAGCTGCCAGGGTGCTACTTCCACACCCCGAGACTCTTCTCCACATACAGGACCTTCGAGCCAACCTCCTCTGAACGGAAATTCAAGTCGTGTGCTCCATGAAACTCATACGAGAAGAACAGATATTTGGAAAGGGTTATCGGTGCCACCAGGATGGGGCGGCCCGGCCGGGAGCGCCTTGCAACAAGGGATTTCGGCCTTTAAAAGCCGCAATACGCCAGAGCGGGACTGTGTATATGACTGCGATTGAGCGCCGAGCGAGGGAGACCACCTACTCCTTGAGGATGGAAGAGTGGATGTCGTTTGTGATAATCCCTACGTTCTATCGGCGGAGATTCGTTTGGAGCCCTCATTGATGAACGCCGAGAAGAAAACAATACCATCACAGATAGGAATCCATTACCAGAAGATCATATGAGAAACTTGACGATGATGCATGCTTTCGCAGTCGCTTTAGAGTGCTAACGGAACCTGTCCTAACCACAGTATGGCCAGCTTTTTCAGCGATTTCCGCGCGTAGTATTCTTGGGCGCTTAAAATTTCGTCCTCGATTTAAGAGGATTAAAAGGAGGCGCGGTACCACGAGGCTTAATATATAATATGTGAAGCATTCCGTCACTGAATCCTATGCTCGGCAGTGTCCAGTGGGGTTTTCCTCTTCTCGACATCTCCGGTTGTAAGTAGCCGGATACCACAACTCCTGGAGCCGGAACACGTAAGTGTTGCTTGATTCAAATTTCATTCTATATCTTTCCTCTGCAAATCCCTTCCTACAGCCGGAGGAGGCATCAAGATCGGCAACGGGTCGACCGACCTAATCTTCGAAAATTGCGTCTTCCGCACCTACACCGGAAGTGATCAAGCTCTGAATGTCCAAGCGTTCTGTACGCCTCCTCTGTTGGATTTATCGGACATCATTCGATACTTGAATCTGAATTTATTCAGTGACCCAACCGCCTGTCTTGCCTCGTCGTTCTGGTAGGTGAGTAGCTCTGGGTTCCAAACTCTTTCATCCATCATTGTTACGAAAATCAAGAGTCATGCTTAACCTTTCCTTCTTCAGTCCGTGAACAAGCCGAATGCGCGCACAAGACGGTTTCAGGGTTGCCTAGAGACTATTGAATTTCTTCTCCTGATTTTTTCCTTAAGCTTCGCAACACAATTCGGTCAGTCATGATTCTGCAACATGGGAGGCTCATCGACATTGTTCCTGAAATCTGACCAGTTAGCCTCCAAGTCCATTTCTTCCTGTTCCCGTTTGTCCCCAAGAATGTTGTCTCAATTTTACCCATTTTTCTTTTTCACTTCTTTCTTCAAATTGGCTTGGAACGTTTAACTTACGCGCGTTTTCGTGCTTCACTATGGCCGTTTACTTCCATAGTTCACGAGGATAACTTACAAGAGGCTGCATCTGTGAAAGCGATTACTTGAACGCCTTTCCTCCATGGGGTATGTCGGTATTGTGCACGGCATCGGCGTCAACGACTCCTATGCAGTCGCGTGCCTGCAGAGAGTGCGCGAGGCAAGATCATCTAAGAGCTAGTGGCATATCTTATCGCATCCGAGACCTCTCCGCACTCCTGGTCATTCCAATTGCCATTCCACACTACCAAACACAGCACTAGCCAAAATATCCCCTACGAAACTACAGAGATCCAAAAAAAACCGTCGCAGAGATGAAAGAATAAGGAAGAATAAAGTAGGACAGCTAGCACGACAACAAGCATTACGTCGGCACAACAAACAAGACGAAGGCGATGAGGTGGAGGGGTTGCAAGGAAGATCGTAGAAGGAGCATTGGGTACAGGGAATGGAGGGTATCAGGGATATGGCGATGTGTGTACAAGATACAATGGGGTGGTATCGTGGGGTCAGTAGGCTAAGTGTGTGGATTGGGTCCAGGAAAGATGGATGATGATCGACAATATCTAGATCGCAGTGTCAGGGGGGTTCCGCACCGAGTCGTACTTCGCATGGAACGGTGACAAAGGCATGTGTTGAGGAGGGTTCTGAGCGCGTGCAGAGGTGTAGCCCACAGTCGGCATCGACTCGAGTTGCTGCAGGTTCGATCTTGAGCGTTTGAGGATCTCAGCAGCGACATCTTGGCCATACTGGTCAGCCAATTGACTAGGAAGAAAACCACGTCGTCAGCTTGGGTGAATGAAGAGAAGAATGAGAAGAGAACGCACTTGGCGTAGTTGTCCATAATCACTGCCATCGTGTTCATGTTCAGCCTGTATGCCTCAGGCATCATGCCCTTCCCGAACCTATGCGTAATATGGTTCGAGCAGAGCAGCCCGGCGAGCATTACCAGTATCTGAGCAGGAACGATCGAGAACACCGCAGTGTACCACAAATCGAGAATGCGCCTCTCGAACTGCAAATACGGCAGTTTGCATCCTGGGAGGATGCTTCGGGCATAGCATGTCTGGCTGACCGTCGCCTCGATGAACGGCGAGAAGTACCCACAGCACTGGAGCTGGTTCTGGATCCTCATCCGTCCCTCCGAGCCGAGGTCGCGCGACCACTGCGCGTTGATCTTGCCTTCAAGGTTGAACGTTCGCTTCTTGTACGTGATGTACCCCGGAACAACGAGGAACGCGAACGTGATCCACGTCAGGAAGGTGTACCATGCGAGGAAGCCGCGGTTGTTGAGTAGGAGCCCGGCCCACCCGATGACGGAGGTGAAGATCCCGAGGCAGGAGGCGAATGTCGAGAGGATGAGCTCAGGGCGGTTGCCAGTGCGGATGACGTCGGCGTGGGTCCAGACGTCGAACCAGGTCAGGAGGCAGATGACGAGGGCGCCGAGGGAGTAGAGAGTCAGCTGCAAATAGCTGGTCAGCATATGGACTAGCGAGAAATACGAAGAGAAGGTGGGGTGATAAGAGGGGCACAGACCACGAAGGGGCTATCAACTCGGGTGGGGAAGGAATTGAATCTGGATAGATGCTAATCCCCTGTTTCGGCGATCGAGTTCAACTTCGCGGTCGAAGTTCACAGATCTGGCAAAATCCCTGCGCCGTAGAGACACCATGAGGGTTTGAGGAATCCGTCAAGGAGTCCAAACCGTCGATGTAGACAGGCAATTGCCAGGAACCCATAAACCCCAGCCGTGCCCCCCGATTCGAGAAGAAGAGGCGCAAAGGGTAGGTAAATGATACTCACCATGCTGTTCGTGAAGAGCAGCACCCACTTGAACTTGTTCCACCTCAGCCTTCCCTTCCCCTGCGGCATTCTCGCCTCATTAGATTTGAATGCATCCAGCCCTCCTCCTCTCTTCGGTAGGTTCGGCCCATCGCCCTTGCCGCCTCGAAACCTGGCCCCAGGCGAGATGATCGATGCAGAAAACTTCGTCGGGATATAGTTGACGCTTAGGGAGAGGTTGCTTCCAGTCCCAGAGGTGACAGAGAGGTTATCTCTGGAGCCACGGTTGCCTGCAAAGGGGGCGCTGGGTGGCTCGAGGAAGCCGCTGTAGTCGGAAGAGGAATTGTTCATGTCGGCGAGCATATGACGAGTGGAGCCAGCTTGTGAGTAGGCGGCGCTGGCGACTGAGGTGCGTCTGGACGAGCGGCTGTGGGATCCAGATTCGTGGTCGTGGGTCATGGAGTATTGTAGTGTGGGTGCGAGAGAAAAAGACGACCAAGAAAAAGAAAAATGAACAGCAACGTGGCGGATCAGCGACGCCGTATCAAGCGCAGCAGCGGACAGCACTCACGGAGATTCATTATCTATCTGCATCTGGGGAGTGTTTTATTTGAACGAGTGGACAGGATGCAGTCAATCAGTAATGGTGGTGAGTAAGAGGGAGTTTGAACAGAGCCGGGGGTTTGCGTAAGAAAAAAGGGCCTGGACGTGCGTGCGATAATTACGTACCAACTGCGGACTGTTCGTTTCAGACCTCTCCCGCTGGTGTTGCTCTAAATACGTCGACCACACGCGCTGCATCAGTGGAAAAGAGTGGACTTTGAAAGGATCGTTAGAGCGGGGTATAAGAAAGAGAAGAAAGAATGGAGGCGCTACCTAAACACTTCCCCTTATCACAGTTCCGTTCACATGCCCGCAGTCATTCAGGCGGAGCTTCAAGTGACATCTGTTGAACGGTTTCCCAGCGTCTCCACCATCTGAGATGTCAAAAACATGGCACCAGCGCTGAGCTATCTTCTTTCAGAATGGGCGCTGTATCTTCCTTGCTCTTGAAGAAGCCCACAAGTGACATCAATTTCGGGGGAAGGTGGGGCGAGCGAGTGGGGAAGAGCTGATCGTCTTCGGCCATCAACGGCACGGAATCTGACATTGCAACGGAATATTGAGAAGAAGCGCTTAAGCGAAAGTAGTGGCGTGGCGCACCAAGATATAGGCGCTAAAGATTGAGAAACCGTAAGCGCATGAAGCCTCGCTCAGCCAGACACCGAGGTCACCTGCTGCCTTGTTGGTCTTGCGCAAACCCCAGCGAACCACGCTGTCGTTGGAATACCGACCCGTCGTAGAAGCGGCAATCAGTCACCTGGCTATCTCCCGGAACCAGCCAGCGCCGACGCGTACCGAAGAGTTGGGCGATCTGAAGGAGTTAAGGGCGCAAGAAATTGGTAGTACAACACCTAGAGCGAAAATGTGTATGATGCTGCAGTGGGGTCCTAACGAGTAGGCGCCAACCAGGGATGCTATGACGCCAGGAAATAGGAATTCACAACGCATATACATGTGCACGTCCTGTCTCTTGAAACAAACATAAAATGCTATTTCGACGCATATATGCGTCCAAAATGGCTTCGATCATGATCAGGTGTAAACCTATCCAAGGAGTTGAATGACACACCGAGACTAATGAGACCTCGCGACCCACTGCACCCTTTTTACGGCGTGAAATACGCTCAGTGCACAACTGCCTCACTCTATTTTTGAAGGCAGGCAGTTCCCAAGATCTGACCGTCATCGAAAACCGGAAGGCGGGCACTTATGAGCGCAAATGGGTGGAGAGACTGCCACGATGTAGGCTGATTAACTCCGGATGAATCATGGAGGTATGCGGGACATACTACATGGTGCATCGACAATGTCGAGAAAGCAGCGCATCACGTGCAAATGAACAAAGAGTCCTTCGCCAAACAATAAAGACACTTTACTCTAACTGTCCGCCTGAGGACGACAGCTTTCCGGAGACAAAAAAATGACGACTGACTAGATAAATTAAAGATTACGATCTCACGTGGAGAGCACCTACTGTCGAGCCTCCCACATTGTATGCAAGCATAAGAAGCATTTACCGAAAGTTAGTTCGTCGGGCGCCTAACCATTTTCGTAGAGACAGAAGTCCGCCAGGTCTCAACGTCGTTTGAGCACGCTGACTGATGGATCTCACTCATCTGCAGCTTATGTAGACAAATTCATTAAGCAGACCATATAATGCTTTTTGAAGGGAAGAGGGAAGAGAAAGTCAGTCCCCCAGTTCCCAGTACCTTGTATCTTCTATAACTCGAAGTTGTAGCAGTCGCGAACTGGCGGAAAGCAGACAAATGGTTATGAAAGAATACACGACTACGAATGGAAATCCCCGACGGAATCATGTCGCTGTCCGAGGTTCTGAATATTCAAGAAGTAGACGAACATTGTTCCACAATTGGACTACCCGTACATGCTCAAGAGCTCTGTGGTAGCCTTGGATGGCATTTCCTTCAGACTCCTCACCAAAGACTGAAACATAGAACATCAGTTCATGATTGATTCGGACCTGACAAGAACGCAGAGGGACTCGCCTAGATTTCCACGAGGCAAGAGAGGCTTCTGGTTCACTGAAAGCCGCTAATGAGCGTTCGATTCGCGCCAGTTAATCTCAACGAAACTTACACAAAGCTTGCAGGTCAATTAAATGACCATCTCCAGTGTAAGTTCGGAAAACGCTATTCTCGAAGAGTAGGCCAGTCGACCCATTGCCGATTTTAATGCCTCCAGCTGTTTGGAGAGATTCATCAGTCACTGACGCTAAAAATAGAAACAGATACGCATGCCAGCGCCTCGAGGTGCAGTGTCGGCGCTGTTCATCACACAATCGACGATCCTAGGGCCCACCGCGTTTATGAAGAACTCCTGGTTTCCACCTGGCGTTATAAGTGCGTATGAATTTGTCCCCGAGTTGTCGTGGTTTACGTTCTGAAAGGGGAGGGAAGTAGAGGTCGTGGTGGAAGCATTCTCTCCATCGTCACCGGAGGTTTCGTCAGCCGCGAGGCTGCTCGTGACCGTCTTCGTATCCACTGGGGAGAACCCCTTCTCACCGCCGGCACTGTGGCCGTCTACGTGGCCTTGAGCGGCTCTGTCCATGTCGGAGTGCGAGAATTTGGAAGAGGAAGAAAAGCAGTGAAGGCGGGATTATATAGGGGGACCCTCCGGCGCCTATTGGGGTTAGATATGCAGTGACTGGGAGATCACGAGAAAATTCTGCCTCCTAATACACTACCTCGAATCACCACAGAACATAGCTATACTTTCGGAGATTTATTAATCCTCATGGCACTGCAATTGGTTTTGATGCTGTCAGTTGAGACCATACAAGCACAGTAGGGACCCAAATCTAGCAGTGCTATCAGAATACGGTATCGCCATTGGGATTAGGAACGTCAATATGAGCTATACTCTGCTTGGCTTCCCGTTGACAGTTCGGTGTTGGGCCTATTGTATTCACTCCTTGAGCCCATTGAGTAGGTGTCTATCCACGGCGCTCTCTTGTCAATGGCCTTCGGTTTCCGCAGACTTACAAAGGCCTAAATATTGAGTGCGATCTAAGCTCCCTGCATAAGAAAGACATACTCTATCCGGGAAACTCTACTGAAAGGACGACTCGAAGTTTGTTTGCCTCGATGCATGTCTACAGGCCTTATACCCACTAGAATAGGGCTTCCGTAGCGGATAATAGGCCAACCTTGGCCATTATGAGCTACTGCCCACCATGTCACGAAATTATGACGACTGATGGAAGCCTCACGTATAAGCGCCCACGACAGCAATGTCAACACCGGCACGCCGGCCCGCTCGGTACTCGACCCAACGCCCATTTCTTATTTGACTTTTACACTTTGTAACTATGCATCTGTCGAAGAAAACCACAAGGAAAAAGAAAAGAAAAAGAAAAAGAGAAAACGTCGATCTCGAATTCCACTTGATGCATCAAGCGACTTCCCCTTCGTCGATCTGGGTGGGTGCTGGCGTAATGGCGGCCGCCAACTTGGTGGTAGTGCTGGTCCTCGTCGTGGTGCTGGTCCTTGTGGTGCTAGTTGACCTCGAGGTGCTAGTCGAATGGCTTGTGCTTGTCGATCTCGAAGTACTGGTTGACTTGGATGTACTACTAGTTTTTGTGGTGCTGGTTGACTTGGATGTGCTACTCGTCTTCGTCGTGGTGCTTGTCTTAGTGGTGGTGCTCGTCTTCGTTGTGCTCGTCGATGTGCTCGTGCTGCTCGCTTTGGTAGTGGTCGTAGTTGGCGCCTTAGTAGTCGAGGTCGACTTGGTGGTGGTGGTGGTGGTGGTAGGAGCGGTTGTAGTTGGCTTCGTCGTCGGAGTGACAGTAGTAGAAGGCTTCGTGGTCGTTGGCGAAATCGTTGTCGTCGACTGTGTGGTTGTCGTCGTCGGAACACTAGTGGACCTCGTCGTCGTAGTTGACGGAATAGTGATTGTCGGCCTCGTAGTCGTAGTCGAAGGAATAGTGACAGTCGACCTTGTCGTGGTTGTGGGAATGGTAGGAGTAGAGGTCGGCACTGACGTGGTCGATGTAGGAGGAGCTGAAGTCGGGGTTTCCACAGTGGATGTAGGCTCGGTGCTCGTCGTAGTGGGAGGTGCGACAGTAGGCTCTTCGGTAGTTGGGGCTGCCGTAGTCGTTGTACTTGGAACCTCCGTCGTCGGGGTAATTGTTTCGGCCGGCGGGGTTTCAGTTGAAGTCTCCGTCGTAGTAGGGACCGGTACCTCAGTCGTAGTGGTAGTGATTGCCCCATTGATATATACCGAGAGGCGGCTCGGAGCACCGCAGATTTCGGTAGGGTCGGCCTTGCACGCCATCGAACACTCGCGGACTGGAGCAGAGGTGTTCTCAACGAGGAAAGAGGTGCCGCACCCTGTCGACAGGGATGAGAATTATGTTCAACAGAAATCAAAATCACCAACTTACAGCATTCCTGTCCGAATTCTAGTCCCGCGATAGGAAAACCGCCGGCTTCACACTCAGCGATGCAGCCTTCAATTGTTACACCACCAACGACCTCGAAAGGGCCGGTCAGAGTGCGCCCATTCCCATCGATCGCGTCACTGGGCGAGTTCCGTAATCAGAAGAGCTCGACGTATCAAAGAATTAGAAACACACGTATGGCAACCCTCGAACGACCACGTTCCAACTTGGGCTTTGTTTATCGGAACGGGCCCTCCATTCGTGAAGATTCCGACACGCCCAGCGCCTCCGCAGGTGAGAGTAGGGTCACCCGCGCAAGGGAAGGCACACTGGCTGTCCTCGACTTGGGTCGCTGTTCCTTGGATATTGAAATCGCAGTCTAATAAAGTGAGGAACGATACGTCAATATGACGAGCTCCACCACGAGAAAATATACAAACAGCATTCTGAGCTGAATTCGACCCCAGCGAAATTGAACCTTGTCGGGGCTGAGGCGGGCCCTTGACAAAATTCAGTGCAAACTGCGGGTGTCAGTATTGGGTCCACAGTGCTGGCTTCGAGAAGGGTTCGAGAGCCTGGAGCATCATCTCTGAGACATCGGTCAGTGACACTGATATGAAGGATAATCGAGTGAACACAAAGCATACGTGAAGCAACCGACAAAGGTCCATCCGTCGATTGGACCGTTGGGGTTTGCAGGAGGAGACTCCTGGCGCTTGGAGAACGGGGTCGCATAGCTTGACGGCAATGAAATTATCCAGGTCAGAAAGGAAGAAAAAAGAACCACACGGGAAAAAGACGAAGAATCCATGATTTTTCCGTTGCGTCACTCGCTGGAGCATTGGCGGGTTATATATCGCTTTCCAACCTTCGCGGACTGGGCCGATGCTGCCTGAAGGCCCCGAAACATAATCATAGGTTCCTCCATGTCAGACGGAGGAAGAGCAGAAGGAAAAGAAAGAAAGGTATGGAACCCGTCAAAATAGACGAAGGCATATGGGCAAGGGAGTGAAAGCGGACGATCATGAAAGAGAAGAGGAACGAGGGCCCTTATACAACATACAGGAACAAAAGAGGAGAATCGGGCGAGGAATACAAGGCCATGCTTCAGAGAGCGAGGCGATTAGCGACGTTGGCCATCTGTTCGTCAGAGAATCGAGAGCCAGAAAATGAACGGACTGAATTAGACAAAGCTTCTGACACCGTCCGAGTCCGAAAAACTGCCTTTCGAACACTGGCAAACAAGACATACTGTATAAAGAAGAACCTTAGGATCAATAAGTGGGTATAAAGGGGAAAGAATTGAGGCTCGAGACGTACTGATGGGTGGCCGCTAGCTCGTACAACTGTTCGGCAGCTGGCGGACAATCCAATGTCCATAGAACACGTCAATGTGGTGGCTTCCTGGACATAAGTTTCGGCCGAGAGGGTCGCGCTATCTCAGCTTGCGAACACGGAGACGCTACGACACATCCAATGGCTCCGGAGGTGTCGCGAGGTGGAAGAGACATTGGCAGGTTCGAATTTACACCTAACGGCCGAGACAGGTTTTTAGAAGATTGTTGTGTGGACATTACGGAGGATATTTACACTTTGCAACTTCATCGTGCCAGCGACAGAGATGTGAGGAGATGAGATGAGGGCAAAAGATTTGTCGAACGTTGATGTGGCGCGATCAGTTTGGCTGTGGTTGGCTTCCGGTCCGGAAGCCGGGTTGCCAAAACAGTGCTTCGCGGGAATTTCGACACCCTCTCGCACCCGCAAAGAAAAACATCCCCATTTCTGTATCTGTAACTAGAGTGCGAAATTTAGAATTGATTTGATACCCGCGGTTTCGGCCTCATTTCATTGTTTGAAGAATTCAAAAGCTTCTGGGAAAGTGTCTTGTGGCGCAATTACCTGTGATGGATATCTCTCTCTGCGGCTCATCCACTTTCCATGGACTACTCGTATATACACCCATATCTAGTATCAAATCGGGGTCTGAGGCACAATGTTCTATCGACAGCAGCTTCTCTCTGTGGTCAAGCATCTGACCTCGCGTCCTATTCAGTTTGTCACGAGCAGTGATAGGTAATCCTAGCTTACCCACTATGTCAGTGTGAGGAAAGAACTCGATTAGAGACTGAGAAGCATCCTCCCACCAAGCTTCACCCAGGTTCAAGCTTCAATCCGAAATTCGAATCAAAACTCAAGGAGCTCAAGTTGGTCCAGAATCAAATGAAAATAGGAAATCTGATAGGCGTCTAGAAACTCGAAACAGATGGTCCACTGCAGTGCCCAGTTTGAAGCTTGCGAGGCGTCCTGCTCTATCTTAGTAAGTATATTGATCAGACGACGCGAAGAACAAACTTAGCCGGGCCGCTGGTAGTCGCGTTGATCCGGGAGTTGAGGGCAGGCATAGTTAACGTCGACTTGGAGTTAAGACGTCTGGCGTTCCCATCATCATCCTATAACAATGTAGCCCACAATTTACTCTTCCATTATCCTGGACTTTCCGAAGTAATCATGTGTAACTTCCTTCACTGCGACACCTAGTTCTAACTGAACTAAGTTTACCATCGATTGCGTAACAGACCCCCTGAACTCAGTGACCGTTCAGCACTTCAGCTCGTCTAACTTCTGTCCTAACCATTTCACTTATCAGCCTAATCTCTTCGCCTTCACTGCGGATTTAGAAGCTGCAGAAAGCCCGAAACTCAAAACTATATTTACTCGACACACGGGGCCTATTCGTCGACTCTCACCCTCTGGCACATGGCTGTCCTCGCCCATCGATTCTGTCGTCCCGACTCCGGCTTCGGTTCTTGATCCTCAAAGGTATTTCTGCTTGCCATCCTAAACGCCGCGTGGAATCCCGTACGTGGGCGAAACATAATCTTCCGCGTTCGTCTCGCTGCTGGCACGCCGCCCCTGTCTATTCGACGTCTTCCTTGACCCTCTCGTCCTTCCTTTCTGCCTTCTGTTTATGAGGAACTGATTTAATGGTTATCATACTTTTCGGCTCGCTTGATGCTCGGTTGGCCGAGGACCCGACGCGTATATAACGCGAAGGGCGGCCAGACTCGACCTCCATCCACTGGACTTTGCTAGCAGGATAACTCGGATAATCTTTCTCTCCAAAAGAGCGCATCATGACACTTTCTACGTTCTCTCGTCTCACTCTGGTTGCTTCATTGGCTGTTTTAGTCTCTTGTCGTCCATCTATTCTAGATGCACATTCTACTCAGCCGTTGAAGCGACAAGACGTCCCACCGCCGAACCCTAATGGCCCCATCGCTGGGTGGAGCTATGTCGGCTGCTTCACGTACGTTCTCCATATTTTTATGTTTAATTTTACTTATTCTTTGTCTTTAGGGATATCGCGTCGTCGCGCACTTTAGTTGGGGACGTTATTCTTGAACATAACTTAACGCCGGCGACTTGCACCGAATTTTGCCAAGGAACGGCCGTTGAACCTAAGGGGTTCAATTTCGCTGGCCTCGAGTTCACGTCTGAATGCTGTAAGTAGCGTTTATTTCATCCAACTCTGAGGCTGCGTTAATTCTTCTACCTTATGCTTTTAGACTGCGACTTCAATATCCAAGGCACCGCAACTCAAGTCGAAGACGCCGAGTGCAATTTCCCTTGCGCAGGAGACGAAACCCTCGATTGTGGTGGGTCCGGACGTGTCAGCGTCTTCACGAATGGCGGCCTGCCTCCTACGAACAGAGCCACGGTCGGATCCTGGACGTTCGCAGGTTGCCACACGTACGTTTTCCCTTCATTTTCATCTCCGAGGGCTCTTGTGACTTACTAACCGTGGTTCTGGCTAGTGATGCCATCGATGGGAATGGACGCACGCTCCTCGAGCGGTTCGACATCCCCACGGGCGTGACCGTCGAGAGCTGCACTACACAGTGCGCCGCCACGGGGTTCAATATCACTGGATTAGAGTTCGGTCAGGAGTGCTGTGAGTGCCCAATTTCAGAACGCCACTTTTTCGTCGAAGAACTAGTTTTTACATTAGAGGTCTAACCTGACCTTGTTGTGAATTAGGGTGTGGATCGTCCTTCCTGTTCCCCAACACGACTGCGCCACTTGGCGACTGCTCTATGGCGTGCAAGGCAGATCATACGGAGTTCTGCGGAGCCTCGAGTCGCCTTTCAGTCTATGTCGATTCGCCCGAGATGATAAATACGGAGAGTGTCGAGCCTCCTCCTGCAGTGACGTCGAACTAGGTCACGCCGACTGCAGGAAGTCCTACGTTCGTCGCGAACACGGATGCTCCTATCACAACGGTAGGTATTCCGACTACGGCGCTGCCTACTACTACTGCTGCGGGATTTACTGAAGGGGGAGCGTTATGAACATGCCTACTCCATTTGTAGTAATGTTGGTCAAGCAATGAAAGCTTTCTTGAAATTCAATGCCGTCTGACGGCGGCTCGTCATATACATATTGATGCAGGGGAGTAGCAGAGCCTTCTACCTTTCTTCTGCAGTGTGCCAATATAGTAGAGAAGTGCGACCTGCGGAGCCGTGTCGATTTATTGTCAGGGTTGTGTTGATGCTGTTGTGTGGGAAAATGCTGTCCATTCAGCCGGGGAGACCTAGCCACGTTTTGTGACTTTCCTGTCCATTTCCTCTTCACTGAAGCCTGACTGAAGCCACCCTCATCTTTTCTTTCTATTATGGCTGCTACCCAATGCGCAGTATTTGCGGCGATTCACTACACCCGTATCTCAACACCCAGCTTGACCACGTTGCAGGCATGCTGTTCCTGTCAGGCTATGTTGGGAAACCCGGTGAGAACAACGGCCAAAAGGGCCCACCATAATATCCTCATCTTGTTTCCCCTCTAGCCCTACCCCCTGCGCGATGGCACCGTCAGGACAGAGCAAGAAATCTTCAAAGCATAGTAGCACCGACAAGGTCGACACGACCACTCAAGCGGGCGCATTCCTGGTCTCGATGGTGGCAGGGGCGGCTGATGTCGAGCCGATACCCTACCTGGATAGCCCATCGTCAAGAAAAAAGAAGTCCTCCAAACGCAATCGCACCGACAAACTCGATGCAGCCGTCCAAGCGGGCACACTCCTGCTCGCATTGGTGAAGGAGGCAGCTGAATTTGCCCCGATACCCTACTTGAAGATCGCTGCTGGCACAACTCTCAAGATTGTGAACACAGTACAGGTGCGTCTTATCCAACTGGTTCCCACTGTACTCGTGCTGATCGATGAGTGAAGGCGGTCAAGGATAACAAAGCCGAGTTCCAGCATTTGGCGCAAGACTGCCTCGAGATCATCGCTGTCGCGTGGAAATCGTACCAGCGGGTTGGAGACCCTGATAAGTGGCCTAAGGACACAGCTGAAATGGTGGAAAACCTCGTAACGTCAGTGGCCCGTCTCCCACTCGTCTATTGAATTGAAGCGATCTTATCTCCGCAGCACCCTGAGCTCGATCTTGGACTTCGTCGAAGGACAGGTAGATAGAAAGCGAACAATACGCGTCTTCTACAGCATCGCCGATGTGGGGAAGATCAAGGAGTATCGTGAACGTCTTCAGGCCGCCATCTCCAAGTTTCAGGTACGTATCCGCTCGAATACTTCTCGCTTATTTTTCGAGGCTCATTTTGCGGCATTGAAAGGTATCCTCTCACTTGAGCATACAAGACACCCTCTACCTGTTATTGAAAGGCCAAAGTGACATCCATGCGCGTTTAACCGGTACAGGACCATCCGATTCACTGGTACAGCGCCGCCTAGAGGAGGAGAAAGCCCAAGCTCGTGCTAGGGAAGAAGCCGAAGAGGCAGCTGCGAAGAAACGGATCGAAGAGATGGAGAAACTTAAAGCGCAACGCGACGAGGCCTTGAAGGAGACGATCCGGCTGCAGGAAACTCGAGAGGACATCGACAAGGCGAGGTTCGAGCACGAGAAGATGGCGGCGGAGCTGAAGCGCTGGAAGGAGAGACAGGAAGAAGAGGCAGAGCTTACTCAGCTCAAGGAGGAGCAACGGCTCCGGGAAGAGAAGTACCTGAAGGAGGAGGACGAGAAGCGTGCTCGGTTAGCGAAGGCACTCCTCGAGGAGGAGGAAGACTCGGACGAGGGGGCAACACGAGCAGAAGCTGACCGTCGACGTCAGGAAGAAGAGGAGAAGAAGAGGCGCCGCGAGGAGAAGGCGGCGGCGCTGAGGAAGAAGATTGAGAGACAACGTACCCAGGAGCGTGTTTCCATATCCGCCAAAGCCACAAAAATCAAACCACCTGTTGTGGAAGTCGCGAGCGAGGACGAAGAGGCAAACGATGACTCTTCAGAAGAATCCGAAGAGTCCGAAGACGAAGCCGCAAAGCTCGCTCGCCTCGAAGCTGAAAAGAAAGCCCGCAAAGCTGCAAGGAAGAAAGCCACACGCGGGCAAACCACCGCTGAGGACACCATGTGTGCCGCGTTCGAGCAAATGGGCTTCAATGCCGGACGTACTGCCTCGCCCTCGCCCTCGCACGCACCCCCACCTCATGGATACGCCTCGCCTCAGTACCCTGGCCCATATCCACCACCATACGGTGGACATTCCCCGTACTATGGAACGCCGATGTACGGAAGCCCTGTCTCTCCGTCCTCACCGCCTCACATGATGTACCCTGGCATGTTCTCGCCCCCGTTCATGTCGACAAACAACAGCGGCAATATCACGAACATGAGCATGTCGAATATGAATAACGATAATAGTATTCGATATGGTAGCAGACGTGGGTCGCTTGATTTTCATTTCAGCTTGCGTTATCTGACGAGGGCTGTGTTTTATTGCTTGCAGGTCCGAAGAAGGCCGCTACGACGAGGTGATATTGCGCAGGCTGATCGCGACACTGATGTGTACTCGGACTTCGCAATACATTATGAATCTCTTCGCACTGGTCTATGTTTGTAACTTCGGACTACGTGGCTGCTGAACATTGAATCTTGTTTTCCTTTCAGCTTGAGCCCAGAAGATTCAAGTTGCGCCTCTTGCCTGTCGCTGCTTGACATGTATAAAGAAAGAACGATTTCCGCGATCATTAGACTTCGGAATAGGCGCGACTCTGACACAGGTCCGCCACAAAAATGTATTTGGCACATTTGAATCCATACCGTGACCAACTAATACGGTGCGTTTCTGATATTGCCGTTCTGCTCAGGCCCTCACGTCTTCCTCTAAGGTGCTATAAACTACTGAAAAGAGATCCCATTCAACGATTATGGTAGCTCAGACGATGACTCGATTATCGCGTTACCAACCACTCAGGAGGTATTACTGCCCTCGGCCATGAAAGCAGCACATGAAGCTAGAGAAGCGCCAGTTGACCGACCTGTGGATTCTTCTACAGCACCGATCTACAAGCTATACGCTGACATCCTCCTTTAAATATTCACTCTCAACGCGACGCCGACGCCGACGCTATCACCCCCTTCCAATCTCGTGGAAAGGGTGATGGCGAAGCTGCAGAAAGGAGGCAACATCGAAGCCTCGGCTTGGATGTCCTCAGGCATTGCTCTCAAGTTCGTCGAGTCTGGCGAGACACCATCGTGCACGAGGTGCCTTTATGGGACCAAGTCCTCAATCTCGAACTCCTTCAGCAAGAAAAGGATAACTTGAGGCAGCAGGTTCTCAAAGAAACCGTCGCAGCGCCCCTTTTCATTTAGCGCACGAGCCCTTTTGGGCCTCGTCTGCGTTCTCGGGAGCTTCTTGCTTTTCACATCCTTCTTTCGGTCCTCGAATCGCATTGTGATCGCGTCTATTCCCTACAGTACGGCACCTACAATCAGGATGAACTTCCCATGCACTATTTCGCGCCTCTCTTGCAACGCCCCGCTCCATCACGTCGCTCTTTCGACATGAGAGTCGACTACCACCTCTCCTTGGGGGAGCATAATGTTCCTGAGAGAGGGATGGCAAAAAAAGTCGGTGGTCATGCCCCGTTCCTCCGCTCTTTCATTTCAGCTTGGCTATTTTTCGACTTAACAGCGTCCTGGGCGGAGCGGCTGGTGGACCTGAAGATTGACAATGATCGCCAAACAGTGCATGTGGACCCTGGTACTACTTCTGCGTCACAGATTTTGGACGCTCTCGATGCTATGCTATCCCTCGAGTCCTTGGAACTTAGCAACTGTCTCGTATTGGATTCAGTGGATATAATCTCTGCGCGCCCACGCCCTTCGAAACTCGTGCGCCTCAAGCAATTAATTAATTAAGGCTCGTACTTCATTCTTTCGTGTCCTTCCTGCTTCTACAAAAGCTCGAATTCTGCAATCCCGATTGCGTCCTCGATTTCTGGATTTATCTGACGAACACTTCCGGGACTATGCCGCATGAGTGGGAAACAATATGCCGCATTTGTCAAACAGCATGCCGAGCAGTGCACAAGGAATTGGTGGGCCTGAAGTACGGATAGGTATTTTTGGTAACCTTGTGTATGTGATATTTCTAGTGAAAGCTGGATCTATCTTTGGAAAAATCCTCTTTGGATCGTCGTCCTTTCACGTAGACTCACGAGTACATCTTTCATGGGCCCATAAATTCTAATTGGGCACTTTGTTTACAGGTGCTAGATGCGGATGACGTCGGCGCAGACCCTGCACGTGGAAAGTGTGAGGAAGGGACGCCAAGATTACCTACATTTCTCCCGTTTACCACCACGACCATCTACGACGACGACGACCATCGACGTTAGAACCGACGACAGGAATGAGAAGACTCGCTCTCCATGCGTCCGCGCTCAACGATGCCGAATACGACACATTCACAGCTAATCTACGAGATCTAGCGTTAACTGAAGCCGAAGATGTTGAGGAGTACGAGAAGATGACTATCGGCGTACGGGAAGCGAGAGCGTGGCTGCGAGGACGATATTGTCAAGTATCTGCGTCCGTAATAGATGGTGTGAGTACGTCTCCTGCTCTCATACCTTTCTCTAACTTAGCAGGTTCAATAGATCTTGCGACTATTTGCTCCCAATCTCGCCCAGGCAGACACGATAAGCGGAGCAGAGTTCTTTGCGGTATTGAGGCTCGTTCTACATGCAGAGAGCGGGAAAGAGGTTGACAGGTCGCTAGCCTTCGTCCAGAGTACGTATCCTCGTCGCTCGTTTGCGCGATCTTTGCTCACTGTGCCGCAGCGAGCCCTTTACAAGGATGTGCGAGCGGACCGTCTTTCAATCCCTTACTTGTCTAAACCGCATTAACGTTGACAGCGCGCAGCGTGCCTTCAAACCCTCCTGCCAAGCGAGGACCTCAAGCAGTATACGCCGAGAATGAGACGGAGGTTGACGGACCGTCTGGACAAGGTTTGCTCTGCCCGCACCTTCCTTGAAACAAGCATTTGAATAAATCACAGAAATAGGTAGCGAAAATCGTCGTTGTTGGTTAATCCACGTTTAACCAGGTCCCATCTAGCTCAATCGACACCCTTTCATCAGCGGAGTGGGGCAAAGTTGCATACGTCATCTGCTCAAGGTCAGTTTCTTATCGTCGGACGTGCTGAGGCTTTACGACTGACTTGTACGACAGTAATCGAATCTCAGACCTCTCAACGAACAGGCAGTGGGTGTGAGCCTTAAGAAAGCTACGCTCTTCTCACCTAATCACCTTCTTAGCTCGATCAGCTCCAGACTCTCGAGCATCTTCTCCACCGAAACGCCATGATGAACTCCCTCCCCCAGTGCCATTACGTCGTCCTTACGCTGATGATTCAATCACGACAACCTCGACCACCCACAATCCCTTTTCCTCTAAGTCCCATAACCCCTTCGTTGCACGTCCTCCACGTTCAGAAGACGGTTCGACCACTTTACCACCCCTCCCACCTCGTAAACCTCCGCCACCGCCTCGCCATGGATCTATGTACCGTGTAGAGCGGTCATTATCTCCTTCCAAACCTCCTCCTCCTCCATCATCGACGAAGCCGGCTATTCCAACGAAGCCCGCTCATCATGTATCTACACTGATAAAGCAGAGCCTTCAGGCGAGCAAGGCCGCGCAATCCATGAAGAAAGCGGAGGAAATGCTAGAGAAGGAGCGCGTAATGCAGGTGCTCAAGAGCTCCTCTGCCGTCTCAGGTTCTTATTCCCTCGCGGGTGCGAGTGTAGCAGGCTCATCGGTCGTCATAGGCACGAACATACACAATCAACATACCCACCCTCACCGCAGCATGAGCCCGACGAAGATGTCTTCTGTCTCGTCGGGATCGGAGGCTGGGGCACCTCCGCTGCCAAAGCGCCGGCATCATCACCACCAGCAACCGTCACCGCCTCTGTCCGCGGGCTCGATGGAGCAGGTGGCGCTCGCCACTGTTCCTGTACCCTCCTCATCATCCTCTTCGGGTCGCCGGCCCGCCGATGTCTTTATCGAATCGCCTTTCCGTACACCTGTGGACTCTATACCACCGAACACTGACGATCCAGAATCACCGTCGAGATCATACGCTGGACCACCACCCACTCATCCAGACCGGAAGCCACATCTTCCGTACCACGCCCCTTCCACGCTGGTTTCGTCGGGGTCGCAGGGCAGCAACCATGAGTCGTTTGACGCAATTTATGGGCCTATGGGTGCGTCGACCCCAACGCCAGACTCGCCGACGACTAGGGTGTTCCGCTCGAAATCGATGCACCAGCCAAGTCCGCCACCTCCGCCTCTACCACCTCCGGTGCGGAGGAAGAGGCCCGAGAGCGTGCAAGTGCTCGGCAATGGCGAGATGTACGGCTCGTTAACCCGAGGAGAGAGTTCATTGTCGCGACATGCCTCCATGTCGAAGTCTTCTCCGACCTCAAGCCACCATCGCCGCTCATCACTCTCCACAACCTCTTCCCATAATTCCCAGAGCGACCCATATTCTCCACACGCCCATCCAAACCCGATTGGCAGCGTTCAGCGTGCGATCGCGAACCTCGGCTTGCACGACAAGCTCGAGCACCTGCAGCCAAAGCTCGATAAGGCACGATATAAGGCTGAGGCCGGTTTGAGCCGGAGAGGCTTCGTGCGTGATCACGGAGGAAGGATGAGGAATCCACTCGAAGGCGAGGAGGAGGAGGGCTTGATGGGTGGTGAGGGTGGTGGACGAGGTAGGCGGAGACCGAGGAACGAGGACCCGGATGTGGATTCGGACGAAGAGGAGGCGTGGAGGAGAGGTCGTGGAATGGATGAGGATGGGATGAAGGTCCGGACCAAGACAAGTCCTAATTTCTTTGAGGAGCCGGAGGATATTGAGAAAGATAACCTCAAGTGGCCGGCTGGAGAAGGTTGGAAGCCGTTATAGTCCCCGCCTTCGTCCCGTCTCGCTGACACCACGATTACTTCGGGTTCCGGTGGGCTTTAAGCCCATCGCTGATCAGACATCCTTCCAGTCTCTTCGCCACTGATGCTGAGGTTGTTATTTCGATGACGCTGATATATGTTGCAGACTTTACGCTGGCTTCTTTCCGTATCTTCTGTTTGTTTATGGCTGCACGCCCAAGCTTAGTTCCTTTATATCACAATTCCGGCTCGTTCATCGTACATACTCAATATCCATTCGTACAATCCAGCTCTTGCCATCGCCACCACGTACATGTACTATAACTCCCGTGAAACTTTACTATCTACGGGGTGGTTAGACTGTTTTCAAAGCCAGGGGTGCCGTACAAGAACACTGGCGTAAGGAACGACTTAAGTGTCTTGTACGTCAAATATGCGAGAGGAGGAGCAGAGGCTGCAAATAAGGCGATGAGCATCCAGATGGAGAAATGGACAATGAAGGGTTGTTTGTAGGGCGCTGGAAGGTCGTTCTTCTCGACTATTAGAAGACTGAAGACGACGCCGAGCACGGTGATAAGTAGAATAATCAATACGAAGAGGGCGGAGAGGTGAAATAGGGTGTGTATAAAGATGCGACCTAATGGCAGTCTTCCTACGTAGCTTTGATTTCGAAGTACAGCGACGGAGGAAGGAAATACGCACAGATATACCGGCACCAACGATTGGCCTGGAAATGTTTGGGTGACACGACAAGAAGCGCTTCGAACACCTTCGCCGCCAACGTTTGCACCAATGATTGTGCGCGTTGCGGGACTGCAAAAGGGGCTGGAAGCAGTTTGACGAGCAGAATAAAGGCAAAAATGCCGGCTAGGATGCATACGACGATGAACATTCCAACGACTAGCTTCAGGGATACACCAAACGCGTAAGCGGGGCCAGAGACTGGCGGATTGCCCCATCCTGGGTCATTCCAGTATGTTAGGAGTGCATATTGGAAGAAAGCGGTCCAGACGAGGCAGGCGACGACGCCGGCACAATATGGTGTTGCTGATGACCCTGAAAATATCGGTTGAAGACTGGTCCTGCATATAAAGCATTGACGTACCTGATGCAAAGAGATAGCGGCGGTCCTGGACGAAGGACCACGACCATCTTCCAAGAGAGTTCATCTCGTATAATCCGAGCACATAGAGGCTGGAAAAAAAATGAGCCTGGTATTCGGGACAAGCATCTCAGTACTCACAAAGATGTGAGCACAACTGCCAGCGTCCAATCAACCCAATTCGCAGTAGAAGGGTAATCGAGATACACCAAAGAGGCCTTGCCTACTCCGAAACTGAATATAGTGCCTGAGACGAGGAGGCGGTAGTAGGTGACCTGGACGCGATATCCGTAGAGCTCGCTTTTCTCGGGCATTGGAAGTTCATCCGACAGGTAGTTGGGGCGAGGAACACACACGAGGCTGAGCACTTTCCAGAGCAAGTCCAGGCAGTCAATATCAAAGATCCATCGCAGGAACTTGGACGCCGGTTTGCTGCTGGGAGAGTCATAGTGTCCCGATAAATGAAGCCTGGAATAATTCAAGATCAGCGTGATGGGAATGGCGAGATGAACGAAAAATGCTCACACTAGAAACAGCACAACTCCCGATATCCATTCCAATGTTATGGATATAGTGTCATATCCGATATAACTTGAAATAGCTTTGGCGGTTCCTAAGCCTATTGTCGTCGAGAGGACCACCAATCGATATGGTGTAAGTTTTGGAAACCACCGAAGAGATGAGACCGCCCGCTTGTTTGCCCTCAGCGACGAAGAATAGTCATAAGACTGATTGGAAGTTGTGCTATCCAGGACCGTAGATAAGGTCATGTAGGAAGAAAGGTTCCCATGGGAGAAAGCAAGTGTCGACGATGTTGGTTGAGGTTAAAGCTAAAGCTGTGTTTCGCGGCCAAGACGAATATCACGACCATCGGGATTCGGAGTTGCAATCAAGGAACACTGCAGAACTGCTCTTTCTATTTTTCCCCGGTCCACCGTCATCTTGACGGAAAAGCCGATCTCGGTCAATTCATGGTTCATTACTCTTCTTGCGCAGCGCTCGCCAGTGGACTAACTCGAACCTCTTGAAGTCGCTCGCGAAGGAGGTCCGAATGTCCATGATTTCTTCCTCGATGTAGGATCCACACCGCTTCCTCTGAACAACATTGACACTCAAGCCTCAGAAGCGACAAAAGGGGATGTACGGCACTCACGGCGGCAACGCCATAGCGCCTGGTGGCTTTCACCACCAGTGGCGAGCTTGGAACTGCGAAAAATGACGTTGGAAGGCCTATCGTCTCGATCACTCTGGAATTCGTCTGCGTCGTCTTTGTGTAAGTGCTTGTTTACTTTGCAGCTCCAATGCACGCTTTATTCACACCTTAGTGTAGCGTTTGAGCGGATATGACGGTGACGACAATAGTGCCGGGTTTTCTTTGTTGGTCTGAACCGCCCCCGATTTTGACCCTGTTTCCACATTTCGCGACTAAGTTACCGAACAGACAGGGAACGATGCTTGTCTTGGCGTTATTGTTGCATGCTACCTCAAGCTGTTTTACGGAGACCGCACGCATAGATTTGGAGCATCTGGCTGAGTGTTGTGTCGGCTTGCCAAGATGTCGGGCCCGAAGTGCGCCAATTCCCTCTTCCGGTCATTGCCGCCAGGAGAGTGACACGCGCCATGCGACATGACTCATACCGTCGCGCTCCCTTCCGACTCAGCCACAAAGCGACCGCCTCGCGAGGGAAAAAATCATGTCCTGAAGGTACGGATAGACGTATCTCGCCGGGATTGATATCCGAAAAGGTACGTGCAACTGAGTTATTCTCTCATGCAGGGTTTGCCTCCTGGTGATCAATCGATGACTCTTGGACCTACTACAGACTGAAATATTCGTCTATTCATGCTTAGTGCTCCCATGTCATTTACTCACGTTCATCCTCGAGGATGCATCGAAGCCGGGATGCAGGGGCTTCTGACTCGAACGTCACCCACACTAAACTCATCAACGCGGGAGTCATGCAGCAATTGGAACGCGTTGGCCAGGGGCCCTGCACGTACCAGAGTGTATAAATACCGTCCTGATTGTGCGTCTAATGCCCCAACTTTACCTCCAAAGCTCTAACTCAATGGCTTCTCCTCTCGAAACTGTGCAGGCTTTGCTCCAATCGTCAACTCGTCTCCCGTACTGCACTGGCAGTGTGCCACTCGATGCGACTAACTCGACACTGTTCTATCAGTTTGGAGACCTCAAAGCGGAGTTCGTTTCTCTATCTTTTTTGGTCTTCGGTCTCTGATTCTGCACAGATTGATCGACTTCGCGAATGCAACCGACAAACAGCTCAAAAAACTCGCCAACGCATGCCAGCCTGCGACATTTGGACTCGGGCAGAAAGATGTTTTAGACGAATCGTACAGGAAGGCTGGGAAGATGGACGCGGCGGCGTTTGCAACCCACTTTTCGCCGCTACAGCTTGGGGTCGTCGACACCATCGTCGACTCCTTGTTTCAAGGCCACCGAGACTCCAAGGGAGTCTGTGCTGAGCTCTATAAGCTCAATGTTTATGGTGCGTTATCTTCACCGATTTTCTATATCCAATAGCTGAATCACAGTTGTAGGACCCGGGGCGTTTTTCAAGGCCCATGTTGATACGCCGCGTAGCGACAAGATGTTCGGCTCTCTCGTCATCATCCTTCCCACCACACACACAGGAGGGTCTCTCATCTTCCGTCATCAAGGGAATGAATGGTTCTTTGACTCGGCCAAGGCTGTCAACGAAGAGCCAACCCCACATGCTGCATTCGTAGCATTCTTCAGCGACGTCGAACACGAGGTCTGCGAAGTCACCTCCGGGAATCGCGTTACCCTCACCTACAATTTGTACTTCGTCGACTCGCCGATCACTGCTCGGGTCACGCTTTCTGAAGACAAAGCGGAGACCGACTTGAAAGCTGCCATATCCGCCCTCATACGCGACCCTCAGCTCCTCCCGGACGGCGGCATCCTGGGTTTCGGCCTCTCTCATGTTTATCCCTTCAAAGTCGACAAGACCGCAATCTCCGACCTCAAAAAGTGTTTGAAAGGATCCGATGCCACAATCAAGCGTGTCTGCGACGCCCTGTCGCTCAGACACTCGCTCATGGCGCTATATCGTGAAGAATACAGATCTGTGGGCGTTCTTCTCCCGAAATTTGCCAATTTTGGGATGGAGCAAATCGAGGAAGGGCTCGTACAGTATCTTCAGTATATGAAGGGATCCATCGTCGTTAAAGATCCGAACGCGGATGGCACAAACGACGATGATTACGGTGACGATGACAGCGAGGATTATGAGAGTGATGATGGAGAGGGGGAAAGAGACCCCAAAGGCCCGAAGACCATTGTATGGGCGAAGCCACTGACGAAAGCCAATGAATTCAAGTCGGCCTACATCCATTATGGGAACGAAGCCAGCCTTGATTACGCTTACGGGGAGGTTTGCCTGGTCGTCGAGCTTCCTCCGGCTGGGCAACGTCAGTAGATGAATATTCAGCTATGGCAAATACATTTCCCCTTATTCCATGCCTCTATCCGACAGAAATTCAGTACCAAATCGGCTCTCCTTTATATCAATGCTGTCGTATCGTCCACAAAACTTCAAATGACAATTACTTTCACTCGTCCCATCGTCATCCTTTCTCCCATTTTTGTGCCTTTCTATCCGATCCCAATGTCGGAATGGAAGCCAGGCCTAGCCCATACACATGCCGAGAAACGCATACATACTTCGTATGCTTTATAGCGATGGCTTTCGCCGGCTCTGTCGCCATATTCCTGAGTCCTGACCCTCACACTGATAGCTGGCGCTTCCTTCGTCCTGGTCCCATCGACATTCATGAAGCCACTAATGGTGGAGGATTTGTAGCAGATAAAAGCAGGTGTAGCACTTACTCATACATTGCATCCTTACTCTGCCGTGGCCTGGTTATTTCGTTTCGTTTGCGCCTATGCAGCCGCGTTCCAATGTCCCCTATTTTTATGCCTCCTGTGGGAAAAGTGATGTCGCTTGAGGAAAATAGGGGCTACGGCCTTTTGGGCTTACTTCCATGACATAACGCGGCCCTCACCTTCCCTTGGACGCTTTCACCCAATCCCCCACCACAGCTCACCATTCCTTGGGTCCTTAGCTTGTGAACGTCCTCGGAAAGTCCTTTCCGACGAGTAGGCCCGGCTATTGGTAGAAATCACACCGAAGATCACGAATTCACCCGCGTGATACTTACTGAAATCATTCTGACGTCGCCCATTCTAATTTCTCTCTTCCGCCTCATCCTAGAAAAATGTCAGCAAAGCCAATCGTCGTGCACCATTTGGAAAATTCTCGTTCGCAGCGTATTCTATGGCTTCTGGTTTGCGAGACTCCCCTTATTTGCAGTTCTGTTCTGACCTGCCACCTAGGAAGAGCTTGAAGTTCCTTACGAGGTGAAGAAATATAAGCGTACACCTCAGCGAAGGGCACCGCAGGAACTCCTCGACGTCCACCTTCTTGGAAAATCGCCAGTTATCACGGATGGAGATGTCACTGTAGCGGAAAGCGGTGCAATTGTGGGTGAGTTCTACGCATATCGTTTCCCAGTATTCATCGTGCTAAAGTTCGAACAGAGTACCTCATCCACAAGTATGGGAAAGATAAAATTCAAGTCCCAGAAGCTGGATGGCTCGACAATGTCTACTGTACGACTTGTCCCAGCCTTTTCGTGTCCGAATCTTGGAAACTGATTCGCTTCCAGTCACCCACTACCCAGAAGGCTCCGTCCAACCTGTCCTCATCCGCCGGCTCCTCTTCAAGCTCATTCCAGAAAATGTGCCGGCCCTCATTCGCCCCCTCATTAGAGCTGTATTCTCCAAAGTTGACGAAAAGGTAACACTGCCGGAATTGAAGCTCCATGGGAAATTCGTGCGTAACTGCCCCTTCGTCCCCTTTGCTTTCGCGTCCTCAACGTCACAATGGGCAGATTGAAACCCATCTTGCGAAAACAAAAGGGTGGTTTGCTGGAGGCCCGAATCCAACATCTGCGGACTACATGATGTCTTTCACGCTGGAAATCATGATAGATCGTGCGCCAGAGGCTGTGGGTGAGAATATCAAGGAATTTGTAAAGCGTGTTCAGGAGAGGTAGGAACCACATTCTTCATCTTCACTTACCATTGACCCATTCGTCAATCATAGACCTGCTTACAAAAAGGCAAGGTTCCATCTCTACGTCTGAAAAATTTAACAAAGATAACTCTTCTACAGGCTCTCGAAACCGGAGGAGAATATGCGTATCTCTTGAAGTAGAGCCTCATGTTGCGGAACTGTTTTTCTGGAGAGTCAAGGCAAAGATCTTTTTTCTGGGAAATAATTCGACGTACATGCAGCCTGTACCGCTCTTTCTAAGTACATGTACTGGGAGAAATTGTCCATCACAGTCACAAGAGCGATTCTTTGCATACATCTACGAAAGACTGGTGTCAATGGCCTAGTTTTGACCGATACCATCCATGACGATCAGGGTGCTTATTATTCACTACAGGTCTAGGCTACAATAGTTCATAAGTCAAAGGGTCGTTAATGTTCATACGTACTGCCTCTCCTTCAGTTCCTCCCAGCTTGCCATCTCAAACAGCGACGGCAGATGCTTCCATACCTCCCGTCGTCCTTCAAAGTGCCTTGCCTGGCAATACTCGACACATTCACGACACACATTCAAATGCTCCCACCGATCGTACGCCCGGAGAGGGTGCGGGCTCCTAGCGCTTTCCAACGCATGCCACTCTGCGTGTGGACCTCTGGCGTGAGCACAAAGTGCATTCTGGCACGTCGGTGCCCGGTGAAACACGAGCAGGAATGAGTGCGACATGGACATCTGCGCCCAGTTCAACCGCTCGCGCCCGACGAGGCAGACGGTCTTGTCTCGCCACGAGATATCTCCTGGGCGATCCTTGAGAAGTCGTTTGTGAGGAAAGCGAGAGACACAATAGTAGGCGTAAGGGAGAGCCTCAAGGACGTTGCTGTCTTGGGCGAGTCTGATAGCTCGCATGACGGTGTCAGAGCGGTAACGCTCTGCGGGAGTATGGCCCGGCGGGGAGGTCAGTGCGGATTTCGCCTCATAGGCCTCGAACGTCGGTGGGAGTTTGGCAAGGAGTAGGGCGATGCACCGTTGTCGAAGGTATCGAATGACGTATTTCGTTGATAACCGCAAGATGCCACCAATGAATGTCATGAGTGTGTCTAGATCAGCGTCTAGCGGAAGGGTGTCGAAGTGACTACATTCAAGGATGTCAGGAAACGGCGAGTAGGGCAGATGGAAAAGACGTACTCTGGGCGGTATACCGCCGCCAGAAGGTCCTCGAAATCCTTCTCATCGTCGTGCAATTCCACGACGTGGCATCCATCGATCATGTCCTCCCCCTCAGGCTGTGGGACGGTGAACAGTGTGGCGAATACCTCCGAGTGCGTGGCGAGAATCGTCTGGTGGACACGAAACAACGTATTCTGTACTTGTAGCACGATCGAGCCGTCGTACATCCAGAAACCCTCATGTCTCCGCGGTGTGGGGTCTGTCGCAGGGATGTCGGTGACACTGGTGCTTCTGCTCGAGGAACTGACCATGGAGTCTCGAATCGACGCCGAGCTCATATCAGGGGTAATTGGTCGGAGGGATGTATCAGGGGTTATTGGAGAGTAGTACATCGTATCCAGATGGTGGAGGAAAGCAGAAGAGACCGTATTCGGAAATTTTGGCCCTCCCACTTTGAAGGCCCGTACTTGTACCCACGTAGACCGGAATGCCACTGGCGACGCGTGCCACTTCCGTAATCGCAGTATGGAGGCCGTGCAGCATGCAATGACATACTTTGGCGAACGTCGTGGTAGTTGAGGAGCAAGTGCCAATCAATTGAAGAGATCATTAATCATTCACGGAATGTTGCCGCTTCCGGCCGCGCCCATTGGCCGCTGTAGATATGTAGTGAGCTATCCTTAGACGTAATCTCAATCCTTGTCCATGAGGCCACGCGCTTGACAGATATGAATTGATTTTCTAACCTGTACTTCATACGTTTGAGTACAGCGCTGTAGATGAAGGTATCTGACAACTTGGAAGGAATAAGCAGACCGTCAAGTGAAAGGCTTGCGCAGCAGGAGAGAGATGGAAGGCGCAAGATTTGTACTGAAAAGAGCAGGGAGCATGCATAAAAATATGAAAAAGTTTGTCTGAAGATAGAAGTCCGTCGACTACCGCTTTAAATCCCGTAAGACTTGTTTATCGTACTTCCTCATGTTGGCTTGCAGCTTGAACTTATTCTCTGCAGCATCTTCACCGATGAGTTGATTAACGACGCTATAGTAAAATTTAGAATCCATCCGAGGACAATACATCAAGAATACACACTCCAGGGCGCTGTCTGCATTTTCCAGGTTTCCTGTTGTCGTTGACGGTGGAAGCGCAAATGCGGGGAGCTTTCCGCGGGCTGTTTCAAAGGCATCTTCTGTGATTTCAACGGCGTGGAAAAGGTCATGAGTCTCATAAGCAAAAGTTACGAGGACAATGGGATTTTGGGCGCGTCCAGCAGCAATCGCCTCCGCCTTCGCGCGCTTCCATATCCTGGTGAAGTTGGTATCGTTCTTCCGCTGTTGAGTGATAGAACCTGAAGTTCGACTTGTTGTTCCAACCTCAATTTTGCCAATCTTCGGACCGAGGAATACATGGACGCGGGCGGGTATCCTGTGCTTGTCATCCTCCACGTCGTATTCTTTAGTGTAGACGAGATGGAAGATGTCTTCATCTTTGAAGGGCATTATAAAAAATGTTGAAGGTGGCGGTCTGGCATTTATCCGCCTGACGATCTTGTAGGAGACTGAGGTGAAGGGCAAGAGCTACGCGGAGGTAATGGAGAAGGACAGGAGCGTTGAGGAGGTGTTGTGTTGAACAAGTGTAGTGAATGCGGTCGCCGCTCCCAAAGTTCCGCATTGCCGCTTATGATTCGGCCTGGGTACTTGAAGTGAGAAGTACGATCTAGGGAATGAACATTTGGATACGCACCAGGCTGCCCTTTGGCACTGAATACAACATGTTTGAGCACTACTGGCGGAGAATTTGGTCCAATGGATGAGCAAACCTCTTTGGAGCAATACGCAGCATCCACCCTCACCGTCGCGCTTTCCATAGTGGAGGCATGAGATAACCCAGTGGCGCTCTGTTCTCTTCAAGTCCTTCTCCGCCAGGTAATAAACACCATCAGGTTTTCCGCTTGATTCAATGGTGTCTTCAGCTTTCGGCATTTCGAGGAAAGATAAAGGTCTTTATGAGCATGCTGTAGTCGGGGTCAGGGAATGAACGTTCAAACGTTCAACCACGGAATTGTCTAGCACCCAGATTCTGTAATCCGGCATTCACCGATAATAGGGGTCATCCGAGTCATCGCCTTACTCTCCTTTTGAGCTTTCCAAGTACTACAAATTCTGCACTTGTCCTGCCCCCATTTTTATTTTCCCCGTGTCTTCTCCTTAAGCAGTCCAGCCGCTCCAAAGTCGCAATTGCCTCCTTCTCCCGACCAACGTTGTCGTTCCACCCACGCCGGTTTTGGGTGCCCAACAAGCGCCCGTGATAAGCATTGTGGCGTTGTCGGGTCAATACGTTGGCTTATTGACAATAGGAATCCAGAAAGTTTATCAGATTACTTAGCGTAATATTGCGCACCCTGGCTGGACGACAGCCTCAGCGACGTTGAACCTTTCCCGTGCAATTTTCTACGGTGTCAGTCTTGAAGAGGGCATTATTTCATGAAGCGCCAGAATGTTTCCACCAGCGGACAGTTTTCTACTTCCTGTCGGCTCGACTAGTGCCGACTCATCTTGTCGTCTGAGCAGAAAAGGAGGGGTAACTAAATTTTTACAACCTCCATGAATGAGGCAGTTAGTAAACTAGTAACGGTTCACCGGTATCTGTGTAAAAGGATATATGAGAATTCAGACGAGACCGAAAATAATGCTCTAGCGTTTACGGGTACTCTGATTGCACAATCCTTGGACGCAGGATTTCGGCCACGATATTGAGAAGGTCCAGGAATCTATAAACGTACAAGAAGACCAGATCAGAGGCAAGCTTACCGGTCTGTCCCTCTTTTTTTTGAGATGAGATATCGAAGGTTCAGAGCCTCTCTGGAATTTTAACATTGAATCTGGAAAGTTGAAACCAGTACAATAAGTTGAATAACTGCTCCAGTGATCTGTTCAGCGACGTCTGCCAGTTTCTTCGGCGAGATAATTTCACAAGACCACGGAGTCAAACACCATCCCTAGTCCATAATATGATAGTCGTGGTATCTTAAGACACCTGCATCCACCAGTACGATGCGGAGACGTTGACGCTGCTTGCACGATGTTGAGGCGTTCCCGTTGGATAGATGTCATAAGGAGCATGGGATTAAAATTAGCAGTCAAATCATACATACAACAGCGGCGGTCAGTAACGGGTCAGCAGCATTTGGATTTGGTGTAAAGCGAGTTGGGTCCAGTACAGTGAGCGATTAAGGAGGGGCCAGAGGAGAGAAAAGAGGGACAGAAGCAGCAATGAGGGCGTCGAGGCAAGGAGACATCAAATGAAGCAGAGACCCGGAAAGCGAAGCAGAAGGCAATAAATAGGGTTCGTCAACAAAGCAGTCGATCCAGTCACAGCGAGACAGGATCTATATGCGGAGCAGTCCGAATGATGGTAGCCTGAGGAAGAGTATATGCGCGTTAAACGCCACCTAGATGAAAGATCGATCAGATGACCAACGATGAAGACGAAGGAAAGGAACTTACAACCATCTACTCTTCATCCTCTTCCTCATCGTCGCCGCCACTAGGCTCCGCCTCCTCATCTTCACTCTCTTCCTTCTTCTTTTTCGGCGCAGCCTTCTTCTTGGGTGCAGCCTTCTCCTTAGGCTCCTTCGCTTTTGAAGCTTTCGCCTTCGGCTCCTTGGGCTCTTTGGGTGCTTTAGGCTTGCGAGTCTTGGGTTCTTGTCCGCGATTGGGGTTCTCGGGGGCATCTTTCCATAGAGCAGCAATCTAGATAGGGAGGACGTCAGCGACAGCATTGGTGACGTGTAAGCAATAACAAGAGAAAGAACGACAAAGGTCGACGAATGAGTGGAGGATGTCGCGCATATAGGGACTGAGAAGCAGGAATCCAGGTGCGGCGGAATGTGGGGCACCGGATCAGGGTACGGAAGCAAATCATGTGGCGACACGGTGCTGACGCCGATAAGAGAAAAGACGAGGGGAAGGAGGGAAAGGAGAAAAGCGGCGGCGCATACATGGGTCATGGCCTCTTTAGCGCGGCCGGGATTCTCTTCGTTCCACTTCTTCATGTGCTCCTTGCAAAAGATCTGGTAGGCTGTGGGCTCGCGCTTGGGCTTGTCTCCAGCATCAGCTAGAGAAGAGGTAGGGTCAATCATAATGAAAAAAGCGCATATATGCGGTATTTGAGATGCACGGACCCTTCTTTGGCTTCGCCGTCTTCGCGTTGGCGGCCTTGGTAGCGGTCTTGGTCTTCGTCACTGCAAGCATACGAGATCAGTGAACACTATCAGCGATATCAGAGCGCATATACGGACCTGTGGCGGTTTTGGCCATTGCGGGTGAGGGAAAAGGGAAGGGAGATGGTAGTGGTTGGGGGAAAAGAGAGGGATGCTGGCAGAAGCACAGAGCGCTGGCTTTTCTGTTGTTGATCTGATTGCTCATGTCATACGCGACGCGTCGTTTGTTGATCGACACGGTACACGTGAGATGGTCCGTGCTCGCTGCCAGCTCACGGACGGGAAGTGGGCGGAGATGGCCGCGATTTGGGACTCCGCCACACCGTCTTAAGGGCGCCCTCGGCTGGCTGGGCGTTGTCTTGTCCTCTTCTCTTTTACATCGCCCGCGGGCTTGGTACTCTCTAAAGCACTTTTTCGCCTTTCCACTACGCTATTGACTATAATGTCGCCTGTCGCTCTTTCCAAGTCCCTCATCGCCCTCGCCCTCGCCTTGTCGTCTGCCTCGTTGGCAACGGCCCAAGTAACGGGCACCTTCCCCCCGGTACCTCTGGCCTCCAAGCATTTCGACTACCCATCTGGAATTGTACGTTCTTCTGCCCAGCCCTTGGCGATGCGCCACTACCTTCTTGAGGTTGACGCCCCATTCATACTATTGTATAGCCTTATAAAGTCGACACCGACGTCGGTCTTGTCCGTGGCACTCAGCTCGGATACAATATCTGCAACTCGACCACCGAAAACCAGGACTCCCTCTGCCAAACATCGTTCTTCGACGCCCTTGATGGTGCGTCACCTTCACCTTCCATTTCTCCGCCTCCGCGTGTCAGCCTCCACATCATAGGAATCAGCTAACCCACGCATTCTAGACTTCTGCCTGTGGGCCCCTAGTGTCCCAGGAAAGACCGTTGGTGATATCGAGGGTGAGATGATCGCCTGGTGCACCAAGCCCGGCCACGGTACCCGCCTCATCCCTGCTGGTGCCCTCACTGGTGTCCAGTTCCTCAAGACCCCAGACTATATCCAGGCTGTCGGTTTTATTGACCAAACCCTCATCAACATGGTCGCGGGTGACTTCGGTGGCGAGATGGACCCCCATGGTGCTGATCTTGTAGGCCTATCTTCTTTATCTTAGGGTTGAGGCTGACGAAACATGGACAGCGCGGTAACCCCATGGGAGGCATCATGTTCTCCAGCTCGTTCGGTGGCGGTGTCAAGCAAGTCATCGAATGGACCAAGTATGTGTCTGCTTGCTCTCATCGCGGCAACCCCTAACCCCTCTTCTCCAGCTTTATGGGTGGTAACGCTTTCTGCTTGAAAGCTTGCGATCCCGCAGGTGCCAACGCTGCCCACTACTGCGAGCACATCTACGATCGCATCGGCTGCTCTTTCAACGCCCCGAACGCAGCCCAGGACAAGGTCTTCGAGTCGTGCGATGCCGAGAATGCTGACTTCCCCGGCATCTACACCTCCGACGGTCAAGTCATGACCTACACCCAGCCTCCTGAGTCGCTCGGCGCCATCACCACTGTTCCTTATACCGCCCGCGTCCCTTCGTCCAGCAACTGCCAGACCTTCAACAGCGCCGAACTTTTCACAGGACTGCCTACGGTTGCCGCTACAGGTGCCAGTACCACGGGCGGAGCTGCTGCGACAGGTACCGCCTCTGGTGCCTCCAGCCGCGGGACGAATAGCGCGAGCCGGTACGGGCACCGCTGACAACGCGCAAAGCACCACCAACGATGCAAGTCTCCTCGCTGCCTCGTGGGGCGTTGGTATGGTGGGGGTGGCCTTCGCTGCCCTGTTCCTCTCATAGGAAGACCTGTAGTATGTTCGTAATGACCCTCCCATCGTTACGCCCTTCGTACCATACTTATCCCAGCCTCCATTTGCTACCCTCATGACTCGTTGATTGAGACGCCTCTGTCGTTTGATACAGAGCGTGGACTGTGCTGCTTCGTACCCAGCGGACAATATATATTAGACATTTAATGGAGTTTAGTCACTCGCTTTGGATCATTCAATTTGATGCTTGTCTGGAGGAATGCAAGCCTTAATTGCACTTAGCTGGGCTGGGACACTTACTATGTCTAAATCATCCCTTGCAACGAAGACTGGCGGATTGATTCCTGATAAGTTGGCCCCTAGTGTGACATAAGTGCCGGCGTTGGAGGTGGGGTGGTCAATTATAAATTGCAAGTCTAGGAGCGCACCGTCTGGTCGTGCGGCAATGTACATATGGGCTTTTTTTGGGGGGCGGACGACCTCGCTTTCGACGCCGGAAGGGCACCCAAGCATAAGGCTCCTCTTTCATGCCTATTTTTTGGGGGTGATAGCCGCAGCGTATGTCATCAGACCACAGGACAAACTCGATGAGCCATGAAATACCGACCTTGATTAGTAGGACGGCCTACACTAGAGGCAGCATCTAGTCGAGTCGACAGCACCGCTACTTGTCGACTCTCGGTAGTTTGGGTCCCTTGGGATTTAGACACAGTGAGCCGTTTTTGCTAGAATGGAGATATGTCCAGTATGCGACGTCGCTCGAGCATTTGGTGGGCTGTTGATAATAATGATGGATGTCGACAGGCGAGAGTGGCAGCTAAAGGACGTTGTCTCTGTCTACCGAATCCCGATTCGATTTTAAGATATCAATCTAGACAAAATGTCAGATTTAGACTCGCGATCAGGATACTTTGCTAGATTTAAGTATTTTCACCTTTTGCGGAAAATCCAATGTGAAAGTAGGCCGTATAACGACACCAAGAGGACAGACCCATATATATACGCATACTGGGGCCAGTAGCGTACCTCTCCTCGTGGCGAGTTTTCAAGGAAGAAGGAATAGATAACACATCGTGACCGGACACGAAGAGTCATACCTAACAGACAGCGGATGAGCGCAGAATCGCGCGTTTATGCGGCTAGAGAAGCTTGTTGAAACATGGAAGATCAAATGCGTACCGGGTCTGTCGGCGAGCACCACGGCGCTTATCACTGGCGCTTGTTGAGTGACCGAGACCGACGGACCGACGACTGAGATACTATAAGAGAGATGGCTGCGACGGAGGAGTAACGATGGCTGGAAGGGAAGTAGTGGTAGCTGCAGAGGCGAGGAAATGGGTAAAGTAGGCCGCACTCAGCTCCCGGCGCTAAAGGAGGGTCGGAAAGCTTACGTATATCGCATCTATGGGCGCCTGCGATAGCGCTTGTTGCATGGAGGGGTTGGTGGTGCCGGATACCGGAAGGCTTAGAGAGAAGTGGCTCAGGGAGAACGGATGGGTAGCCTGGAGGTAGGAAGGGAGCGCTAGCAATGAATGGGAAGGATGGGGCATAGAGGAGAGGCGACGGAGGAGTAAGGATATGAGCGGCGGAAGGGGATGAACGACGGGGAAGCGGCCAGGGCGGCGACACAGGAGGGGGAGGTAAGGCGAGGGGAAGGTGGGGAGATGGTGGGGGAAGGGAAGAAAGAAGGGTTGGGGGAACAACCGAGAGAGGTCTGATATTTAAGGGATTCTGGGACGCGTCGACGCGTTGGGGGACGCCCGGACCACAGACGCGACTTTGGGGTTGCGATCTCGTGACGTCGTGCAGCTCAAAGGACGCAGGCGCCCTGAGGCATTACGGCGAATCGGTCCGTTGGCGCCTGCTCGATCATCGTCAAATAACAGTCCAGCGCGTCTGCCCCACCTGACATCACCTCCCGACCCCCATCTTGGGTTATCAATGGCTATAAATATAAGCTTTTTCTTTGAAGCATAATCTTCCAACTTAGATACGCGTTCGAGTTGGGCTGTGCCCGCAAACAAGTTCCACTTAAGCGCCCGTCACCATCAAATTAGCCGTCTCGGGAAGCCGTGATCGCCAAGTAGAACCTGGCTGTCGTTCTAACATAACTTCGTTCTATCCGAATTATAAACAGAAGAATCCTCTCAACTGCCTCAATGGAAAGAAAAACGAGTACGCAACGTTGTTGAGACTCGTTTTCTTGGAAATGAGTGGCGGATCAGTGGAAGGGGCGTCCGTTTTTTCTCCTTGTGAGTACATGCGGCCACATAGTGAGAGCGTACTGTCGCCTTTCATGTAGGGCTTCGACATCTTCTTGACATTGATTTATGGTGTTCAAGGAGAGGACTGCAAAGGTCTCTGACAAGCCATCGCTATGGTTGGTAAAAGATTTCTCCCAGGCCTATTCCGCGACTTGAAACAAGGATTTCTGCACACAGTCCATGCATTATAGATGCGCTTTAGGACGTATGTACTTTCTTGAATTTAAAGCGAGTATCGACGGAGATCGTAGTTTGTCGAAACCTCGAGAGTTGTTATTTGAATTAATTTGCATCGGAGCTGATTCCGACAGTATTTCCTCCCTCATCGCCCACGATTTATACCCACTTCGTGGGACGCCCCTGCACGATCGACGAGCGCTTAACGATACGAAAGAAACACTCATTTTCAAACCTTCGCACATTTGCAATTGACCAGCGTCGGGTATTCATCACCATCGATATTCGCGTTACCTCTTGACGTTTTTTTAAGCCATTAAAGCGATGTTTCAATCTCCAGACTCCGTATGGTCGTGCTCCGCTCGATGTCTCCTGCACTTCTTCAACATCTAACTATTGCGAAGTGGACAAAATTTAAATCTTGGACCTTTGCAATTTGAAGCCTCGGATCAATGATATCAAAATTGATATTGATTTTTCGTTGATGTGACGCGAATGGTCAACGTTTCAACAAGCCTCTTTCCGGACCTTTCCACCCATGCCCCCTTAAGCTTGACTTTTGAATAGTGTTCTTCAGCTCCATGGCATCGTCGGAATATTCGTGGTTCACGGCCTTTCGTGACCGAGCACAGGTAGAAGCGCAGCCCTCTTCATTCCCTGGCTCCTCACAGACGTCGTGTTGTCGCAGAAGACTGCAACGCCGGAGCCAACGTTCAGCCTTACGGCCTCCACGTTAGCCTGGGCGCCGCCAGCCCACAACGCTTCCCGGTGTCAGCCCTGATGAAGATTCCTGACACGAACCCAACACGAACCTCGCACAAAGAGCGAAGAGTGACATTTGAATAACGCCCAAGATCTCTTGTCTCGTGAAGCCAAGGCTGTCCTGGAGGCTGTTGCGGAGGGGCTTGGGCTTACGATTCCGGAGGTAAGCCTCCGTCGATGTCATGCACGAGCATCCTTATCTGGTTTGCCCAGGCCGGTGGAAGGAGATGGATGGAGGCTTTCACGGAAGAAGACAAGGCCATTGCCCGTCGACGGCGAGCAGGACGGCGGCGTGTGCCCCTTGGCCAGTGCAACAACGGCGGCTGGGCACGGACTCTCGGCGTCGAACGTCCAAGCCTTCCTCCCCTGCGTTCTTGTCTGCTTGGAGGTCACGTCGCCCAAGACTCCCAAGCCCCCAAGCCAGGGATGACACCGTTATATACCGCGCGGTGGAGAAGAGTGCTCCCCATCGTCGTTTGTTGCCTTCTCCTCTCTTCTTGCCACCTCGCTCGCTCGGCCCTTCCCGTCCTCTACACCCACCCTAATACTTTCGACGTTACGTTCGCCCCGGTCTAGGAGCACTTCAGAGAAGAAGAGATTTTAAGTTTTCGCCAAAGAAGAATTTTATAACATGTCCCCTGTCGCTCTTTCCAACCTCGTCGCCCTCGCTGTTTCTGCGTCGCTCGCAGCCGCGCAGATCACGGGCACCTTCCCCGCCACACCCCTCGCCTCCAAGGGTCCCTTTGCGTACCCCACCGGTATCGTACGTGTCTTCTCCCTTTTTCCTGGGTCTTGGCGGCGCTGAGGTGGCAACGCTGGAGCTCTTCTCTGTTATTCCTGGACTCCACATTCCTCCATGTTCACATCTTTCTCCATTCTCTTTTCTCCGAGTAAAGCCTAGCCCAGCTTCGTTGCGACTCATTCATGCTGCGGACGATGTGCTGACGTAACTTTTACTTGACTATACAGCCCTACAAGGTTGATACCGACGTTGGCCTTATCCGTGGCACTCAAATCGGTTACAACATTTGCAACACGACGACCGAGGGCCAGCAGTCGCTCTGCCAGACGTCTTTCCTGAACTCTCTCGATGGTATGCCAGGTTTTCGCCTTTTACGGAGGAATGCAACTGAGAATCTTATTTTCAGACTTCTGCCTCTGGGCCCCTCCCGAGATGGGTCGTGAGGTTGGTGACATCGAAGGCTCGATGATCGCCTGGTGCACGAAGCCTGGCCATGGTACTCGCCTGATACCCGATGGTGCCCTTCATGGCGTTCAGTTCACCAAGACCCCCGATTACGTCCAGGTCGTCGGTTTCATCGACCAGACCAAGATTAACATTCTTGAGGGTGACTTCGGTGGTGAAATGGACCCCCACGGTGCTGATCTCGTGAGTGCTTCCTCTATATTCGAGAAGATGCAACCGCTCATGTGTTTTCATCGTTCAGCGCGGTAACCCCATGGGTGGTATCGTCTTCACAAACCAATTTGGTGGCAATTTCATCCAAGGTATCGAATGGCACAAGTACGTCTTACATTCCATTTGCCTTGTTCTCTATCTTAACCAATTGCTAGCTTCATGGGCTCGAACACCTTCTGCTTCAAGGTCTGCGACCCCGCCGGCCCCAGCGCTGCTGACTACTGCGAGCACATCTTCGACCGTATCGGATGCGCCTACAACGCGCCCAACAACGCTCGCAACGGCACCTTCGAGTCCTGCGATGGCGAGTCTCAAGACTTCCCAGGCATCTACACTTCCAACGGACAGGTCCTGACCTACACTCAACCTCCTGAGACGCTCGGCCCCATCACCACCATCCCCTACACCGCCCGCGTGCCCGCCTCCAGCAACTGCCGTGAATTCGAGTCCGCTGCCATTTACACCGGCCTACCCTCCGCCTCCGTCTCGACGACTGCGACCTCTGGCACTGCGGCCCCTACGAACGGCTCTGGTAGCACCTCGAGGTCAACCACCGGCACGTCGACTGCCACCGGCACCGCTGACGGTGCCAACGCCAGCACCGATGCTGCGGGTACGATCGCCATCTCTGGCGCCGCGACCTTCCTTGGTGTCATCTTCTCCGCCCTTTTCCTCTCGTAAACGGTCTGAAACATGATGTTTCTTCATGACCTTTACGAGTAGTACTACCGATTTTGGACGGACACAAAATATTGACTTTATAGCACTTTAGTAGCGTACCTGGGTTTTCGCGTATTTTCTATCTATTACTTCGTTGACTGTAGGTGATGTATCTCCGTAACAGCAATGATATCCGCTCGTTTTCGATTCCCCGCCGCCAGTAACTTAAGCTCGTCTCATCTAAGTTCTGTTGAGACTACGAAACCACCTGACGTATTTGGTGGTGTTAGAATGTAAGTATTAGATAAGATAATGAAATGGATGCCTGATCCCAGGAGCCCAATTTTTATCCGGACCCAATTTCCCAAATTTCCGCAATTCTTATCCGGAAATTGCCTGAGGCGTCCAAAATCGCTAATTTTTATCCGGATAGCGGATCAGGCCTCTGGACCGCGATATTTCCGTTTTTTTTCGCATTTTCCCTTCATTTTTCGCCTCCCGCCGCTGCCTGGATGTTTTTTGAACCCAGTTACGACTCAAGCAATATGAATAATGATAGAATTATGTAGCTAATAATTATTCGTCGTCTTCTTCCATTCCGTCGTTCTGTGCACGCTTGCTGAACGCCTTTAATGCTAAAACAACATCCTTCGTCCTATCCATGAGCTTGGAAAATACTTCCCAGTCTGCCCGCGAAATGTGGAGTGCATTTTCGGTGACCTCCGGTACCTGGGAAAGACCACAGAGAAAGGCGCGTGGAGGAACGAAGTCGAAGCGCTTGACGTGGAAGGCCTGCGAGTGTGGCACACTGCGAAACTTTGAGCCCAGAGCATGCTCGAAAATCTGAACACCGATATTCGAGGCCGCCATTACATTCGGCACTTGAGTAACATAACCATGCCGGCTACCCTTACCCCCGTCTTGGAATAGATTGTCAGAACTATGAGAAAAATTAGCCTGTATTCACGCTGATAGTGTATGTACTGACCTCTGCCTATGACGAGCTGATTGAATGTCGGCGAGAATATGATGCCATAGAAGCACCCTGTCCCTTCAACGTGAAGTGGCCGTAAAGGGGTGATAAGGCCGTCGAAAAGCACATTCGGCAGGCCGGGCCTGGTTGGGTGCTGAGTTGAGAGGTTCGTACCCGGCGGGGGAACAAATTTTATCTGGACCCGTATGTGGCCTTGCGCGGCCGCCTCGATTTTTATCCGGACGATTGAGGGTAGCATTTTCACCAAAAAATTCCAGTTTCTATCTGGACAGTCCTGCGGCCAAAAATGCCCAAAATCTCGATTTTTATCCGGATCTGACTCAGGGATCTAGTAGTACTTTCGGGGGTCCTGATACCAGTCGAAGGAGAGTCTTGAGTCGATTGTTATAACTCAGATCCGGATCGCCGATACCCGCTCCGGCGCTTCTTGACAGCGGGAAGTCCGCTTCGGGTTGCCCGCCTCGCCACAGCGCAAAGGCAATGCAGGGACCCGGGAGACCAGCGCCACCCATGGCCGGCGAAGAAGGGCGTTGCGGGCCGGCATTGTGGGAAATGGCGAGCGTCTACTGCGACGTCGACAGCCCCTGGACGCGCACCGTTACGGTTTGGCTTATATATTTTCGTTAACATGGTTGGCTTGTTGTCATAGCCAAAATAAGGTACACCAAATGAAAATCGTTCTCGTTTGCCAACGAAATCTTTTGTTCTTTTGTGAACGAAGAGTTTTAACGAGCAATCCCCATCGCCTCTGGGGGATTTTTAAAAATGATTATGCCCACTACTCTCGCATATTTTACTGTCATAGAGTATGGATTTTCAAGTCCGGCGAGACAGTTTACTGCAGTGTCAATGGGTATGGAATCCTTTGCTATGTCGTCTTTTGTAAACAACACAAATTCTCAATGCGAAAAGGGATCAAATACGCGGTTGAATCTCTGCGAGATCAAGTGTGATAATTCTGCGGCTCACAGTAGGAAAGGATTTCGTGATATGTGAGATATTCTGACGCCGTTTCGATGCCTGGCAAAGGTTGGGTAAAGACGACAGTTTCGTGCTCGCACGGAGTCATAACTTTCATTGTTTTTTTCATTCACAGGCTATAATGGGCCACTTCTCGATTTTATGTCAAGTCTTATCTACCATACATATGTCTGGGAAATTGCATCCACGGCAAACCCAGGGACACCTACTAGAAGTTGCGACAACTCGAGGTGTTCCGCCGCAAACTATTTTTAGGCCAGTGCCTCCGGGCCGAGAATTTGAACCGCATATGCATTCAGCGCTCCGAGGGCTGGTCATCTCACCGTCTCGATAAATGGGCAAGTTCAACATTGGCTTACTTAACATCGAATTTCAAATACTTATTGCATATTAGTATCTGAAGCATCAGATTGGACCCCTACTCCAACCCTCGTACAGGCTACTACGTCTCTTTCGGAAATTGAATGCCTCTTCTGTCTGAGAGCTGGAAATTTGACGCGACGCCATATGTCATACCGCTTGTGGCAGGCTAAGCGACGCATATCTATTCAGTTCGCGACAAGTCGGGGACTACAACGACTCCGTTTCGCTGCATCTTGAAGAGACTGCTATCGTTCTAGTGTTCCCGCAATTTTCGGTAGGTTTCTAGGCATCTTGAAGGCAGGATGCGATGCCTGTCTCCTCGATGGCGTATACAGTTGCCCCACCAACTCCACGCTGCCATTACCCACTGATTTTGTTGCCATTCCGAGTCCTCCTGCGAGAAAAACTCTGTCTCGAAACCTGAGAAAGAAAAATTCCTCGACGAGTGCGTGGTATCGATATTCTTTGGATATTAATGACGCCGTGGAAAAAGCAGACTGCAATTCGAAAGTTCCGAGGGAGATGGAGCAAGTATGGAGTATGTTTCTCGCTCTTGAATGTATACCACTCCTTGCATGCTGTCCTTTGATTTTTGATTCCGGTTGTCAGATAAGATTTTCTTGTGGACCGGGCCGAGGCCCTAGATATAAAATCGTATTCCCACGTGTCCCGAACGCAACTTGCATTCCTTCTTACATAGCTCATCCCCACAATAACTTCTAGAGCCAACTCACTGGCTGTGAACAGCCTCCAATTTACCTCTATGCCGCCATGGATCCTCCAACCAAGCCCTTCAGCTCGAGGTTTCCCACCAACTACGCGCCTACCGACGAAGAAGCCTCGCAAATCAAGAATCTTATTTCTGTGCCGCTAGTTCAAGTCGCCCAGATCAAAGAGAAAATGGCACAAATAAAGCGCGAAATTACAGACCTTCAACAGCAATACGATGCCTGGGAGGGTACCTGTTCTTCCATCCTTCGAGAGGCCTCCGTTCAGGACTACCAGGCCCTTCTCGCCCCCATACGACGACTCCCTCCCGAAATCTTGCAGCAAATTTTCCTCTTTTCCATCCCAGACAACCACTACGCAGTAATATCCCCTAACGAGGCACCGGTCTCCCTTACTCACACTTGTGGCCGCTGGCGTCGCATCGCGGTCAAGATGCCACTATTGTGGACCTCCGTTCACATCTCAGTCCCCTCGCAGGTAATAGAAGATCCAGACTTTGTCAAGAAAGCCATAGATGCACGAGTTTCAGCTCTGAAAAGATGGATCAAGCGAAGCCACGACCTCCCATTCGACTTTTCCGTGTACGACCCCGGGACTGTGCTTGCCTTAGAGGAGCCTAGGAAGCGGCTCTTCGGGCTCTTGTGCTCCATTTCGAAACAATGGCGGCGTGTTAAGATTCACGCCCCTCCTAACGTTTTGCAACGCATCGCGAAGCTGAAAAGGAAGGACATCCCCCTTCTTGAAGAGTTCGAGGTGCACACCGACCTCGTCTCTTCCATCGTCTCATGCAACGAGGACAACGAAATCATCATATGGGGTGGCAGCCGGGTTCTCGCCGCACCTCTCCTGACGCGTTTCAAGACCAACACCGTCTCAGAGTCGCTCCGCAAATTCAAGCTCCCATACAAGCAGCTCACGCATCTCGAACTCGGGCACGGGCTCTCACCCTCATGGGAGCCATTCCTCTCCGTTTCGAGGCTCGCTTGGATTTTGCTACTGATGGCGAACCTCGTCAGAGGTTCCTTTGTCGTCAGCGCGGCTTCGTTCGAGTTCCCAGAGCAGCAGATCAAGCTGCCCGAGCTGGAGAGTTTAGTGATCACGGAGATGGGACGTGAAGTCGACTGTTCGGACCTGTTCGGTCGACTCGTCATTCCGAAGCTCAAGCACTTGACGTACCATTCGAATCCACTGGCCGATTCGGAAACAGTATTTTCCTATATGGCGCTGCCCACGATTCTCCGCACCGCTGCACCAACGCTAGAGAGCCTCGAAGTCAATGGGCTCATGTTTCCTTCTCAAGAGTTCATGATCAATTGTCTACGCTACGTCACGAACGTCCGTAAGCTTCATTTCGTCGATACGACACCCAGCTGCATTCCAGGCACGCTTTATCCCGGCACCTACTTCGACGATGCACTTCTCGACACGCTCATCTCGACCAGCGAGTTTCCAGACAGGTACCTCCTTCCCAAGCTCGAAGATATCAGTATCGAGTACATATCCAAGTTTACTGATGCAGCGATCTGCGAGTTCCTCGGCTTTCGCAGTGGTACGCTCCCTCGCGTCCGTGTTCACGCGCTGAAGTTCTTCTCCGTCGTTGTCGAACATTCATGCCCTGGTGACGGTGGTGCGCTGAAGCAGATGGAGCACCTTGTGAAGGCGGGATTAGCATTGGTGGTAGGGTACAATCGCGCGAAGCGTTCGCCACGGGCAGTCGATGTACCTGGCAGGTCTGGCCATTTATCTAGCGCGTATGACGGTTTGGCTAAGTTCTAGGATAATCGACCATGCGAGCATTCAGTCTTTTGTGGGTTTTCGTGTATGTATGTATCTTTTTGGCGGGGACACAGGAAATATCTCGCTTTTATATCCGACCAAGGCGATTTGAGCTACAGGGATTTTTTTGTGTATGTCGTATGCGGACTGGTTAAGGTCCTATAGTGAGGCAAAGGTCGAGGGAGAATGGCCCCTTACGCCTCGACGCAGATGAGGCACGCGGTGTCAGTGTTGGCATTCTTGTTCGAGAGTGTTCAACGCATCAAGTAACAATATATTTTACATCGCTGGAGTTGACGTTCAGATTCTTTGAAGAGTCGTGCAGTGGCGAGGAAACTCGGTGACAAGAGTAGCGCGCCACACACTCTCCGCTAATCTTCTCCAACGAATCAAGGGCCCATTCCTATCATGCCAGCCTTGAGCCCAGCCTTCCAACTTGAATATAGCTTTCACGCACCTGCAGGATACAGGATCGATCAGATCGACGGAAGCATTCCGGCATTCCTGGCTGATTCACGGGAAACCTCTTTATCAAACTCCCGCATACGCGATCTCAGCCCCAAAGTATTCTGAGTGTCCCGACGAATGTATTCGTCAATGTCCCTGCAGTTCATGTGGACGTTAGGTCTGCCCTTCCAATCGATAAAGATAGAGGTACCGTAATATGTAGAATTCAGGAGGCATATCATGTCCTTCCGCGCGGACGCGTTCCACTTCAAAAAACTCGCTCCGCGGAAGAGGTTCAAAGGGTGATGGCTTTCCTCGCGCAGTTTCGAACGCTTCATGAGGTACGTCCAACCCTAGGATGTGCTCCTCTCCTTCGTACCAGAGCTCGAGGTAGACAGTCACAAAGTCACCAGGTCTCCGTCCGTTGCTTTCCATCTTGCTGAAAAGCCTCTTGTAGCCATCAACGTCAATCAACCTCTTGAATGGATCACCCATGAGACGAATAGTAAATTCCTCGTCATTTACTATGTCCCCCATGTCGAAGAATCCCAGTTTTCCTCAAACGGTTCCTGGTCGGCATAGGTATCTTCAAACCCGAGGAAAATAGCAAGGAAGTGCTCGATGTTTGCGGGATATAACATCGCCGGGACTCTGATGAAATAGGACTTCTGTGGTGGAGGCGTGGCGAGCAGCCCGAGCTTGTGGACGAGGGCCACGCGGAAGTAGTGTAAGAGTATGGGTGTCAAGAAGAAATTCATGAGCATATCGCCTATGACCAGCTGCTCGCGGAATCTTTGACAACACGCTTTGTGCTTCTTCCTAAGCGCTAGGGATGGTCAATTTAAGGAACAGGGATCGCCATGGCCGCTTACCAGTCTAGCGTCTGGCACTATTAAGGCCACTGTTCGTCAGGATAGTTGAACCAAATGTGATGAATTGAACTTGCCTCTCGCGAGCAGTAATATGCCATAAGACACTGAAAGGGTAACGTTATTGACTACCTAATGCTGAACGAATGGATGATTACACACTGCCTTGCACCTCAGAACGCGTACGCCGTTCTCCCCGTCTTTTTTCTTGCACACATCGCACAATTCACAGGAAAAGAGATGTCTTGCTTGGCTTTCACTGGGCGATCGGCTCCATCCAAAGTATACACCGAGCTCGGTGGCTTTTTCGAGATCCGGATGTGCTAGGTCTTGTTTCCGTTTCGACGACATCGGCCATCCAATAGGTAGAGGTAACAGGTAGAGATAAGAAGCAGGGGGGAAATCGTTCATGGCCCTACTTTTGTTTATTTGGCAGCATAGGCTTGATACAGGCATGCTTCGGCGCTTCGATTTGAATGAGGAGAATCAATTTCCGAATTTGATTCCTACACTTAATTACAAGCCCAGCTTCCCTATAACTTTTTGCTGAGCTGGCCTCTCGACGGTGATATGCACACTCAAACCAGATGCATGATTACAGGGGCGAGACTACAGCCCGAGAGCACTTTTCGATTACCAGTGCTCCTCTTTTTTCAGTACAACCTGGCAGGCGAGGACGAACAGACGCCAACTAAGTACGGAGAGTAAAAAGGGGAAATTGATAGGTGAGAGGATGTATTGTAGGTTGACGTTGAATACCTGCCTACTGGCGTTCCTCAGCTGGAGGGAGCTCGATGACCAGGCAAACCTCCCCGTAAGCATAATCAAGGGTCGCCTCGTTCCCATAACTAATATAGGCAGACTTGAATGCATTGACTTCTGCGAGTGGATTCGCCCACACAATGCTATACACGTCCGCCCCTTCGCGCATCATTCTTATGAAGCCGTCGTCTTCGCCTTCCGAGTCGCAATCCACAACAGTAATGGAGCCCCTGAAGTCCCGAAGATACCATGCAAGCCTATCATCGACCTGATGGGTACCAAAATCGACGAATTTTGGCAGAAGGATGCCGACACACTTGGACTGCTCACGATAGAATGCCATTAAAGAAGATTCAAGCGAAAGGGCGTCGCAGACACGGTTGATTGTGGCATCAGATCCTTTTAAATAGTCCTTGAGGTTAAAGAGGTTTGTGCTGTTGGAGTTGAAGGGATAAGCGTGAGAGAGGCCGAAGCCAAGGATGCCGCCATCCGGGAGTACTTGAGGGACACGTGTGAGGGCAGCTTTCAAGTCACCCTCTGGATTGCTCCCGGAAAGCATGGTCGGCGCAGGACTTGTCGAGTCGGCGAAGTACAAGTTGTAAGTGAGGGTAATGCGATGTCCAGTAGTGACCTCTCAGACCTCGTGTTCGACGTCGCTGAAGAACGCCACGAACGCAGCATATGGGGTAGATTCTTCATTGACAGCCTTGGCCGAGTCAAAGGTCCATTCATTCCCTTGATGGCGGAAGATGAGAGACCCTCCCGTGTGAGCGGTGGGAAGGACGACAACGAGAGAGCCGAACATCTTATCACTACGCAGGGTGTCGACATGGGCCTTGAAAAATGCCCCGAGGCCTACAACGAAGGTTGGGCCATTGCAAACAGAGAATTAGGTAGTTCTACGTACCGTATACGTTGAGCTTGTACAGTTCAACACGAGTATCCGTGGCCTCTCTTTGCCCGTGAAACAAGGATTCAACGATAGACTTGATGATGCCCAGCTGGAGCGGTGAAAAGTGGCTGTCGCGTCCATCTTCCCTGCCTTCCTGTACGATTCGTCCAACACATCTTTCTGCCCACGCCCAAATGTAGCGGGTTGGCAGGCGTCAGCGAGCTTTTTAAGCTGCTCGTCGGTGGCGTTCGCAAAATCGATCATTTTGTACAAGGTTAGAGCGAGGAGATAAGAGGGGATAGAAAGACGCACTCCGCCTTGAGATCTCCGGATCGATAGAACAGTGTCGAGTTAGTTGCGTCTAGTGGCACAGTTCCGGTGCAGTATGGAAGGCCAGTCACCGACTGGAGCATGGCCTGCACGGTTTCGAGAGTGGAAGACATTGGAAGAAGACGAAATTGGGGACTGGACGCACAATCGAGCCGACATTTATGGTCAGGCACACGCTGGGGCCTTGCGGAACATGTCTCACATTTCGTATGACTTGCAGGTGAGTCGTCTAGCTCCCCAGCTTCGTGAATCGATACGCCACGCAAGCGAAGGAGCGAGGGATGCATCAGCCCCTGGGTCGATGAGTCATTGACGGAAACAAACTTTGCATAAGACTATAATCACATCTTGGGTTGCTGGATGAGAATCGAGGCAATCGTGTTTAAGGTGCACACCTTCCCTCTTTCCACTGTTCAGTAGAGCAGCTCGAAATACACGCCAGAAGGCGATGAAAAACGAATCGGGTGTTTTTATTTTCGTGGGGATGGTTTAGGGACAGGAGTGCGTGTGACGCGGAGAATGAGTCATGTCATTGTCACACATCACGCTCGTGACGACTAAATAGACGCCGAAAGGGAATAAGCGCCCGACGGCGTCGGTAAGCAGAAGCCGACGATTCGTCTGTGTACGCCTTGAATCCGCTTCGGCGACCCATCAGATTCTGGGGCTTCACAGATATTCACAAGCCGGCTGATGCCAGGTTCCTAGCGGCTTCCCGAAAGAACCTCTCCTTGAGCCACTGGCAGGAAGAGAGATCATCCAAGCCTTCGGCCGATAGTCGGCAATACGAATTTCCCTTGGAAGACCGTCGATGCCTACTGTCCTAGAGAAGGCAGAGTTTCTCAGGAGTTTTGGAACGCGGATTATTTAGAGGGCAAAGAGAAGCCTCGATTCAAGAGAAATAATAATAGCAAAAAGTCGGTGACTGGAAAGCCCGAGAACTGGCGAAGCCTACATATCCGTTCGGCCTACCAATTACGCACTGAAGCACATGAGAAGGGGCTCGTCAGCAGGCATATCCCCGAGGGGTAGATAATTATGGAAAAACTTACATGAACGATATTTGTGGGGTCCGCATACTCGTGTTGACATTCATTACCAGATGGACGAAAGGCTATGCTTTGGAGGTACCACCAGTTGGCGATGGGAGGGCGAGATGGAATAAATAAGCAATAAAGAGGGAAACAACGAGCGGGGTCTCGTAGGGTATTCGGCGGGGGTTAAACGGATTGCAGTCGATGAGTCTGGATACGAGTAGGTCGGCAACTATGAATAGAACGCAAAAAAGATGTAGCATACGGGATAAGCTCAGACGCAGCCCCCCTAACCACCACCTTGAGAGAATTGAATATGGTTGTTCGTTATGGTGAAAGCGGAACTGGCAAGCTCGTTAGCACGAGCCAGCATGAGGCAGAATGACCATGTAGCACGTACCTGTGGCCCAAAATAAGTCACGTATCTCCATGAAAAGCAGTCGCTGCACAGGAGAGCGTGAGGAGAGGGAATCTCCTGGGAACCACACAGCGTCAACAGGGAGAATTTATACGCTTTTCGAGCTGTGTAATCCCGTGACGGGCTGTGCATCACCCCTCTTCGACCCGTAAAAAATTTATGCCCACCCGGTGAAAGGCAGTGCGTGCGCGCGGCACAGAGATCACCGAAGGGACAACCGGGGAAACAGGCACGCCATTGTCGGTTCTCTCCTTGCAAATTGAACTAAGGAAGTGGGAAGATGCATGTTTCTCTGACAAAGAAAAGGGAGAAGCAGTGCGCTGGAGCATAGCTGTACAACACATGTCCCTACTTACATGGGAAATTCGTCAGTTAGGCGGGCTGTGTGGGGGAAAGAGGTACCCGCCGACGTATTCATCTCTACCACCATGTCCGCGTCAGGTCTGATGGACCATAGAAAACGAGACACTGTCGGAATGGGCCAACAGACGTAGATTACGGTCGTTTGGATTAATATTTACGTTGTGGGCGCTGTGAGCGCTGCGAATGAACGGGCGTGAGAGCATACCTTACGTTAATAAACTTCAAGCCCGGACCGGGTCACTCTTCTACTCACAGCCATCATCATGCCTGGAATCAACAGGCCCACTTACCGCAGGGCACCCAACGTGCCCAACCTGTGGTCTCTTCCTAGCTATAGCCGACACTCCAGAAGGAAAACACCTTCACTGGTTCCACAATCAGAATCTGGCGGAAGGGTGACTCTATTCCGGGTTTCCGCTGTCCTTTTCCGAATCTTGTACCTTACTCGAGGAGACGACTAGTCGTTGAGTATGCGCCATACAATCTCGTGAAACCTCATTCTTGACTGGTCTGTGCAGGGTGTTCTCGACTCAGTGGGCGAGAACGGCTGTCTGGAGTCTTCGACTCCGTACTACGATTGCGACAAGGCGGCATCCATTATCACTATCACTTCAAGATGGGATGGAAGCTCAAACTGATCTGCCGAGGACAACGCGCTGGCGGAAATGGAGCGTCCTGTGGCAGGAGATTCACGGTCTGTCCAGTTTGATTGTCCAGAGCATGAGAGAAATCGACGCAGCCGCGGAGATGAAAGGCAAATACACAACAAAAAATGCATCCCCGAATTGGGGTTCCAATGGGGATATGGACGACATCGACCGACGACTTGTTGAATGCACTTTGCGACATGCTGGCCCCCACTGGGCCTCCACCCTAGACTTGCCACGAGCCCTTGAAGAGCTCCAAGGCCCCCGTCAACTGGCTATTGACGCGAGCACGGAACAAAGCGCAAGATCAAACTCGATTTTGACTCTGATACTGGTGCATGCAGCGTCACAGTCAAAATGCAGTGAAAACCTCATCATATTGAAGCGCTCTAGCCCGTCCTGGCTCTTGGGGCCGTGTTTCCCAGATTCGTTGCTCATGGCATAAGTACGACGAGGAGAATGTGGGATTACTTACCGCCTGTGCGCTAGCCTCACTGCCAAATCCTCCCTCAACCATGGAGGAAGCCCTTCCAGAGCAAGGAGAGCACCCCGTATGGCACCCCAAGATAACGCCATATCGCATAATGGTCTTCTCGACGCCGCTTATCCTCGGAACTTGGAAGGCAATCTCGGCGCAGAAAGGGGACACCATACTACCCGTTACGCTAGAATGGATATCTGGTGTGGCAATCTTTCTCCTGTGCGTGTCTAGCTCGTATCGCCCTGCAACATTTTAAGGAGATTATTTTTTCCTTCAGTTTGTTCTGGGGAGGAATATATGATTTGAAAGGGATTGGGGTCTACTATCTGGACTGGTTCTTTACATTCGATGTCTGGAGCCAGCTGCGAGGGTTTCGGAGTTTTGTCGTGCACCCACGAGGAACCTCGGAGGAAGAATCTACCAGGGATGACATAGGAGCCGCTGAAGATTCCGTGACGCCGCCTCTGAGTGCATATCACATACTTGTATCCTCAACCGTCGTACTTTTTGGTACGACGAAGGCGGGACTCATTTACTTAGATAAATGCGCCCCAGCCAACTGGATCGACTGGACACTCGCCGTCGCTGCGTCCTCGACGTAAATCCAAACCCTCTACATCACACGAGAATTATTAATGAGGATCCCAGATTCTTTATTCTTGGACTGTACGAAAACAATCCAGTTGGCCTCGCTCCCTGGTTATTCGTTCTCGATCGCCGTCTCGATGCAACCTTATGTGCGTGGCTGTATGCTATATTTCTGTCCGCTGGGTGCACTTAGATCCATGTTTTAGTTGCAGCCGCCATTCCGTCCGCAATAGGCGCGCTGTTGTGTCTAACATCTCTTCATTACGCAGCGCATAAAGTACTTCACCTATGGAAGACAGAGAGGCTTGAATGGCAAGATCAACACTCGGGGGCCACCTGGGAAGCTAACTTTGTTGATTGCTTCGAGCGGTATATTTCTTCCTTCCTTCCTTTCATCCTCGGACTATATTCCTTCCTCGTGTTTACTATCATGCGCCGTAAATTGACCCGAAGACTACAAACATTGTGGCATCACCTCACCAACCCCCCAAGAGAAGCTCAGTCGATCCCCTTGATTGGCAATGCGAATATCGAGTGTGGTGATCAACAGACGGCAAGACCTGTGCCATCTACAGAATCGGCGAGCTACTCCGGGAAACGAGGCACGAATCATCTTTCCTTCTACGCAGGGGGTTGAACTAATTAGATCGCTTCCAAGGGAAAAGTGTCACGAGGCGTATGACATTCATTCTCCAGGAAATTTCTATTTTCCTCCTTCTCCTCACCCTTGCTTTATCGTGGCTGTTTTTCGGCTTGGGCGTGTGGTGGATTGTGACGATGCACACCTTTCACGAACCTTGGCACCTTCATGACCTCCTGACTTGGGCAGGGGGCTCCGTGGCCATGGTAGTTTTTTCATTTGTTCCCCCGTTTCACATTTTATCCATGCTCTATAGCACTTCCATAGCAAGTTCTTATGCTGAATTTCTAGCATCCTGAGTTTGATACGTACCCAATCCCTGTATCTTATCTTCGTTCCTCCAGATCCGGCACTTGCGAGGCAAACAAAACTCTATCCGAATTTTGGCTCTCGACCATGACCACAACAATGTCCTCTTCGTCACCAGCAAGTGAAATGGAAGGTGTTTGATATCTTGTCTGTGCACCAAACCCCTTATTCTAACCTGTGAATATCTTCCCTGTCATTCCGGCAATGTCGAAAATTTCGAGTTTCCTTGGCACGATTCATATTTCAACTGACGACACCATTGCTGAGATGGTAGAGAAATTAATTGAAGAAACTTCAGGAAGAAATACTCCACGTTCAAGGCACTTATATCACTTTCTCGTTACCGAGCACAATGCTTTGCTGGAGGAGCTCAAGATCGCCCGCAGCATTATATCCCCTGTGCGACGCGTCCCGGCCGAAGTGCTCCAGCAGATTTTTCGCCAATGACACCCTACTCGAAATTCCGTGATGAGCGACTACGAGTCTCCAATCCTGGTCACCCATGTTTGCCAATTAGGAAAATGTCGCGCACTCCCTCGCTACGATTGTCCCTACGCCCAACGTCCGCAAAAGAAGGAACCGCACAAACAAGCATTCCGTGAAGCTATTCGAGCGCAAGCCGCTGCTGCGGAGGAGTGGTTGAGACGAAGTGGCTCCCGTCCTCTGCGTCTCTCTATTGCTTGCGGTATGGAACTGAAGGTGACGAACCCACAGCCCTCGCAATCATCCATTCCGCACTCTGATTTTCGTCGCGATGGGACAGTCTGGATCTCACTCTGCCACCCCTTTACCCCGCCAAGTTCTTGCCCTCGACGGATGTTCTGATGTTGCAATCGATTTACATCAAAATCGTCGATGCTTCAGCTGGTGGTCTTTCGTCTGAGCTTTGGGAGAGGAGCGAGCTTCTCAAAGCACGCACACTACGCAAGCTTGTTGCCCCCGTGCTTATCCAACAGCCCCGCACAGCTGCCGCTGAATTGGAGGCAGCTGACAGCTCTTTCATTTTTCAGCTTGCGTCTTCAAGGCGCCGTCAATCTCCCGAGCATCCTTCAGGCATTACAGCAATACAGTTCTCAACTTTTGTCCCCGTCTCTTTCATTCGGCGACCGCCGTGTTATTCCCCGGATCACTACCCGCCGAACGAGGATCCCCTGCTGCTCTCCTTACCATCCCTCGAGAAGCTATTCATTGGAGATGGTGCTCATGATTTGACACGATTGTTCCAGGTTTTGGAGACGCCTCTTCTTCGATCGTTCACTTATACTACTAGTGAAAAGGCGTATCGCGCCCCTCTTAGCTTCGAAATTCTGTCTTCATTCATCTCGCGTACATTGGGCGTACGAAAGCTCCCCATCGACCCCGAGCACCTCACACGCGACGAATTCGGTGAGATTCTCCGTCCGCGTCAATGCCCGCACCTCAGGTTCCTCAAAACCTCGGAGCATTGTCAGTGTCCCGACGCTTGCAGAAACGACTCGAAGTTGATAAACAGCAGACTCCTCGAGTTGTTTGCTGGGACACACCCAACGGAGCCAGGCATTTGCCCTGGACTTGAGGAGATCGAATGGAGGCATTGCTCCGGGTTTTCGGACGATGAGCTGCTCATCAGCGAGTGCGGCGGGGCCGTGTCGTGTGTGGCGAAGCTAAAAAGAATGCACGTCGAGTTCGAACGGACTAAATAAATGTCTATTTCGGAGGTTACGAAACGGTTCGAAGAAGGATTGAAATTTGATGCCTCGTATTGCCCCGACGACGAGTATATGGAACGGCGGAGTTCGGCTTGGGATGGACTTCCCGGGTACGATCTGTGGTGGAAAGTGTGGCGCTACCCAAACTCGATTTATTTATTCCACATCCTTTGATCCTTGATTTCTGGGCTCGAATCACGTCTGCGAAAAGTTAGATGAGGAATCCACCGATGTCCAGCAAATTTCTTGAGAACAATCGCGCATATTGCCAAGGTCATTCTCAATGGCCGATGACTGATTACATACGACCTATGTTTATTCTATGTCATCAAGTCGAAGGCGATCCCGTATAAGGCTTGCTCAGCATTGCTTGGCCCGAACTATATATGTGCTCCTCGAGCTTCCAGATAAAAAATTGGATGAAGCGACTGAGCAAAGGCAACTCTGTCTAGACCACGCAAATCCGGGAGATGGGGTCAGCGATTGGTCTTGGTTCTCTCTCCGGAATGACGGTTGAGCAATAGTTTGGTGGCCAAGGTCAAGTAGTCGATTTTCCATCCGACAGGTTGCTTAGTTTTAGGCAGTATTGCGGGATTACTTAGAACATGTGACGAAAGTGACAAGCTTTCTGAAGCGCTCTGAAGGAAAGAAGATAGAAACTTAGCCTGGGCCCGATTTGGAGCCCTAACGTTATATAACTCACCTTGTGCGAACCGGCACAACCTCATACAACAAAACATATTCTTTACAAATTGCAATCTCCCTTTCTAAAGTGATTCCAAGCCTGTTCTGCCCAAATTCTGCCTACGCCTATGCCACTATCTTATCTTATCTGTCCGGATCAAACTATGCCGCGAGTCCCTTGAGCTTGAATTTTCCACTCCTTCACGACTTCAACGTTCGAAACGTTCAACTTCATTTGAAGCGTCTCGATGCCGGTACTCATAAGGAAAAAAGTCTGAAAGTACGACGACTGCTTAATCCTCCCCTTGCGACGCTAAGCTTACCAAAAAATTAGATACCCTGTGACGTGATGAATCCACCCTCAAATTGATCTTCTGGTCCTGCATCGTGTTCATCTTGGACGTTCTTGGAAGTTTTAGTAGCGTCTGGCCTTCCTTTCTTTGTTCTTCAACCACCTGCAGGTTTACCCGCCTGGTCTGGGTTACACTATCGCTGCACGCTCCCTGCGCCGAACATGCCTTTTCGCAGCCCAACATCGTCTCCGAGCCCCTCAGGCTCAGGGTCGTGGTCAAGCTCGACGTTGACAGCAACCCAGGGACTTTCCTCCTCCCAGACCTCTCCTCGACCACCATTTTCCTTTTCCCTGCCGCCCCCAATACCCGACCACATCCCTCAGAGCTCCCAGTCGACGAGAAGGGCGCCGAGCGCAGCGTCGACAATACGGCTCAATCATTCGAGTGGGGGACTTGCGGCTGATGCGACGAGCTCGCAGTTGGGTTTGAATAGCAGCACCGATAACGACACATCGACGACGACGAACGTGATGGACGGGAACGCTAATGGATACATCACGCCTGATACTTCCATATCCGCCACCCTCGCGCCGATGACAAGCTCAGGCTCTAGCGCGCCGTTATCTCTCTCTCACTCGCCTTCGCGGCCTCTTCCACGTTCCAAGTCCAAGTCACGACGGCACTCGACCGCCAAGGACCGGCCAGTCAGCACGCATACACGAGCATCGACGTACGTGGCCCCTGCGCACGACGTCCAGTTTCGACTTCTGCGGAGGTCCGGGGCATCCAACAGTTCGTTCCTCATGGTTACATCCTATCTCTCCGGAATACAAGAACGGGCCAACACGTTGAAGGAGATGAACAGGAAGAGGACGAAGCTGAAGAAGAAGAGACCGGAGGGATGGGTTAGCGAGAAGGAGCGAGAGGCAATGAAGAAGGAGCTGAAGGTGGAGAAGTCGGTGGAGGTGGAGAAGAGGATCAGCACCATGCCGAAGCTCAAGGAAGAGCAGGAGATGGATGCCAACACGAACGTGAAGGAAGACGGCATGGAGCGCTGGATGGGCATGGTCACCGGCAAGAAGGAGAAGGGGAAAGGAAAAGCGAAGGAAGGTGTCTCTCGAGCCAAATCCGAATCTGACGCACGCCGCGAGTCGACGCTAACGTCGCGCACGGACATCAATACCACCAATGCACCAGTTCTACCAACACCCAAAGCAAAGCCGATAACTGCAGAAAAAGAAACGCGGAAACCAATCATCCTAGACACGCCCTCTCCGTCCAGGTCCAACACGGTTACATCCCACGGCAAGAGTGCGAAGGGGAAGGGGAAGGCCCGTCGTGGGCGTTGTTCGAGCACAATGCGCCCAGCGTCGACTGTTACGAACGGACAGAAACCTCGTTCTCGGTCAGTGTTCTCAGGTATGTTCCGTTCTGTTTAATTTTGACCGGGACCATGGTCACTGTCCACGCGTTTGCGTTGCGGCATGTCCTGGCCGTCTTATTTTTGATACCCATCGCTGACGATCTGTTTCTCTCCTGCCGTTTCTCTCATCTCTCTTGAATATTCTGCCTTGCGGTTTCCGGACTTGAAATCGATTCTTCCGCACGGATTAACGTTATCGTTAACGTTGCTCACCCGTGGCTGAACGTCTTCCCATGACGCGTTTTTCTTTACAACACCTATACGCACCCGCGACACTCTCGGCCGGCGTTCTCTTGAATCCCGAACCCGATTGGCTTTCATGTCGCTCTCTCTCATCTTATCGTCCATTCTCTTCGTCCAAACTCGCTTTGGGCTTCCACAAAAAACGAACGAACGAACCGTTGAATAACAAACAGGCTACCTTAACCACCTCCTTTCTTCCTTCCCTCGGCTCGCGCGACTCCGCCTCCGAGCTTCCACCACCAAATCCTCCACCCAACCACCAGCCTACCCGCGCCCCGCAAAAGGTCCCAGCACACCGAACATGCTCCTACGCGGCCGGCACTTTACCGAGAAGTATATCCCGCGCTTCCCGTCGCGCCAGTTTTTGAGCGGGGTGCACACCCTGCAAGCGGAGGTGCAGAGTCAGAGCGGGCATGGGCATCCTGACACCGCTGGACCTCCGGGACGAAGTTCGACGTACAACGTAGGACCCTCTGGCGCCGGCAGTGGAAGTGCCCGTGTGCAGGAGAAGCCGAGATCGCGCCTCTCTGAGCAGGGTCACGAGCGAGCGAGCTCAAGTGGACACGAGAAGCTCAGTTCGCATGGACATGGGCGATCGCAGAGCTATTCTGCTTATCCAACCTCCTCTTCTCCGGCCACTTCCAAGACCTACGTGAATGGATACGCTACCGAGCAGACTCAAGCATACACTTCAGCTTCGAGCGCCATTTTGAGCGTACCTGCTCCGGCTCGATCTCGGCCTTCCTCGTACTCTCCGCCCTATTTCCCGCCAAGGGATGGTTCGAAGTCGTCGGTCGGTTTCAACAACGTTGGCGCCAGCGCCGACAACAAGCAGGCCAAAGAAGCGGACGCGGAACTCTCCCAAGTCGGTCACGCGTCGTCGTCGACAGACCACTCCGTCTCCACTTCCCACTCGCCGCCATCATCACGGCACGGCCACGGGCGATCGAGGTCGCACTACTATGGCCAGTCTTCATCGTCATCATCAACGTCTACAGCGGCACTTTCCTATGCCACAGCGCAATCGAGCACAGCCGCCCTTTCGTATACGGAATCTCAGTCGGCTGCACATGCACATTCGCGCCCGCTCTCTGGTTGATTTGCCAGTGTGATAATTCTGGAATCGCCTCAGTGTATGAGGCGCATATATGGACGTAACTTTATTCCTATGGACTCTCACGGACTCGCTCCTCGGACGATAGGTAACATGGACTTCCTCTGGAGTGAGTTACGCTTTTTTTGGAAGACCCCTAGACACTCGTATGCTACTGACGACTCGCTTTACTCCTGTAGATTATGAACTATGATAGAATCTATATCCATTGGACGCTAGAAGATAGAATAAGGTTGAGCAAGTGGCATGGGGTGATCCTCATAGATCACCAGCCTCGAGACCTTGCTCGATGAACTTCGATACTTATTCTGTGGTAATGCGTCCATTCTTTTAGGGCACCTACCCACAATGGCCGAGAACGATTTGAATTTGGCGGCACCTCGGCCAACACGGCTACCATTTAAAGTCTCTGATGCCTTCCAGTGGTGGGCTCTGGGGGATGTGAAATCGTGAAATATAGGCCTGCGGCCCTGAATGGTCCTGTTTCCTCCCAAACGGACTGATGAAGGTAAGCATTTCCTTGTTCGAAAACCCGCCACGACTACGATTACGACACTCGGACTCTTTTAATTCAGGAGCAGAGTGGGTCGCCCTGATCGTTTGGGTTGAGGAGAAGTGAACGATCTGAGGGGGTCATCGTCGAGTATGTGGGTCGTTGAATAGGTGGGTGATCCCCACGGACCTGTCCCTCCGACGGGTCCTTTAGAAATTTTCATTGATTTCGCCGTTGGTCGGAACGTAATTTGCGTCGCCCCAGAAGAGATATCGCCGCTCTGGCCTAGTGAACGCGGTAAAGTAGGTTAATTTGGTTGATGAAGTTTAACTCACCCGCGGAGGTTTGTGACGACATGGTGGCAGCAGATGGACCGCACTCGCTATTTGATGGATAAAGAACAAACAACAGCGGAGAATAAAGCACGTTCAAGCATGGGCGCCTAGTGTAGTTGCAAGAATGTCCCAAGTAGTCGATCACCTCTGGAGTTTCCAAATATCATGATCATGCTCCACAAATGCTGACAAGCTCCTATCTATTAATATTATTCTAATTTTGGAACGCGAGTCCCTACATCGTCATCCGCATTTTAATGAAGAAATGACGCCCAAGCACCCATACAGCTCCTCGACAACTTTCACCATCATATTTACCCAGTACGAGGCGTTCGTCCTCGTGTCTCTGCCTCCTCGAGCATATTCCTTGATCATCCGTGACGGCTGCGCCACGGTCTTAATTGGGCACCTTGCGCACTCCGTTCTTCTGAATCTCTGTCGGCACTTTCTGCACTTTTGAGTCCTCTATATGGCAGTAATATGGGGTTTCGACCTTTCCGAGATGAGTTGGAGTGCATTCGAGCATAGACGGATGTTTGAAAAAAGGTGGTATTTATGGCGGGAACATTTCGGTGAGCAAAACATGTTCATCTCTCCGAAGGCTGACATCGACCTTGCCTTTTAGTGACTTACCAGCTCGCCATGCTGCTCGCTTTAGCGGCAGAGGTGTGTGATATATTCATATAATTTTACACTTCAGAGTTATATATGTCAAGGAAGTGTACCGCAACCTATGCTCTAGCCAAGTACGAGCTCCTCCAAGCCAACGTTGAACGCCTATCTGGCTACTCCGCTGCCCTGCATAACAACGACATAAGGGCCGCGGCCATCCTCACCATCGTCTTTAGTATCCTCGTCGCCACACTGTTCGGCCCCGACTTTTTCTTTCTCTTGTTTTGGCCCGGGAAGAGGTACCCGCGGTGGTATGATATGGCGAAGGATATAGCGGTCTGGATCTGCATTGGGGTCGGGGCGGCAGCGATAATGAGTACCATAGTCGTGGTGGCGAATGAAGCGTATATTACTGGGGTTGAGGATAGGACAGCGACGGAGTTGGTGGACTCGTATCCAAGGCCCCCTCTACGTACGTACGTCCTTCCTGGATTCCTTCCGTGTATTTTCTCCTTCATTCTATACTAACTCACGGGCTCTCGCACACATTCCCCAGTCTACCACACCTTTCCTCAGAATGTTGCTTGGGTGGTTCTTCTGTGGCTCGCGCTTATCCCGACTATAGCCAGGTGGGTCTAATAATTTCTCGCCTAACGTGCCAGCCTTCTGAATTACCTAGCACGACACTCATGTTCAAGGCGTCGACACATGATTCGCATTACGGGAGTACGCCAAAAATTCCAATAATATCATTGATGACGCCGGCGACATCGCCCCTCCTCCTGAAGGTGAATAATTGATATAGCCCATTGGGCTAAATATGGGGGAAATGAGGGTAATTAGTTCGCCAGCGATGTCCTTTAATATACTGTACGTAACCGGTTACTCGGTCACACCAACAACTCGGTCATCGCCTTTGTGGACAGCACAGTTGCTCGTTTCACTCAATTCTTTTTGCATAATCAGGTACAATTGTACTAGAGCAACGGAATTCCATTTTTTCATGAATAGATAATCATTCCTCGTGGAGGAATGAGCCTCTCTTTGGCTGTTGTGATGCGTGACACCCAATTTCCTTATTTGAAAACCTGTTTCTCGTGGTTCCGGAGGACTTTTCTCAACGACATGACTGGCTGCTGGAAAAATACTTTGGAACTAAGGAGGGGATCATAATTAATGTATAATCAAGTTATTTTATCTCGTGTGGAAGGATTCCTGCACTTTCAATATTGAAAATTAGAAGGAAGATCATTTTAGATGTGGGTTGGACTGTTCCGGGTGATTTATATTGTGACGAAGCCTCTAGGGGATGAATTGAGGCATCGAAAGAATAGTGCCCCAGATAGGTGCTTAGGAATGAAGTCTCTTTAATTTTTGCAAATTTCTTTCGAGCATGAGACACAAAGTAAAGAGAAAACCTTGTTTTGAATGATAAGAAATGTCAAATCAAATACTTCAAGGGAAGTTGCAAGGTATCATGAAATGAGGGACCAGATCATGATAGAGGTGTTTGACTTTCATTGGAAACTTTTTTTCCCGTAGGTCAGACCAACTTTGAAGAACAATTCAAGGTGGCCGAGTACTGTCCTCGTATTCCGACACTATCTTATCATCAGCTTACTAAGCACAGTTGACCCTGGTTACAGCCGGTGTACGGGACCAATACAAATCGGTCTAGTCTCGGGGCCTGGCCGACTTCCTGGTTTTGACCGATTTTGACCTATCAGAATAAAATATTCATGGAGGCCTCAAACCTTCCCGTAAATTTCTGATAACTGGTGCACAGGTACTTCAGATGCTTGCCTATTGAGTAGTACTGCTAGTTTATTCAAAACCCCCAAACCCAGCAAGCAATTTTTAGGCGACTGTAGAGTGACCGAGATGCTGGTCATCTACAGTATTGTCCATGAAGTTGGTATCATTGAGGCCATTTATGTTTGTCACACATTAGTTTTGGATTCAGAATTACTAATATTTCAGTTCATCTTTGATGTCAACCAACGGCAGGAGAACATCAAACATTTCAGGTATGCCATGTCCATATTTGGTGTGGGCGCTTAAATGTCCGTTCTCTAAATAATAATGCTCTTGCAGCAGCGCCAAGAGTATCTTTCATTAAAAAGCACTTAATGCTCAAGCATCCCTATGCCATGAGATACGTGACGCCGAGTAAGATTTGGAGGACTATGAGGTGCCTGCAATACAAGAATCTCCACCGTCCTAATTATCCTTTCGCATAACGTGCGGTAGTTTTCCTAAATAGCCACTGGCTTGCCACCAGCAGTGCTTGTATCATTGTTTGTTCACTGTAAACCTATACGCCATCGTTGATCTTCCTGGATGTTTGTAATCCAGATGTTATCTTCTGCCTCCTGCAAGTATGGAACCAAAGTAATTCATGTGTAATTTGGGGAGGTTGAGGGTAAATGGGCCCCACCCCCAAAGGAGGGGATGGGCTCTCCAATGCGCCCACTTGTTGTGGAGAGATGAAGGCTTGGAAGACACACTAGCTGCTCTTTTATGTCTCATCTTCCTTGACAAATGAAAGGAGGCATTTGTTCTCGAACAAATGGAAACTTGAAAGGTATGTCTCTGCATGGCCTTGGTGGGTGAAAATTGAGTCAGACGACGACTGATAGAAGGTCTCAGAAAGCTCTAGAAGTTCCCGAGGTCATCTTTGTTATAGAATTGGGTAGCCCGTGTATACAAAGCCCAGCCAGGGCTGTGCAGAGATATTATTAGCAGTCTAAAGAGAAGGTTCATAGAAAGTTATGAGACTCACCGGGGGTTTTCTATCATTGACATCCTGAGTCAATGTCTTTGTCTTTGTCCTCAGTCTAGAGGTTCATGTGAGTTCAAATAGTTCACCTCATGCACTCTTGATTCTTCAGCCACGTATTCAGAAGATAGTTACTTCTTGAATCTTGTTGCTCCAACTGTATCGTTGACCATGCCTCGAAGCATCACCTTAGATAAAGCAGTGCAGGTGGTGTAAAAGCCTACTTTCTTAATAGTCATTACTTGACATACCTGTATCGCAGTAAACCTTCGTACAAGCTGCATGGATAGAATTGTAGTCTGTCCTTTTCTGTTCTTCCCACAGGGATCTTTTCCATGAGTGATTGCGGCTCCACGATCAAGAGAAGAGCTGAGCACTTGCTCCAATAAGTTTGGTCATGGTTTTTGGCTGGTTTCAAGTTTGTTTTTTTCTTTTTGTGGGGCAGGGCGGGGGAAATTCGGATTTCACCTGCACCCACAACGCAACACCGAGCTCCCGCAATCCTTCCGATAGTTCTATGAGCGCCTTGAGGATTCCGTGTGTGACATTCTTTACAGGAAGATGGCGCTTGATATCCCGAATAGGTAGGTCTCCGCACGAATTAGGTCCGTTCAGCTGACATGCCGTCGGCTGGACAATTGCAGGCACCCGCACTGACGCAAGGTGACGAGAACAGACACGTTCCTTTCGCTCGACTCGGTGCCCCATCACCCATGCTGCCTGCTTTCGAGGGTCTTCGCAGCTCCTCGTGGTAGGGCCTGGTGGCCTGCTTTCCTCTCCATTTCGACCAGTTGCTGCCGCTCTTTTTCCCTTGTCTAGTGGCCTGATCCTGGGAGGGAGCTGATTGCAACAATTGTTGCTGTCGCTGTTGTGTAGCTGGCGGTGCTGTCGCCCTGTGCCCCACTGGCCCCCACGGAGAGTATTTAGGCACCTCGGTAAGCCCAAGAGCACATCTTCCGCCCGCGGAAACGCTTATGGCTGCCTGCAGCGACAACGTTCATTCATAACCAGCCGAGCTGCTCTTTTCATCCACATTCTTGACGTCAGGACCCCTTCATTTTCCCTCTTCACAACCGTCCTCTTCACCTCGACACTCCTGATCATGACCGAGTACGACTTCTCCCCCGATGCATACGAGCGGCACCTTGCAAAGCAAGCGCAGATCGCCAACTGGGTCGACCAAACGAATGGCTCCACCCCCGCCAATCCATTCAGACCAATCCCAGGCGAGCATGGGTCCGCCAATGGAGTGTTTCCCGCCAACACCTCGTTCGTGCCACACTATTCCGTCTCCGAGCGGGCAGCCATGCAAGAAGCAGCGGCTCCGCCAGCAATTCCCCAATATGGGTACCCGTATGGGCCATACCAGCCTCAATACCCCAACGTGAATCCATACTTCCCCATCCAATCGCCACCTGGTGCGGTTTATTACACGACTGCGCAGGGTGTGCTGCCACCCACCTACGCTGTCTTGCCGGGGCGATCGCACAAGTCGAGGTCGAAGCACAGTAGCGGAACGAGGAGCCTGCGTGTGAGCCCGACCAGCATGCCGCTTGCGCTACCCTCGGGGCCTGTGCCCGCTGTCGCAGTCAATATCGGTGGCGGGCTCTCGCACATCGCGCAGCAGGCGCAGCTCGCCAGGCCGATGCTACCCCGCTCGATGAGCGACCCCTCTCTCGTTACCGTGGGCCCAGGTGGTGTCACGATCCCCATGCAGTCGCAGCAAATGCCGCAGACGTACGTGACGTACCCGACGCCGTACACCTCCCCGACGTATGCCTATCCGCAAGTTGTGTACAGCGCCCAGACTTCGCCGTACACCTCGCCACCGCCGACATACACGTATTCGCGCTCGTCATCGCGCTCGCACCGGTCCAAGTCCAAGTCTAAGCCCACATCACCGTCGGATAAGTTTTCGCAGTCGCAACCGCATCTGCCACTAGGATCGCCGCCACTGCCAGCTGGTATGGGCATGACGTACATCCAACCTCGACCTGATCAGCCCATGGTGGTCCCCATTAACGGTCGTGTGGGCGGATATGTAGTGGTTCCAGCGAAAGGTCAAGAGGTCCGAGTCGTGGTGCGTCGTTTTACATAAGCTTTCCCGACTCGCCTAAGATCCTAATTTCAGCAGCCCAGCAACCACAGTGCCCAAGAGAGTGATGGCCAATCGTTCTTCGGAAGATTGAGTCTGAAGAAGTCGAAGTCGAAGAAATCAAGTAGACGGGACAGTTATTGAGTAACTTGGTGCCGGACCTTTGAACTTCACCCCTACTCCGTACTCGACGTTCCCCATAGAAATATCGGATTTTTGTTTGATTCAGCTGACGGATGCACCGCATATATTTGTTTACATTGTCTTTCTGACTCTTACCTTATAACGCAGGTTATAGAAATATCGGATGGACTTGGTTTATCTAGTATCACTGTATTGTATGTAGTCTATTGTAGATAGAACGCGGAATACCCTTGTCCGGTTTTGAAGTAAAGGGGAGAAAGGTGGTCAATGACAATCATTGGGTAAGACAGGATGCCCAGCCTGGTATTCCAAAATATAAGTACAACCAGCGCTAATCAAGAACGTAGACTACATTAAGTAGTGTATGGATGGTATGCAAACTAGCGGAAATTAAAGGGGGTATGTATACGTATACATCGTTCATGAAGAAGCCGTCTCTGGTGGATCCCAACGTGCCCACGGATACATTCTCTTTTGCCTTCGGCGTGGTTTTGCCGATGCGGGGTCTTCATACGGGTGCCCAAAGTCCAGTCGACGAGGGTCCTCCCCAGAACCGCAAACGTGTTCCTCCTGTTTGCCGTGTTCCGACCAAGTAATTCTAAGCCCGGAGAAGCGCTCGAGGAAGCGTACGTTGTCTTCCAGCGCACATCGCGTGAGATCGAGCTCTTGAAGTTGACCCTTCCGGACCGACAGGAAATCGATGAGGAGATTGGCGTCGATCTTGAGTGTGATTGGATTGTTGTCATCATCAACGACGACGCAGCCGTAGAAGACGAGAAGGGAAGTGAGTTTTAGAATTTTTAGAGAAGGGAGGATTGGGCGATCTTGTGGAGGTAATTCATCGAGGAAATCGATGGTCCGCATATTAGTACTGAGGGTTTCGACACCCGAGAGCCGCGCAACGAACTCCTGGATTTCATGCGAAGGTGTGTTCGGAAACTTCATCGTCCTAGACAAGTCCAAGTCCAGGTCGGTGACTAGTCCAAGGTCGCAGGCCGTCAGGGAGCCTAGAAGGTAGTCTGGGGAATAGGTCTCGGACATGAAGTCGATTTCGAAAGAAAATGTTGGTTCGGGTGCATCTGTGTTGGGGGCCGAGGATAGGCGGATGTTGATATTTGAATGGGTTGCATGGACGAGGAGCGTGGTTGCGATGTGTCTTTTGGCGAATTCCCCCACATAACGCGACAGCGCGTTTCGAAGGATGATAATTCTGTCCTGGACGAGTTCGGAGATGCGTAAATTGATGGAACATTCGGGGTGGGGTGTTATGGCATCTAGGAGAGGAAAACATTCGCGCTCGTGAAAAATGGTCATCCGGCGCAAGTGTGGTAGGTAGATTTGGGGTAGAGAAGGGTTTTGGCCATCCACCTGCAGGGACTGGAAAGCATCGCATATCTGAAGTGATTCGAGTAATGGCATTTTAGAGAGAGCGACGGCGAAGTCGTCCAGGGTGAATGGTAGTTGAAGTTGTTCGCGGTAGGATATGCGAAGGCTCCGGAGACCAGACAGCATCTTGGCGTCTGGATGGAAAGATAGGACATTGGATTCGAAATGGCGGAGGGCGGCGGTGTCGGGGTGAAGAATCGCCGGCGTACGGACTTCTTCGTCACCGTTGCAGGCGTTGAAGCTCCTCAGCATCAACCTCAGGGTTCGAAGTTTTGGAAGGGGACAGTCGCTAAAAAGTCTGCCGATTTCCTCGTATAGGTCTGCATCGCAGACGGTGATGTCTATTTTGGTAATCCTGATCGAATACTTGGTGTCTCCAAACCTAGGATCACCAAGCAAGGTGTGAAGAAAGGGGACGAGGGGGTCCTCGTGTTTGACAACACCTTTCACGTAGAGGTCGGCGTTCCGCGTCTCCTTCCGTGTCCTGTCCAACACCTGCCTTCTCCAGATCCCCCTCCTCTGCTCGAGGCAATTGAGGTCGATGATACCGCCCCAGATCGCCGGCTCCCCCAGAATGAAGTTGCGCCATCGTCGACATACTCGAGAAGCTTGACAGATATTGACAAGCGCGTGACGCCTCAACTTTTGGATGTCGTCCGGGGTGTCGTGCAAGGAATTGGGCATTGGAGGATCCTCGTCCATATTCGCGATGTATAGGCAGATTTGCAACAGAAGTTCGTCGGGAAGGTCGGAAACGAGACATTTTCGGTGGACGACCATCGAGGATCCCTGAGGAGCAGAACGAAGTCGCTTGGAACGTCCGAAGGACATGGGTGGCAAATCGATAACTACAGAACGACCACGGCAACATATAGATCGACGGAAGACCCTTGACCTACCTAACGCGGATGACAGTTTGTCAGAAATAACGTGAGGCTGGCGCAAGGCATTCATTCGATGGAATCTTACCAGCAAGTCTAAATAAAACATAGAACCCCGTAAGTTCTGATGAGAGGCACGTTTTGTTGTTCGAAGGCTTCAAGACCGGCTTCGAAGGTTCATGTGAGAGGATCGGTCGAATGTGACGCCGTGCGTGTTCGAACAACGGCAGGAGGCCATGCCCGTGAGCACACCCCCAGTGTGCAGCACGGTGTTTAGTCGGATAAACACCCTATGGCCTGGGCGCCTATAGGGCGAGGCGCTGGCACAGAAGTCGAAGCAATGGCACTTCTGGTCGTGTCGGTATCGAAAGAAATGTATATGCGCTGCAGGAGGAGAGGGGGGAAGATAGAGACATCACAGCACAAGAGGAAACGAGGTGCCCACATTGCAGACACGCTGAATGTTCATGACATGATGTTTTCGAGACCGAACGCCGGCCGCGTGCTGTGGCAACTTCTCTCTCCTGTTTCGACGTCGTCCAAGCTTCAGAATCAAGAGTGACGAGAATTTGTGTATGAAGGAATTCAGGGGATCGATGGGGGAGAACGAAAATTAGGCACACAAGGGGCGGTGGAGAGATGCAATCAACACGAATGTAGTTACTGTGAACTTAATCGATATCATGGGCGCTGCGTCGCGGGAGGTATGGGCGGCCACTCCGATAAGGCGAGCGTCCATGACATTTCGCATATGAACAGCAGGAATGCATTTAATGATGTGGTACAGGCGCATGAAAAATGAAGCTATGATAGTATTTACATGAGAAATACAGAAAACACGGACAGCAAATACGAAAAGACACTCATCCGAATAGATCCTATGACGCTATGATCATTTACGCCGCTTCATCTCCTTCTTCATCTGCTGCTCAAGTCGCCTTCTTTCTGCACGATTCATTTTGGGAGCTTCAGGTGCCGCGTGCTCTCCCGCGGAGACTGCTTCTTCGTCTGCTGGAACTGCTTCACCTCCCATTTGCATATCTCGCATCGCCGCAGCGCGGCCCAGCTCCCGTGCACGCTGCCTATCTGCTTCAGTGAGCTGCCCAATAATCCTCCGCTCTGTCCTTCCATCCGGGGTCGTGACAATTTCCATCCGATGGCTAACGTACACCGCCTCGCGATTCATTTTGACACGGAGAGCCTGTGCTGGATGCGCATCCTTGTTCCGTCCTGCGTCGCGGATCAGTCTCTTGTCGCATTCGCGCATCGGAACACGCAGCAAGAGGCGATTCGACGTGTCGGATCGAATATGTGTGTTGACGTATCTGCCAAATGTCAGCAAAATTGTGGGCTGCGGAAAGCTGGAATCACGTACTCCAATATTGAGTCAACGCTCATGGGCTTGTCGATCGCCTTTCGTGTCAGGGCAGAGACCATCGTGAAAGGCGGCGCTCTTCTCGCAGAATCGAAAGCATCTTCGTCGATTGTGATAGGCCAGGAGATACGCTGCGTCATATCGTTAATGAACTGCACCACCACAACAGGAGATTTTGTGCAGCCTTCGTTGTCGGCGTCGTCTCTTGCTGTCTGCCACAAATACATCATTTTGTCGGTGAAGGGAATTTGGGGCAATCCCGAGTGTGCGGTGGCAACGAGATGAATTTGCAGCATGCCTTCGAGGGCTTCCTTATCCCAGTCATCGTACGTATAGAGATTCATGAAGTCTGCAATCTTGGTTGGTTCAATTCCGACATCGATATGGGCATGGAAGGCTTTCCGACTGAGAGCTTCACGCTCAGAATCAGGCACCTTGTGAAACAAAAATTCCCAGCATAATAGCAGTTGGAGGTAGTGCTGCAGCATGGGGTTGCCAACGAACGCCGCGATGAGAGGTTGAATGCCTGTTCCGAGGCCTTCCTGGCATTGAGTTTTATGCACCTCCCTGACGAAGTGATTCCAGGAACCGAACGCAGGCATTCATGCACGAGGACGCACCAATGCTCTTTTTGGCACTGGATTCCGAAAACAAGTTAGACGGCGCCACAACCCTAACCGGACCACGCACATCTCTTGAGCAATAGTAAACAATTTTGCACTAGAAAAAAGAGCGTAAATCATCAGCTCAGTCACTGCTTGTTTATATCTGAGAGTCTGTGCTTTACCTTTTCACACCTTTTCAGCTCACATCCACCACTGCCGTCGATTTTGGAGCAATTGGTGCATGTAAGGAAAGCCTCTTTCTTTCCTTCCTTGATGATGCTTTTCGGCGGCGCTACTTCCCGGAAATCTGCCTTACGGTTGGGGTGTATGGCACTGGTGTACATCCTAGTGGGTGTCAGTTCGTCAGCGGCACGATGGTGGTTTGAAGAAGAGAAACGCGACCCTGGCTACCCTTGGAACTTGGCGACGCGTCTCTTGAAATTGGCATTGTTTAGCAGTGCCACCGCGGGCCGGTCTGCCACACCTCATGGCGGTCGTAACTTGGTGACTTTCCAAAGCCGCTCAGTCTGAAAATGTTTCAATAGTCAACCATTGCAACAAAGAATAAAGATATAGATATAACTGGCCACTCTGGTATAAGAGTAGTACACATATTTCTTTCTAATAGTTTCTATACATCATCTCGCAAGCTCCATGTTTAAAAAAGATTCGCGCGAGCGGCGGCATACCGTTCTCCAACATCGTCAGCCGGACAGAAAGGCGAGGTGGCCTGAAGGGCCGGATACCACAACCCGGCATCCAATCCGTTCTCCAAGAAAGGCTTCAGCGGCCCCGCGATAGGATCCTTCTGCGGCCTCTTGAACTGAGTCCTCAGATTCTTGATCGATGCACGCTCGTCAGACTCCTCGCGCTTCCGAAGAAAATCGAGGATACCGGCATCCGAGATCTTGACGCCAGTGAAACACTCGAGGGTAGTCAACTTTGGGCAGCGGTAGTCGCCGTTCGCGTTTGTCGAGTTCAGGACAGAGAGGAAGGTGTTGTCGATTTGCATGTCGTTCCCTTCGCGTGGCCCACCAGGGTTCTGCGTCGGGTCGAGGCGGAAGTCGTTGAACGTCCTGACGGCGAGGGTGGTCAGGCGAGGGCAGTAGACCCGGAGCTGGAGGAAATCCTTCCGTGAGAAACTCGAGAAATCGCTGGCGAAAGAGCGGATGGGGCTGGAGGCACGGGATATGAGGTGGAAGACCGATGGAGGCGCTGGGCCGGCGCTGGAATAAATTTCGACGGCTTGCAGGGAAGGAGCGTCGAGGGCCTTCATGAACGGCGTGCAGTTCGACATATTCTCGAACACGGCGAGCTCCTTGAGGTGGGGCAGAGAGATAGATGGTATGTCGTCTGGACGAGTGCTGGGCTGTATATGGGGAATTGGGAGAGCATCTCGACGCGGCAGGTGACGAGGGCCTTGCACTGGCGCAAGATGGAGATAACCTTCGGCATCTCTGTGATACCGCGCATGAAACTCAACGCGTTGTCGCCCGCCTGCAGCGTCAGGCTCGTCAACTGGCCCCAGTTGACGGAAAACTTGCTGATGTCCTCTCGAACTTGGGTCAGAGATAGTTCGTGGAGGCGTGGTGCCTTGAAGATGCGGCTGGGCACCCAGATGCCCGGCGTCCTTGTCAGATCATGTGGAGTGCCTCTGCTCTGGTCGATGGTGAGTGATTCGAGTAACGGAACATCGGCTTCGGAGAGCCTGGCGACATGGGATAGCTGCGCGGACGAAAGATTGAGGCTGATCCTCTTCCATCGCGATGCGAACTTGAGGATCTGGCTGAGGATGCCCTTATCGTCCTTCTCTATCGACCCAGCGTCCCAATTCGACAATGAGATGTTGAGAGGACACACGCCCGAGCGCTCGAGCCAGTCACGGGTACCCTGGCCGACGTCCCGGAGAACCCGAGAGAAGAACTGCAGATCTTCGGGGTAGCGTATGTAGAATTGAGAGCTGGGAACTGGGATGTGGAGGGAGGCCCAGGGGCGAGGAGTGTCGATGGCGATGCGTCTCCAATCGTGCGAGACACGGAGGAAGATGAGAGGTGCGTGGTTCTTGTGCATAATGGCATTGTGTTCGGTAGGGAGACATAGGACAAAGATCGGACAAAGATCTCAAAGGATATCGGCTGGGAGGCGGCGTTCGGGGGAGACGAGAGCACGGTATTCAGCCAATTCAGCTAGGGCGGCGGCGTGCTGCTTGGAAAGGCGTTCGTAAACTTCCTGAGCTCGCTTCACTTCGTCTTCAAGAGCTTGAAGGTCAGTGTTCGGCTGGGTAAGGATAAGTAGCTTTAATTTGGTGGTATTCGTCCTCGGTTGGGGCGTAATTGGTCCCAAATCTGGAGGCGAAGTGTTTTGCGTGCTCGGACATGGGGCTCTAGAATCAGGAATGCGACGATTGCATGACAAACATAGGGGAAAGACCCTACCGTTGTAAATGTTACGATGGGCGAGGAAAGACAACCAACTAAGGAGTGTCCTAGGGGGTGTTCGTGAAATCTATCGTTCACTGTACGGGGGGTTTGTATACACGTCCATGAAAGAGACGGCCACTATAACACACATCCAAAAATGGATTGAAGATCGCAATCGACATAAAGAGGTCGCCTTTCTTCTCGTGTTCTGCACCATCTCTTGGACCTCGAGGCTGAAAGCTATGAAAGCATGCAACAAGAAGGGGTCAGAACGATAAAATATTCCAACTATCGAGGCTGGATATCCAACGTACCGTCAATTCGCCTCTAAACTTTAGATCTTCGTTGCCATCTTCCTTCGTGCTACAAGTTGGGTCGAATTGTCGGGGAATTGCCTTGTGGCCATCAGCTGGAATAATGTCGAATGTGTGAGAAGTTTCGAGGAGAGCGCTTGAAGAATACGGAATTCGCGAGAAGGTAGGGGAAACACGAAGAATCCGCGAAATGGGGCAAGGAAAAGAACAAAGAGGAAGTCACCCGACCTTCTCGACCAAGGATGCCTGTTATGAGCGAAAGCCCCTATTTAGCGACCAGTTCCTACTGCTTATTGCAGCAACAGGATACAAATTTCAGGATTTTTTATGGGAAAGACAAGGTCTCTGAAGAAGAATACCAGGCGCGGTCGCGGGCTAATGATACTAGAGTGACTAAATTATTCTCATAATGGTTTTCTATTGCTTGGGCCGCTAGTCATGGGTATCCTGTGCCGGCTAGAGTAGACACACTGGAAGCTAGGGCATCTTTTTCAGGATTGACTTATGCAGATTAGTTAGGTATGTCATCGACCGATGTTGACGGCATCCATTAGATAAAATTTAAAATTTAAGAGCCAGTCTCATTGACAGACACTACATAGTTGTCTACACTTCACACCCTATGCTGTTTCGTTCCCCAGCCCTTCGTCTGCACGAAATACGACGGCTTCAATTGTCGAAGGCTCGTCGTTAACCCTGCGATATTCGATCTCCAACTCTAGCCCTTCGTCGATCGGATATGCTCTCGTCTTTCCTATGCCTCCGTCTTGGGGTGGCTTGCTATCCAAGACAACCGAGAAGCGTTCGAGTTTGGCCACAGGCACTCCATCGATCTTTCCACTCCGAAATCCCAGGAACTCGCGTATGGCATTCTGGGTGAAATTGGTGGGTATTTCGATAAACAAATTCTTGAGCTTCGGGAGGAGGAATTGGGAGTCGGTTTCGGTTGTCTCCGAAGAAATCAGCGCATCGAGGAGCGTATCGTCGAAATAAGCGATCAAGTAACAGTCCACTAGCATGAACTTCCCTTTAATGGAATTGACGAACGATAGGCTGTGGAGATTGGGGGCGCAGCGCAGACATTCGAGGATTGAATCTCTTGAGGAGAACATCTTCGCATTAACTTCAAGGATCTGCAACGTCACCCCTGCTCCCGCTACGTTTAGTAGAAGGGGAAGCGGGCGTGGCGGGCGTAGTGAGTGACGCCTATTTAATTGACAGGCACAATACTTGAGATGTTTCAGGCGGCGGAGTAACAGACGTTGAAATAGCTCCGACATGTTTACGTCCATGCCATGCTCCACGATTTCCAGGTTCTCGAGCGCTGGAAGGTGAATTGACTCTTTTGGAAATTCGAATGCCGCTTTGCTGACGACAAACGCGCCATGTACGAGGCTCTCCATCGGCATGAGCATCCATGCGAGTCGCGACAGAGAAATGAAGGGTATCTTGTCCGGGTGTAGCCCGTGACCCAGCTCTAGACGCGTGAGCTGTTTGAAGGGGAGCTTGAAGTCGCGCACGGACTCGGAAATGGTGTTTGTTGTGAATTTCCTGAGCTTCGGAGCAGCAAGTAGCTCGCTCTCACCCCAAATAATGAGAGGGTCGTCGACCGTCCGCGATGTGAGGCAAGTTTTCACCTCAAATGACTCCAGAATAGGGACGTGCTCACTTGACAGCTCTTGGGCAAAGCGCTGCAGAATCTGCGGGGTCGTCTCCACCTTGATCTCGCCCCATCTCTTCGAGACCTCGAAAAGGGCGTCAAGAAGCTTTCCGCGAGCTTCCTCGAGTTCGTTGTAGCGGGGATATGGGTCGAAGATGGATATTCGGAGTGTATGGGTACGGCTGCGGCGAAGCCACTCTTGCACCACATGTCTACGCAGTTCTAGTGCCTCCTTCGCAGCATTTAAGGATGATCGGACGGACGGGCAGGGAACAGGGATGTGGATTGAGGACCAGATGGCGGGTGTGGCGATTGCGACCCGTCGCCAGAGCTGACAGACTTGCGTCAGAGACACTGGCGCGTCATGTCGCGTCATGAGCGCGTATGAGGTCGTAGGAATCGAAAATATGAAGATTTCCTGCAGTACCTCTGGCGGGAGGCGGCGCATAGGGGCGAGAAGGGCTTGATATGCCACAACATGGGATTTGGAGAGAATGGTGGAAGATTCTTCGCCAAGTGCTTCATAATCCTTCTGAAGGCGCTCGATTTGTAGTCGTATGCTGGCCTTTTCTTCGTCGAGTTGCTGGACAGTTGCCAATGGTACCGACAGAATATCTTTGATTTGGCCGACTTCTTCGTCCGTGGGGGTGTAGTTGGTAGCGAATTTGGAGCTGAACGGCGCCTCTCGAGTTTCCATGACGCGTTTTTGGAGCAAGAGAGAGCCTAAACGCATCAACCGAGGACGATATCGCGTAGGAGGTGGAAGAGTCCAAGTCGCGAGGTTCCGAGTGATGGGAAACTTCATATTTGCGAAGCTGGTCAATGCATAACAAAACCCTACAAACATGTTCCTGACATCGGTTTGATCTCGAACTCTTAAGTCACCCACACCTTTCGATGAAGCCCAAAAGTCGAACTCTACATGCCACAAATGCAAGATGGCTGACTGGCATCCTTCTTTACCCGGCTTCGCCCTCCAACGAGTCAACGACTGGGCATGGCCTCTGAAATCCCCCGTCGACGGATCCTCATCGTAGGGGCAGGTGCCGCAGGAATGGCTGCAGCATTTACGTTTTCGCAGCATCCAGACAAGTTCGAGGTCAGGGTATACGAACGAAGCTCCCAACCTGGTGGAATGGCGACCTCGTTTCCAATCGACCGTACGAAGTACGGTGCAGACTACATCAACGACGGAGTCCAAGGCGCGAGCCCTGTGTTCCACAACACGTTCGCCATGTTCGACAAGCTGGGATTTAAGTCCTCCGAAGTGGATATGCAAGTTAGCTTTGGGAGGGATGCAGAGACGGAGTTCTGGAGCAACGTCTTCCCAAGTCGTGTTATTGACCAGTGAGCAAGCACCTCTTCTCTTGCGTGCGGCGATTTGTTGATTTTATATTCCAGGTACAAGAAGGACATAAAGCGCTTTGGACGTGTTCTGAAGATTATCAAGGTTTTGGAGCCCATCTTTGCTCTCATATCCGTGAGCACGATGTTAAGAATGTTTGGTTTCTCGAAGGTATGTTTTGTTTTTAGTGCCCGGCAGTGATGCTCAGTTGTATACCGCACAGGATTTTGGCGATGTCATCGTCTTTCCTCTGGTAGCCTTATTCTTCGGAACTGGAAACCAGACCCCGTTCATCTCGTCAGCCATTCTCGAACGCGTGTTTATGGACCCCAACATGCGCCTCGTAAGTTCTTGATTCGGTTCATTGCCCTCAGCACCAATTGTAACCCTATTCCCAGTTTGAATACTCCCCAGAGTCTTTCCTTGCCTCAGTTCCGAAGATGCGAGCGTTTCCTCGTCTCTCGTACATTTACAACACATGGAAAGAATTCGTCGAGTCCGAGAGTAGGGGAAGTGTCAAGGTCATCACCAACCGCGAGGTCATCCGCATCAAGAGGCTCTCCGATGCGAAGAACGCCTCCGACTCGGTCGAGGTATGGAGCAGGGCGACGAAGGGCACTAATGTTGACCAAGAGGTTGTCGATCCTGGCGAAGAAGAGAAGGAAGTCTTTGACGACATGATTCTGTGCGTCGACGCGGATTCTGCCTTGAAGATCCTCGGAGACGACGCTGGTTGGCTGGAACGAAAGATTCTGGGCAACGTTAAGGTAAACTTTTTTTTCCTACCACGAGGGCTCGATGTTAAGATTTGTGCAGTACCTCTGGGATGTTACAGTTACCCACAGCGATCAGGACTATATGGAGAAGGTGCGTCCCTTGCCTGTCGTGCGAATACCGACTTACCCTTTCTTGAAGTATTACCGTGTCGCCTACGATCCCTCTCTCGAGTCCCAAGTCGGCCGCGACTCTCCTGAGAAGCAGGAACGATTCAAGTTCGCCAAGGAGAATTTCCGTCCGTTGTATTTCATCCGTAGCCACCCCGAAGACAAGAAGAAGATCGAGATGAGCTTTGACCTATCCGTCTATCAGCCTCAGGTATGACCTCATTCTACCTGGTCTCTTATTCAATTACCATGAACTAGGTTTACAGTTCGACGGGGAGTCGCCATTCGGTCCAGATGGAAAGCCCGTCATTGGGCCATTGTTGTCGGAAGCACCGAACGCAGAGTCAAGCTCGAAGGATGTGTCGACCGACAAGAAACGCGTCTATCAGACCATCTTTCTTGACCACGCTCCTGAAAGCTCGAAGCTTTGGTCGAAAGGCGACATCAACCAGGATGAGGTTGGTCCTGGCTCTCGAAAGCCGAACCCAGAGGTCGACACTTACACCACATATCTATTCAGATCATCCTCGAGAAGTGGTGGAAGCAGCAGAGCCATCGATGGCAGCATTACGCAGGGACGGTGCCGTGGATGGGTCTGATCAATGGACGGGTGCATCTTTCAATTCTTTCCATCTCTCAGGCTGCAGCTGACATGTCTTATCAAGCGTCATACCTATTTTGCTGGTGCTTGGACCGTCCTTAGTGCGTTTTTGAGGCTCCTTCCACCTGAAATGATTCTAATTAATCGCCGTCTAGACATGCACGAAATCGCAATTGTATCTGGGTTCGGCGCAGCCTACCAACTCGGAGCGTCGTACGTCCCTTTTCTTCGTTCTCTCCGATCCGCTCTTCATTCCATCCGTCTTATGTAGGTACCCATTCACCAATAATCCAGAGTGCAAACGACTCTTCGCCCTCTGCTTGGCCGCGAATCATATGTCCAGGATGGTGGGTACTCCTGTGTCATCGTCATCATCTTCGATAACGAAGCTAATGCTCTCGCCTTCCCAGAGGAAGGACGATCGAGCGGGCTTCTGGTCCTAAACTCGCTTCGAAGATCCTCATAAAGACAAGATATTTTGTGCATCTCGATAATTATGTTATATACTCTTAGATCCTGAAGATCCATCAGGCCCACTTTTCTGAAGTTACTGAGGGTGGAGCAATTGAACGATTTTGGAACGACGTGTTAGCGGCGATGTCTAGACTCTACATAGGGATTATCTAAGCACTGCCACAGTTCGACGCTAATTTGTCTCAGATTTCAAGTTCTCTTGAACGTTACCCACAATGAAATTGAAGATCACTCCAGGTGAGTTCGTGAATCATTCGCATATCCACGTACTCGACCATCTGCATACGCACAGAATACCTGTCTGCATTGCCAGACACATCGAAATTTCGTATCTTTGTAGGAACAAACTACGTGCCGAGTGATGATGAAATCAGCGAACTCCGCGAGGTCCTCAAGGCTCCACAGGCGAGGCTAGATGCTATCGATGTCGAGATCGACAAGGTTTTCCGTGTCTACAACCAACTCGCCAATCACCGCCAGACTCTGTCGAAGGAAATCGAGGAGGTCCGAGCGTTAATTTCCCCCATGCGGCACCTCCCATCCGACATCCTTCGAGAGGTATTCATCCAAACCCTCCCAGAAAGTGATGCGATAATGAAGGCCAATCGCTGCCCATTACTTCTCACTCACATCTGTCGTTTCTGGAGGGACGTCGCGCTCTCCACCCCCAACCTCTGGACCTCTCTTCAAATCACAGTTCCGGGCAATCCCTTCCCTTCCTCGACGGAAGAACCACCACATAAATTAATAGAATCAGCAAATAAAATCGCAGTCGGCATTCGCGAATGGCTCAGTAGAAGCGGTGCCCTGCCACTAAGTGTCTCTCTGACTAGCAATTACCGGGGTCAAGACAGCCTTGCCCACAAACCTATCACCGCGTCTCTCATTCCTTTCTCTTCGAGATGGCACAAGCTGGAGATCACCTCGTATGTACCCCATATTTCAAATCTTGCAGCTGTAAAGGATCTCCCAATCTTGGAGTCAGTCAAGATATACTGAATCCCATCCAACGATGACTTTAGTATCGACATCGCCACATGGACTGAAAGCGGATTGAATGTACGAAATGATCCTCGTAAATCAATAAAGAACCACATTCCTCCCCCCCCCCGACTGAAAGCGGATTCCTCGCAGCGCCCGGCCTGCGGGAATGCTTGGTTTGCGGAGTCCTTGTCTCACCCATTCCGTTCCTATCTAACTTGGCGCACCTTACTTCCCTGTCGCTTGGGATGGGATCCGGGGTGTTTGAAGGAAGTTTTTTCGAAGTTTTTCGCGCCTTGAAACCATGCCTTCAACTTATCACTTTGCGTCTCGCACTCTCTGGACGCCAAAACCCTGTCAACAATGGCAATGCTCCAGTCCTCACCTTCCCTTCTTTAACACAGCTCATTATCTATGACGGCGGAAATGACTTATCCTCGATCTTTCTTACTTTCACAGCCCCAAACCTTCAAGCCTTCGAGTACATGGCCACTCACGGCAATTCTGGACGCCTTCGCTTCTTATCCCTGTTCCTCCGTCGGGTACCCACAGCCCAGAAGCTCACCCTGGACTCAGAACACTTCGCCCGGGAACAGCTCATAGAGTTGCTAAGCCAGTGTCCCCAATTAATGTCACTCTCAATTCGGCCATGGAGCGATTGGCAATACCACTTCTCGTGGGACTGGGATGATGAAGATGTGTCACCTCAAATCATCGATGACGATTTCCTCAACTTGTTCATTTCGGTGGATGGTGTCCAGCCATGTCTATGCCCGAAGCTGCAAGAATTTGAATGCATGCGGCGTGATGCCTTCACTCCCGAGGGGCTTACCAAGTTTATCTTGCGAAAACACGATGGAGATCCCCCTCTTACAAACCTCAAGATAGTGAACGTTTCTATTCGGAACGTTGGCCCTGAACTATCCTGGGAAATGGTTAGACAGCTGGAGTTGGACGGAGTGACAATCAAGTGGGCACTGGTTTTTCTGCGTGCCACTTGCGTGCATGTTGCGTGCAGGTGCGTGCAGTGCGTGCATCTGCGTGCGTGTTGCGTGCATTTGCGAGCGTGTTGCGTGCATGTTGCGTGCATGTTGCGTGTGTGTTGCGTGCAGGTGCGTGCATGTGCGTGCGTTGTTGCGTGTACCTGCGTGCGTATCTAGTTGGGGTGTTGGAGCCCCAAAATATTACCCACGCTATTCAGAGGCTCGTCACTGGCTCTGTCGATGGTACTCATGTCCACTATAGACCAGCGTGAATGTGTAAAATAATTTTCGTGTTATTAGCTTATATTTTAACCTCGAGATAAAGTAACTTAAATCCTAAGTAGGTCAACCGGAGCGGTTTTGGCGGCTCCCTTTCCTCCATGGCCTAGGATGCTATTGATGTGTGTCTCCCCACGTCTAGGTAAGGAAAGGGCATACGGAGGTGCTCATAATTAAATTGACTATTCAAATACCATGTATGGAGGGCATCACTCCTCTGACCGCCGGAAAACTCATTGCGGAGGGGATGTTGAGGTGTGGCTGTGCCATCACTCGCGGCGCCTAACCAGGAGCGTGCATGACATTGTCGACCCCATGCAAGGCGCAGGGTGGAGCACTAAGGTACAAATTATATATCTACAGAATCGTACGAGTGAGGGCTTTTGACTGGTAGTCTCAAAAGTAGTTGCAGACAACTTTTGATGACATGACAATGAAAACTTCACTCCCTCATCCAGGCATCAATCCGTTTCCCACGGGGATACATCCTGAAGGAGCAGCACTTTAAGCGCTATAACGCTCCCGGATGACATCTGGGATAACTTTTTTTAATAGTTACTGTGTGTAGACGAGTAAATAAACATATTTCCAAAGTTTGGTATAATACTGGTTGTTGTAGCACGTACAGTGACACAAATTAGACAACTGCTCGCGAGGCTAGGTACACGGACAGTCGAAGAAAAATCGACGCGAAGGGTTTCCTGCACATATAACTCGAAGAAGTCAATTGAGGAGACCTACAGGATATTATTACAGATTTCTGACATATGAATCGAGCTGTGTGCGTGGAGAGTCTTGAGTTGCGTGCAATTGCGTGCAGTGCGTGGGAGTTGCGGGTAGCTGCTTGGTATCAAAAAGATAACGATGCAGGTCGCAAGGAATACTTCAACAGAACAAGAAGACAAGATTCGCTTGCCAGGTGTTGACTATTGCTTAGTCACGGGCGAGTTGCATGCAGATGTGTGTGTGTATGTGCGATATGTGCGTGTGCGTGCGTGCGTGCGTGCGTGCGTGTATGCGTGCATGCGTGCGTGCGATGTGCGTGCATGCGGGTGCGTGCAGACAAGTACGTCATTGAT